GGCCAGATGACGGTACTTGTCAATGTACGCACTGGCACAAACGCTGGTGTTGTTTGTGCCTACGTGCAAAATGACAACATCAAAATTGAGCAGGGCGTCAGACATTTTGGAAAACAAAGCCTCGATCCTAATGCCACTAAATGCCCGCACTTCGACAGCCACCCAATTATTCGATGGGAAATACTGGGACAAATATTTCACCATCAAATCCTTGGCAACCAAAACTCGAGGCATGTCAGAAGCGCGACTGTGCTAGTACACAAAGGGCCAAACTCCTTGACGGAGACAACAAGAAAAAAGAAAAGCTTCAGAGAAAGTCAAATTTGCTTGCGGAAGACCAGGCACAGTCCACGCATGGCAAGAATGCAAGGAGCAATGGCCACCAAGCACATGGCAAAACAATGGGAGGCAAGACCGTAGGTTGATTCCTGCGTGGATGGAGAGAAGACGGGAGGAGAATTGCCTCCGTCCACGCAGGAAGTGACGTAGTGTGTGGATGGAGCCCTATCTCCTCCCGACTTGGCTACATCCCCGCGCGTGGATGTAGACACTCCCTATTTTATTTCTTCACGAACACAAAACAGCACAATAAGGATATATTTACATATCACATATTGCAACACAGAACAAAAAAATAGCCCAAAGGAAACTTGTGAAGTAAATATATACAACATTCAGCATGGATATGTATTGTACTCCAAATTACAGCATACTTCTCGAAGATACTGACGTAACAAAATAAAAAGATCCATAATTATGACAGGAGACGAACAGACATGGGGACAAACACACACGTTTCAAGTTTCTCTCTAAAGTGTCACATGTGTGTTTGTCCACCTTTTGTCGTCGGCTCGCCTATCTGTTAGCTTTGTTTTCAAAATATCCATCGAGGTTATTCACCTGTGGCATGCGAGTTAATAATCTACACTACATCACTGTTGGCCGCCTTGCTACCTTCCTGAAGTTGGCACAAGATGTTCAATTCTGATAGCTTAATTGAATATTCAAAGAGAATCACCCTGATCATCACTGAAACTTACATTCATCAAGCTTGGTCGGAACAAACGTAAACCACGTGGTCCCTCGGAAACAACGTGGGCAAACAGCAGAAACAAAGTGTTGACTGTCTTCCTTGACTAATTCACATTATATTTGATTTCGCAGTTGCAACGTCATGCACAGCAGCTTCTAGCACATTTTTTTTTGCCTCAGAAACGACGTAACAACTGCGAAATCAAAAGTAAAATAGCAAGATATAAGTCTAGCATTACCCCACCATTTTACAACGCGGTATCGCCCGGGCATTCCCATGCGTGAGTGCAACCACCCGAGTGTCTCATAATCACAAACACGCGAACAGAAGCACGCACCAATGGTAATTGACCTGTCTGGCTCCGCCGCCCACCGCCATCGGTTTCGTTGCACACTACCCTCGCTTTCAAGGACCAAAACGCCACAATATGCAGTGGTTGCTTCTTGGACCCTGTTGTAGCGGTTCGAGGTGCCCTCAGCGGTATTTTTCCGAACTCCGCTGCTGCGTTACCCTGGCTCCGTCGTTGTAGATTTGTCTATTGAACAGGGACGTATCGCCAACTGTTATGTGCTGTCAAATTTGTGCCATTAACGCCACCCCAATTTATGTGCTGCCGACGTGTATTTACGTGACAGTAGACAGCACATGTGTGTAGGTTTTTGCTCATTGCATTGGCTGCTCCTGGTGCATATACACATGGATAATATTGCCTGCCGGAATCTGGCACGATATTGGTTAGAAATACGTTGACGCATCACTGTCCACCAGACCATTACCATAGTGTCACAGGGGTCTCTGAAGAAAGCACAATTCACACTGCATCTTTTCTGCTGCGAGTTCAGTCCAGCAATCGATTGCAAATGCAAACTTTTGTCTTCCTTTTCACATTGCCAGATAACATAAACTGTGTTTTTGCATATGCGGACCATAACTTTTATTGGGTCCTACGGTATATGTGTGTTTTTTTGTGTTTTTTTTTTTGGGGGGGGGGGGTGCTTGTTATTGGACAACATTAATTTTCTGTTTTTTCTTTAAAAAAAAGAGCTTAGTTTATGAAATATTGAAATTTTAGTTACTAATCAATAACTAATCTTGCAGGAAACAGGATGGTTGTCTAATAAGAGTCTCGCTCATTCTCTCCTCCATGGTGGCGTGTTGTTTTCTAAGGTCATCGACGTCACACACTCAATACTAAAAATATACAACAAATATACCCACTTTTTGTGGCCTCAAAAAAAGCTGCAATACGTTAATGGAAAAAAAAAAAAAAAAAGTTGCACAGCCACGTGACATCTGGTAACTTTCTCCTCCATTTTTCTTCTTCCTCCCCAGTTTCGGTTTCGAGCAGTTGCGTATTTGGACTTTATTAAAGATATATGTGAAGCTGTAGCAAAATATTGATTGGGTAGTCTTCGGACACCATTAAAAATTGCCTGGCAAACAATTAAAAAATTTAGGGGGTTGTTAGTGTCCCTTTAACCCATTTGGTACCGCGCGCGTCGCACGCTGCCAAGCCGTCTGTACCACATGTTTTTCCTTTAAAACTGGGCCACACTAGCTTTGCTTGTATAATAAGCTTTTACAGTAAAACCCTGTGCGGAAAACGAGAAAACATGTTCATTTACACGCTTAAGTGGTTTGTTCAAGTCTTTAAATCAATAGGCCTTCAAAGATTCTTCCTCGTATGAAATATTTCGAAGCACTCCATCCTCTGTCGCTTAGGCATCGCACAACCAGTGAGCTCTTGTCGTGATTCGGGCTCAAAACTGCTGTCGGAATCGCTCCCATCGCCGACAGAAGGCTCCGAAAACTCACTATCCTCACCAGACGTCCTGTCAGAAAGGCCACACCGTACACTGGACGCTGCCATCTTCTCCAAGCAGGCAGTGATCGGGCAGGAAAGACGACACACAAAAAACAAGCTCAAACAAACACAGCGAACAGAACGACCCTCGCCATCTGTTAGCAATGTATCTAACTACTCTGTCCTGAGTCTACATTAGCGCGCCATCTATGAATGACTCTTTAAAACAGAAATTCATGCAGACCGGCGAATCGCCGGCTTTGGCAATATGGCCCGACGGCACGCCCGGCAATTCGCTGGCTTTGGTTGTGAATGGGTTAAAGGGAAACCCCGCTTCATTTTTGTTTTTGAGAAAACAATACAGTCTTCTTCAGTATCACCTAGGAAGACCACACATCAAATATTACGACCTAGTTCTGTCTAAACGTTTCTTAAACGGTCCTACAAACTTTGCAACTCTCCAAGTTGCCAGAATCGGCTAACTCTAGCGGGCAAATTGAGGCAGAACCAACTACGGCGTGAAAGCAGCCAACATTGAGCTAAACGTCATCACCATTGCCCCTTTTTGCTTGTTTTTACTTCTCTGGGTAAGCGTAACGGGTGACGTCAGCAACGTTTCCTCTTTTTGGCGCTCAGCGGTGTCCTCGTGATTGGTGTGACGCGCCTCCGCAGCGCGCTTCTCGGGAGCTGTCTCGCCGTGGTCCCGTGATTATTGTCTCGGAGTTTCGTTCACACTACGGACACTACGTGCACAGCCACACGCAGCAGCAGTGCAGTTGTCGTTGAATGTTGTAGACACCAAAACGTGGTGAAGAGTGCAGTGCAGATGACACTTGCGTCTGGAACATGCCCGCCCAAATCCCACCTGTTGTTGCGTAGAAAATCACGTGACATCTCATACCACATGGTAGCCATATTCTTGGCAGCCTGAGGCCAATGTTGCCGGACGGAGCCGAAGTTTTGGTTTTTGATTTCTGCTCTCGTTTAAAATGAAATGTAACAATATATATATATATACCATTTTTCTCGAAGCAAACAACGTCTTTTACTAGGGCTTTTTATTGCGAAATCACTCATCATCCTGAAATCTTCGAAATCGAGCGGAGTTGCCCTTTTTTAAACACACAAGCGTCGGGTATGTTAAAAGAAGGAATTTTTAAGTATTAATGTAAGAGCTCTTAGTTGTAGTGAAATTTCTGAATTATACTGTGGCTATTCTTTATTATAGACTGCGGTATTCTAGCGATATCTTTTTCAAATTCGTGATTTAGCGAGGATACTCGCAAGAAATTTTGTATGAACTGCTCTATAGGTTGATCTTTATTTGAACTTCATTGTTTAGTTGTCACCTTTATATATATTTTTTCTGTTCAAGGTACTGTCAGTAGGGTAAACTAGAACTAAATTAGGTGAAGCAGTAGAAGGAAGCTTGCAAATAACTTGAGCAACTTAGGCTGCATTTTTTTAAGAAGGCATACTTATCGTTCACATGTCTGTATCTGTTATTGTGAGGTTCTACAGACAAAATGTTGTAAATTTTCATAATTTATTCACAAAGGCAGTTTTTTTTTTAAATCTCAGTTAAGAATTTTTGTTTTATTACAACGTTTAGAACTTGAATGGCACATCAATTTGTGTGCTCAAGATTATTCTAATATTATTTTAGTGCAATATACTACTTGGTTTGCATTTTATTTTGTACCTAAAATGACCATTCACAGCAGTCCATGCTGTCCTTCACCAATCAGCATCTTGTTGCCATGCCTAGTGCTTCTGTGTGCAACTAAACAGCTAGTTCTGTGTTTAAAGAAATCAAACCTGCCGTTGCACGGAAGTGTGAAGGCAAAGCTTGCATGTTTTTTAGTTGGATAGGCCAACACACAAATCTTAACATAATATTCACAGTAGTATGAATAAAACTGGAGTGTGTGTGTGCTCCAAAAGGTGCTACAAAATGACTCGGGTCAATCGCATCACTGAAGACGTGTCTTTAAAGGAAATTGCATCGAGCATGATCTTGGAAGTGGCAGACGATTATTAAGCGGAGTCATTTATGCGGTAACACAGGACAGGAGCATGCGTGTTGATGTCTAATAGTTCCATGGACTGTGATTTTAATTCAGGCACTCTTGGCAAACATCTTACTTTTTCTTCCTGTTGCAGTATTACTTCGGCGACTTCAACCTGCCCCGTGACAAGTTTCTACGAGAGAAAGTCAAGCTTGATGAAGGCTGTATCCTTAACCAGATGGAACCCTAGAAGCGGGCTTCATTTTATTCTATTGCATTTTGATTTGTGGTCATTTGTGGACTGGGAATGGGGGACATCTGCTTCACTTTGCATACTGCTCTACTCGGCGAGCTACGTGGAATACGCTTGTTTCATTAAGGACACAATAATCCCAAGAGCATCACCTCGTATGACATTAGTCAGTGATTATTAGCTGCAGTGTCGCAGGCCTTCATGGCATGGGCTAATTGTTTACTTTTCTGTGGCACCTGCTGCAGCTCTGCTGAGCCAAGAAATAATTGAAAAAGGAACAAAGGTGTTGGTGTTTTTCTCTCGCAGATGTTTAAAGGGCCTGGGCAATGATAATAGGTCTGAATGTTATGCATTTTACACAGGTACACATACGCTAGTGTGACCCAAGAACAGGATGTCTGTTAAAAAGATATACAGGATTTGTTTCACCGCAAAAGTAAGCTACATCGTTGAACATACAGTCTCCGCCCGAGTGTGGCGCTAGCGAACGAGATGCGAAAGTTTCAGGGTTTGCTGTTATCTGATTAAAAAGTTGTAAGCAATTTTCAGAAATTTTTAATGACTAAATGATGGTTGACCCGAAGGCCAGAAATACACGAGGATGAATGGCGTCGGCTACCAGGCATAAGCTCTATTTTTCCCGTAGAAAATTTTTGAAAATTGTCTGTAGCTTTTGAATTGGATAACGGCAAACTTTACATTTGGGCCGGACTGCTCGCGCTACGTTCGGGCGGAGCCTGAGCATTTGGCTATGCATTGTTTATTTTGGTGGTGAAAAAAACCTTGTACTTTTTTTTTTTTTTCAGGGACACTGTATATTTGCATGGAACACTACCACTGAGGCAGGAGTTCCATTGTGGCAGTGTAATTTAAAGGATGGCAGGAAACCGTTTTTTTCAGTCTCTTTGCAAAACTTGGAAATATGATCGTTAACATCACGATGCTGATGTAGTTGCGGGAAGCACCCCCCAGTGACAGTCAAGCACAACCTGTGGATTGGGCCACAAGCACCGCGTGAGCACTCGACTTGGTCTCGGTTAAAACCAATGCCTTGGCAGGCATTCGGAAAGGGCCTTGTGTCCAATCACTGCAGTGACGGGAAGAACTGAACTCCAACAGTATCTGAAGCATGGCATGTGCCTTGCGCGTTGCCAACCATTGTACGTGTGCATCACGAACGTAGGCTGCTTAGAGCTCACGAGGCCGGCTGTTCTGGCTGCGAGTTGAAGGGGTGAATGCTACTTGTTTTTCTTAAGCGACTGCTAGTGCTTTGATGTAAAAACTAATTAATGCTTTGTCGACCACTGTCAAGGATTTATTCTGAGCAGTATTTAGCGAAAGTAAGTTTATTGTTGCACGGCCCCTTGAAATTGGTTCCCGTAAGTTCTTGAAGCCACTCTTTTGCCCTGCAACCTGATTATCTTCCGTATTAATTTTTCCCTCAAATTTCCTTGACGCACTTTGCGAAGGGGTCCCCATCGAGACATTGCTGACCTTCAATCGGCTCAAGGTAGGACTCTAATTCGTCCAATCCGACGGGCCTGCCGCCGACACGCTGTCTGGTTCGTTCCAGAGCCTGACTGAAGAAGAGAGCAAAGTCGCAGATGCCGTGCGCCAGTCCTCCCTGCTCGAGGTCAGCGACGACGGAAAGAAAGTACGTCGCAGCCCGGACAAGCCCCTCCCCGAGAGCACCACGGAGCGGCAGCAGAAGCTGGATGAGCTGACGGTGTATGCGGTAAGTCCGCTCTCCTGGCGACTCTGCCGCGGCTGGAGTTCTCACAGGGTCCGCTCTGCAGAAGGGCTTCCCGGTCACGGCCACCATGGACGATTTGCTGGAGTTCTTTGGCCAGTTCGGCCGCTGCCTCAACGTCTTCATGCGGCGCCTCCCCTCTTCCCGCAAGTTCAAGGTGCGTTGCTTGTTTACACTGTCGTCCCGGGCAGCCTGTCAACACTCTGGTTTCGGTGGTCGCTGAGGGGCATCCGGAAGGTGTTGGGGTAGAAAGTCGCCGGGAGATTTTTAACTTAAGGCAGAGAGTGCGACGAGTAACGTGCGCTTTGTGTAAACTACTTCGGAAATGGTGTAGGCTATGGAGTGAAATGGACGCACCTCTTTCGATCGAGCTGTGTTGATCTAAACTTAATTTGCTCTCCTAAATTTAATTTACCATGAGTGAGGTAACAGCCTAAATGCATGCTGCTGCCTCATCCGACAGTCACTGGTTCTCAACCGCTGATGTTTTCGGGTCCCCTTCCGGATCGGCGGAAGTGATGGAGGACCCCAATCACCAGGGGTTGGGGGGAGTATTGTATGATTACAATGACAAAGGGGTAAATGAAGAAAACTAAAAAAACAACTTTGAAGTTCTTGAACTGAGAATGACCTTACTCGCCCAGCGTACCTGGTTTGGTCTATTTGTAAGACAACCAGCATCAATAAAAAAAAATAATAATAATAAAGCTTTATTGCTTGGTTTGACTGATGGTCGAAGGACTTTGGGTCCCTCAAGAAGGCCTTCAGGGACCCCAAAGGGCCTGCTGACCCACATTTGAGAACCACTGCAATAAGCTGTGTCGAGTATCTCCCTGTCCTTTTACCCACATCATCCGAAGAGCCCGTTCTACTGGAAAGAAACCTCAATAACACCATCGAAGACTCTCATTATAAGTGAAATGTTCAGCCCTTCTCCAGTTATGCATGAATTGTTGCTTCGCTCCAGCGATAGTAGATGCGTGAGTATTGTTGTTGCTTGCCAGCATCAGATTTAGCAGCATTCATTTAGGCTAAGGTTGATAAGGAGGTAAAGTGCAGTGGCATAGCCAGGAATTTTTTTTTTGGGGGGGGGGGGGGGGAGGGGGCAGGAAAGGGAAGGGAGGGGAGGGGGGGGGGAGGGAGGGGAGAGGGGAGACTGAGGTGCTGAGGTGACTGGGATGTCCATGACTTCGGGTGCGGAGGAGGGAGTGCGTTTCAAAATGCATTTGCATAATAGAGGGTCGGCTGGATTTCGGGGAGGGGGGAATGAAGCTTTATAAGCCTCTCCCCCTGGCTACGCCACTGGTAGAGCGTGCATTTCAGTGCCTGTTCCACCGTTCTCATGATAGGTACTAGCAGTACCAAAAGGCATTGGTACGGATGTCAAACATGGAAGGTAATATTGAGACTGAAGCGAGCAGAGTGCTGTTGCACCACTGGTTGCACTTAGATCCTCCTCATTTTCAGAGCTATCAAAACACCCATTTTATGGCAAAGACATTTTTGTGTAATGTTTTTAGTAAAATGTTTAAATTCTGCATTGTATGCAACTCATTTGGAATTAAGACAATGGACCTCTCTGGAAACGTTAGTGCCATCGGTGTATGCTCCAGGGCATTATGGGAACTGTTAGGGTGTCGCGCCCTTTAGCCAAGCCAAGTCTAGCCTAGTCGAGCTTTTGCATGCTAGGTAGCGCACGCTACCACTCAAACTACAGCACCATTCTTAATCCCTTCATGCATCCAGGCGAGCTAACAGTCTTTAAACATTGTTAGGATGAGCTGCATTTTTTTTTTTTTTTTTTTTGACAAAGGAAAGTAAGATGAAAACAGAATAAAAGGGTAGCAGCAGCAAGGTATGTCTTGGAGAAACAAAATGACACCTCCGCTGTTGCTTTCACTCAAAAGGAAGCCTCAACTGCACATACCAAGACATCATGCATTTTGTCACTCTTGAACATACGGTATCCTGCCACAGTGTGTTCCGCGGCTGCCCTTGTGTCTTTTTATGTGGTCCTCCGAAAAAACTTGTGGGGGATTCAAAATTGCCAAACTGCTTTCTTAAAGTTAGATAATGAAGAAATAAAACTTCAAGCTCCAAGAACTTTAAAAGCACTAAAACTCATACCTTCAAAGCTCTTTCTTCAAACTTTGGAGAAGTGAAACTCGGGTATTTTGCGACATCCCTATACTTGTTTTAACTTGAGAATGGCAGTAAAGAAAGTTCAGCTTTTCTCACAGCATTACTTACTTCCTCCTCTATGTGGTAAATTAAGGTACTTGTATGTGTACTTTAGATCATTTGAGTTTTTATTAAAACACATAATTTAAATGTTAAATATTTTTTTTGTTTTATTTATATTTTGTAAGAGCTACTTCACACAGCGCTTGAATTTGTTGAGGTGACGTTGAGCATAATCAGCCATCCAAAAAAACTTCCAGCACCTTTGAATGATTGCGCAGCCCTCCCAGCATGAACGGCTCCGAGGGCGGCTGTTTGATACTGTTGTCCAGATACTGCCCTACAGCCCAACTGCACAGAGCCGTAGGGCAGGTGGTGAGTCATTGAGGCCTTTGAAAAGAAAGAAAGGATGGTCTGTGCAGGGCTCGGTGTTCGCCACGTTCGAGAAGGAGGAAGACGCAAAGAGCTTTGTTAGTCAGGAGGGACTCAAGTACAACGAAGTGGAGCTGACGCGGTGCTTCAAGTGAGTGACCTTCGACACCATGCGGTGCTCTCGGGTTATGCCACGTTTAACTTCTTCGCTACAAACAGGGGTGGGCTCGGGAACTCTGCATAAACTATCAAAGCTCTGCTCACAACCCACTTGTTTAACAACTGCAGTCTTGGCGAAAAGCTTAGGCTAGTGTGCGGGTGGAAATAGAGGAAATTGTAGCAGTCCATGTATCTTGAGCGGCACTGCATAATCAATCTACAAACTGGAAATTGTCAGGGAGTTGTTAGGAAAACAGTCATAAAGTTGGCTAAATTGGGAAAAATGACCAATAAAAGTGACGCAGCGATGCACAAGCGAGTTGGACGTCGTAGCGTGCTATAGCGCTAGATGGTGCAATGGCGCGGGTGGGCGGTGCCATACACCACCCGCTTAAAGGGACACTGACACCCCCCAAAATTTTTTTTTCATTTTTTGCCAGGCGCTTCATTATGGTGTCGGGGGACTACCCAATTAATATTTTGCCACAGAGTAGCGTATTTTTTTAATAAAGCCAAAAGACGCAACTGCTCGAAACCGAAACCGAAACCCGACGGAGGTCGGAGAAGTGGAGAGAAGAGAGTGAGTGGCGGAAGTCACGTGGCTACACCCGACCGTGCGTTTTTTTTTTCTCTCCTCTCCGTAGCAGACGACACGACATGCGGCGTGCGATTCTTTTGCAGTTATGTTTGTTCCGCTCGTTGTTCTGTACTCAAGATGAGTTGTTTTGTACATTGAAGAGTTGGAGATGAGTAGTGAGTGCCCGTGGTGAATTTCCATGATCGGCTCCGAAAAGAATACACCCAAGATGTTGCGTGAAGAGCTGGCTCAGATGTCCTGCATCCGAAAAAAAGTGGCATTGTGTGACAGAGTTTCCGAAAGATCAACGGGATCGGGACCAATGGCTGGCTGCAATTCCTGTAGAACAGATACGGGCACCTCGGAAAGCGGACGCTACCTGATTTATATGCTCCTTGCATTTTGTGGAAAGTGATTACATTGGGTTCGCAGGTGTCAAAACGGAAATCCCATACCATTTAATTCAGCGAAGTATCGTCCACAACATTTGTTTGTTATTTTTTTGTTTGTTTCTTCAGTGATGATTGTAAAAAAAAAAAAAAAAGAAAAAGGTATGTAAACATCAGAAAATGTTTGAAAAAAAAAATAATAAAGTTTCACGGGGGATCGAACCCGGTCCTACCGTGTGTGAACCGGACGTCTTTGCCACTGAGCTACTGGGGCATCTATTTTTTGGTGGATCTCTTTCCCTAGTAATAGTTCAGCCGGTAAACTAGAAGTTGGAAAGTTTGCTGTCGATTTTTCTCTAGCAAAAGCACTCCCGGGTCGAAGTCGGGAAGCACCACGCTTTGGGGACATTCGCACATAGTAAAGAAATCGCACGCGTGCATATTCAACTCGAAGTAGACACGTCGTGCTTGACGTTTGCACGAGCGATGTCTTCAGCCCCGAGAAGGGAGCGACGGCTCGGCGACGTCTTCGTGCAAATAGGCTTGGTGGCCGGGCGTGTCGTACGGGATGAATACCGATTCTTTTGATCAGTCCCAAATTTCTCTTTTAACGGTAGACAGAATTCGCCGGTAAAACGAACGACAGTTCTGAAATAGAGGTCCCACGCCCGTCGTCCGCTGCCATCGCCGTCCCCGCGAGTCCCACGATACGCGAAACGACGAACGCACAGAATGCTTCCGGTTGTCTGTGGAACTTTTTTTTCAATCAACGTATTTACAGCTTTTTAGAAGCCACAAAAAATGGGTTTCATATTTGTTTCTATTTTTAATATTGAGTGTGTGCCTTCAGTGACCCACGACTTTGATTAAATTTGGTGGTCGCATCGATACCTTAGAAAATGGCCCGTGACCGCGAAAAAGAGAGTGAGCGAGACTCGAACCGGCCAGTTCTTGATCGGCGGTTTTCGGGCGGAAAGAAACCGATTTTCGAGCCGCAAATTCTGTTCTGGGTAGTAGAGCTCTCATATGTCACGTACAACTAAAAACCTCGGCGAGCATAAATACCCTGTCAGTGTCCCTTTAACGGGAACAGCCATTGTGCCGTCTGGCTGTCGGCACTCTAGACTATCCTCGTATGTGATGTATACTCGTTTTCATGTTTCCTACAGTTGTAGTGTCAAAGTGAAAATATGCGAGCACATAATTGAAAAAGCAAGTTGAATTAGGCTTGTGCCAAGTTATCCAAATAGTGCTTGCCGTACAAAGTGCCGGCACTCAAGGCACTCTTTATTGACATAGAAGTCCATTTCCACAGCAGCACTGCCCGCCATAAGCAACAGATAATCCTGACACATTACAACAGCCCTTTGTTATGACTGGAACTTGGCTGAAGCCACGGCATCCAACTTCGCTCTTTGTAATTTTGGTAGGTCTTTACATGTCGTACTTAGCAGCAGTTACCAGATTTTTCTGTTTTGTAATTGTCATGGAATTTAATTGTGGTGGTCGAAGAAAACCTGGAAATATCGTGCGATTTGACAGAAGTAGTTTGGTAGATCCCCTGCTACCATATAGGCGAAGGCATGTTGGCAAACTGTCTGCTAATCACGTATGCTTTTCAGGAAAGACCATCAACAGGAGAAGAAGAAGGCGAGGGAGGCTCGGGCGGCGTAAGTGTCTCCCTTTTGGGGTCTCGAGCAGTCGACTTACTGAGCTCTAATTTTGCAGGGAGAAAGCGCAGAAGCAACAGAAACAAGAGGAAGCTGCACAGGAGGAGGAGACGGAGGTGGGTCGAGACCGAGCCCTTTGGAAGGGGGGGAGGGGGGGTTCTACCAGTGAGGTCTGGGAAACTGGAGAAAATTGTAGGGGAATTCAATCCAAAGTGCCCAGAGTTGGAGAAGTTGGTTTGTGGAGTATGGGGGGGTGCTCCATTTTTCAGCATGTGCCTGCACTGCAGAGAATTGCACCAATATTGATGGATGTTTCAAATTGTTGACGTAGAATGTCGCGGACGTGTTTTTCAGGGGGCCGTAATAAAACAAATGAGCAATCTGAAAAAAAAAAAAAAAAAAGTTTAAGCAGCTCACTATACAGGGTGTTTCAGCAAAGACTAAAAATCTCTAGAAATAGGGTGGTTGAGAAAAAAAAAAAAGAAACACTTTCCTGGGAGAAACTTGCAGCCATGGCAGATATCGGGTATTGCAAAAACATACTAATTAGCTAAATAATTACCACAAATTTACTAATCCACTTTTCGATTGGTGAGGATAAAGATATGGTTTGAATTAGAAACCTGCTAAGCATCATTGAAAACCACTAAACCAACTCAGTTTAAAAAGATATAAGGCAGGTACAGCATTTTATGGCAATTAAAAAAAAAACAAAAAAACAATCTGGTTGAGTTTCTAGGTTTTGGTATCCTGTTTGAGTGCATGTTTGTGCCAGCGGCCCTGCCCCCCAGTGGCTGAGGTGCTCAACGCATGTGCGCCTCACTTCCATCCTACAAGCGAGGTGAGGTGATAGTTTTGTGCCTCAGCCACATGGGGGCAGGACTGGTGCAAGGATGCACTCTAATAGGAAACTGAAACCTAGAAGCACAAATATTTCTTTGGAATGTCATAAAATGTTGCACCTGCCTAATATCTTTCTAAAATGGGTCGATTTAGTTGTTTTCGATGGTGCTCAGCAGGTTTCAAATTTAAATTGTGTTTATCTTCACTGTTCGAAAAGTTTAGTAATTTTTGTTTATTATTTAGCTAATTAGAATGTTTTGTTGCAATTCCTGACGTCCACTGTGACTGGCAGTTTGTTCCCAGAAAGAGTTAATTTTTTTTCTCAACCTCCCTACTTTTAGCGATTTTTGAAAGTCTTAGCTGAAACACCCGGTATATGGGCAGCCAGCGATATACATATTCCTCGAGTGACGGCCGAGAAATCCTTCCACCCTCTCGGCATCATTGCGTTTGAAGCGACTTCGTTGGTGCCGTTGCGGCCATAGGGTATTTGGTGTTTGGGGCGGTGCGGCTCCTCGGGTATTTTGGCGAGCACCCTGGGAGCACGTCCACCTCGGTGGCATCGACGTCGCGTTCCAGCCTCCGGAGCGCAAGATGTAAGGTTTGAACCCCAGACCCCTTCCCCGGAAAGTCTTTGGGGCGTTGCTCGTAGCCTCGCTCGCTTTGTGATGCGAAGCCCGAGTACGTCCTTTACCCCGCGAGCGCGGTTCGAAAAGCCATGCCCTGGTACGAGCCCGGCGGGACGATTCTGCAGATAGTCCTGGGGTGCCTGCTGCGGCTCGGAGACCTGGGCGAGGGCACCAGCTGGGAGAGCATCAAGCAGGCCCTGGCACCGTACGCCGAGGTGGCCTTCGTGGACTACGCCCGGGGTCGGACAGAGGTACGTGCGTCAAGGTACGGTGCCTGGGAACGAGTCTCCAGCCGGTGCGTTGATCGCATCCAAGAAAGTAGCCTCCCCGATTTGGGCCCAACGACATTGTACGAGCGTCACGCCGTCGCCGGCCATTTTGACGGTGTCGCAGCGACGGCGGTGGATGTGGCAGCGGCCCACTTCACCGCAGATCACACTGCAGCTAGGCAGTCTGAGGAAGTTCGGGCAGTCGGGAGTTGGGATGCCGTGGCAACGGCGACACTCACATTGGCTCGTGCTTTTTGCCGGTACTTCTAGTGCCAACCGCCAGGATCCCGACATCCGAAGGCATGACACTTCAGCTTTTGTGAGGTCATTTGTTGCCGCTTTGGGAACACTTTGGATGCACGGGCAGAATGGGACGCCTAGCGCACTGGTTGGAGACTCGTTTTAGGCACCGTAGTGGAGGAACGGTGCACGGGGGCCTCACCCGGTGCCGTGTGCAGGCGGTGGTGCGCTTTGCGGAGGAGGGCTCGGCCCAGGCGGTGCTGGGCCAGCTGGGGGCCCTGGAGGAGCCCCTGACCATCGACGGCACCCGGGTGACGACGAGCGTGCTCGAAGGGGACGAGGAAGCAGAGTACTGGAAGAAGCTGACTGCGGCCAAGAGGGAGAAGAAGGGCCGGACCAAGGGAGGACAGCGCGGGGCACAGGGCCAGAGGGGCCGGGGAGGTGAGCCCTTCGGTGTGCCTTCGGGGGGGCTCATTGTCCGAGGGATTGCCGATGCACGTCTTAAAGGCTGCTCAATTAAATTCGAAAGACACGTGGAACATCACTCGGTGTTGTCCCTTTATATTGTAGTCTTTCAAATTTGTGATGTATGTCGGTGCGCGTAAAAGGACTGGCATTCATTTGATTTCGGTTCTCGTTACCTCCAACTGTTCCTCTATATTTGGATCGGTGCCACTTTGTTGGCATACAACTCCTGGTTTTGGGTAAAAGCAATCCAGCTGTATGTATGTAGTGTAGTATAAGGCTGCCAAGACCGAGCTTTTCTTAAACACAAAAGGGGAAGGGGGGGCACGCTTATCAGAGAGCCGCAAGCCGCACTTGATTGCGCGAAGAGTTGCTCGCGAGCTGTGCTTCGGCCACCCCTGCTAGAGCATTGACACTTTGTAAATTTGTCCGTCTCTAATTGACACTAAACCTATGAAAAATAACTTTTTCCTTTCCTTTTAATTAGAACAGGCATATCTCAAAATAAAATCTAAAAAAAAAAAAAAAAATTTCCCCCAATATTTGTTACAATACAAATTTTTCAAACTGCGGGGGAAACCGAAATTGTACCCCTGTGTAATGATGATGATAGCTTTTGTACCCAACTATACTCCGTTTCACCTTATGTTGTACCACAGACAAGGCTAGAAGCACGAGCTCATAGAGTTGGGAACTACTCTTAACGCACGAGAGCTTGTGCCGCCGAAATGTGCACTAGAGCAAGGAGCTCGCGCTTGTAGCCTTTCCTGCGGTACATCATAAGGTGAAGCAGAGTATAGTGTGCGCTCTGAGTGTCTAGTGAACTCTGAGCGTACGCTAGTTGGGTACAAATGCTATCATCATCATCATCATCCACAGGGGTACAATTTCGGTTTTGTCTGCAGATAGAAAAATTCATATTGTGACATTGAGCAAGAAAACAAATTTTTTCCTAATTTCTTCTTTCTTTTAAGGCAGATAAGAACATATTCACATAGCATGTCTTGGGGTGACACATTCAATCACTAAGGACACAATCGTGCAAGAAATATTTTTGCCACCTACCTTGGCTATATCTGGGGTTGCATTATGTGTGTTCGAGTGTGTGTATGGCTGATCAGTGGGGCGTTTAATAGTGTCGTTTCCCCCCACCGATTTGTTACAAACATGTATTTATCAATGTTTTTCGGTAAATATTGGAAACCCTAGCGATAATTACTATAGTCTGTGACAGGTTAAGAGTTCAGGGGAAGCTCCTCCCACCTCTTTCCCAACAGACATATACAGTGAGGACCTTCAAAGTGTTAAGGCCAGCAGAGAAGCAGACGGAGTCCGGTGAGGCAGCATGGCAGTGGCATGGCAGTGGCATGACTACCATCTCGCAGAGCGTACCACGACGACTCCAGCATTTTAATGCCGCCCCATAGAAACCACCACAAAACACTCGTATCGCTACGACTTGGCAACGTAGCATGAGCTGGCAGCAAATTGTGACAAAAAACCATCGGTGCTGACCATATTGAGATCGTAGTCTTCGTGCTCATTATAGGCCTATCCGCTTCCACTTTACCAAGCGACCAAGGGGAGGCATATTGAACTTAAGCGGCGACACGATCGTTGGACTCTCATATTATTGCGCAGAAACTACCACGGAGAAAAGCGGATAGCGGGACAACTTTGCAGCTTAAACCCGGGTAGGTGAAAAGCAGAAAATCACCGAGAGAACAGGGTGTCACCGTTACCAAGCACGCTCGCTGCCGTATTGAAAAAAGATAGTTTGTCAAGCTGCAACATCAGTGATGTCAAGAAACCCCTTTAAGAAGACAGGACTCTACAAATATGGTTATGGATGTAATCTCCGTCGCAGAAACCTTTGCGCTCCAGATTTTTGGCAATCCCAGCATATCCATTCTTTCGACAGACAAACAGATTCCTCAAACACCAGCTGCCATCAACATTTGGAGGAATTGGTTTCCGACTGTTGCTCCTTTTTGTAGCCGATCACTACAGCCGGCATGAGCGATCACAACACAAACGATGTACAGAGCGCGACACTGTTAGCGCGAACAAGTGATCGCCGGTTTTTCCAGTTTTTCTCTTTGAAGCCAAGGGATGTCACCCAAGTTATTATTGCTACGGAAAGAGCTCATGTATTTCTATAATGTAAGCGATAACGTTTCGTGCTCGCTAATACTATTTACAAGTAAAATGCAAAAATGCACCGATGTCACGTTCACGCTAACAGTGTTGCAATGTGCAAGAATGCGCATGTACAAAAAAGTTGGGCAATAGAAAGGAATTTTCGTCAGATTGTGTGCTCGACGGACAACTCTGATGGAAACAATGATATTTTATCTTGCAGGTTTTAATTCACCATACCCGTTTCACTGTTATTCCCCAAATCTTAGGTAATTTATTTACTCTGGAGCTGTTTGGAAGGCACCCAGTTCTATCCCCAAAAATGTTTTCTGCGGCAATTAAATCTTTAACTTTCAGCAAAAAGAAAAATTTGGTTTTAGGCGAATTTTGCAAATCTGGTGCAGAGTTATTTGACTGGAAGGGAGCAAGTTTCCTGCTGGCAAAGTGCCCAAAATTGCCGTTTCTCATTGACCTCTTAAAGATTTGGCGTTTCCGGTTAACCTCTTGAGCGGTTGAACTGGAAGTTTAGTTTTTCTCCAAGTTAGTACTAAAACTAAGCTGCCCTTTGTGGATAGTTTTTAAGTGCCCCTCATACAATGAGCTGCACTTTGCGATAAATTTATACTCTGGTAATTGACAGAGGGGTGCATTATATTTTGGTACTTCAAATTGTTTTAGATGTTTGAATTTTTGTGTGTATCGTGAAAGGGGTTGTTGTTAGACAGATCCAATTGGTTGAATTGTTTGGGTGCCAACTTGTCTTTTAGCTGGTATTGCGGCCATTTGCAGGGAGACAAGGCGGCAGAAGGGGTAGGGGTCAGGACAAGAACGAAGCCAAGCGAGGTGCGGCAGACAAACCAGCCGGCGACACACCCGCCAAGAAGGCCAAGACAGAAGAAGCCGCAGACTAGGCACCCCTCCGCCCATTGTCAACCATTCTTTGATTTCATTCAGCATTTGTCAAAGAATAATACATTTATTTTCATTGAATCCTGCACAGTGTCCTTCGAGTGATGCTCAGGACTGTCTAATTGTTGGCCGATTTCATTGTGAACCTCGGCTGCAATCTGTCTCCACCTTAGCAGTGAAGATGCCCCCAGCCGAAGATGCGATTGCCTCAGTAGCCGAGATCAGTGTTTGGCCTACCTGGCTATTAAACCATATGTTGCTTATGTGAAAGCACTGTGGATTCCAGAGAAATGCACAATGATACAAGTAATTGTAATGCTGCAAAAAAATTTTTTTCTGTTTAGTTGCAGCAGGGTGGTGCGTTGAAAGTATCAACTTTGTGTCGGTAAAAATAAACTGGCTAAATTATGCTGTGTTGAAGTGTATATTGGATTCCAGTGGCTCTGGTACACTGGGCACTTTGTCTGCCGACAAGGATCGAGGCCCGCAACTACGTTTTTTAAATGCGATAGCATTTATAGGGTCACCAGACCACAAGATTGTGCGTCTGTCTTTCCATGCATCCATAAGCACACAATTCAGAGGAAAATCTATGAAAGAATGTATAATTCGGAAGAAATCACCTTTGAACGTCATCCAATGAGAATTGAACCCAGGACCCCGTGAGCCTGACACTACTACCGTGCCAGGGGGACTTTTTTTTTCTTTATTGTGTGCCAAGGGGAGACTTGGAAACCGAGATTACTTTGCTATCTCAAGGTTAGGAAGTGTGTGAGTAGGGACCATATCGCGGAATTTGATGTCACCTAGAGGATAAGAAAAGCGTGTACAGGAAGTTTTGTAGCTATCATGACCATATGGGATACCAGGGGTGGAACGGCTGCGCCATCCTGTGCCATTTTGTGGAAACTGCGACACAGCCAATACTTCGCGCCAAGATTTTTTTTTTTATTTTGTCTTGGTTTCGGTTTTTATCAACTCTATTGGCAACAATGAGCAGGTTTAGCTTGGTCGGTCTTTGTTTGTCGGCCTTGCAATCCTTTGTTCTGTTTATTTTCCCTGTGTCCAAAGTCGGAAGCGTGTGAAAAAACTCGAGGGTTGGATTCCAAGCGCTACGCCACCTGCGACTGGATTGCTATTCTTCAACTATAAGCGGTTAAGCAAGTCGGCTAAGGTGAGGTCGAGTCGTTAAGCGTCAAATGCCCGAGGCTCTGCGGCCCGGATTCCGGACATCGGCCAGTTGACAACACATTAGCAAAAGATTCCTTTTAGTACTTCATCGTTAGAAGTTGGAACCGCATTCCTGCAAGATAAATCGCGATTTGATAGAACTGAAATGCAGTCCGATCCGAAACCTTGCTGGCCAGCAGCTCTCACACGAGCGGTAGATCTGCTCGGCGTACTTTAACCTTGCTCCGGCTTATAGCTTCGAACACGATAACTCCGTTAATCGTAGTCCGCTGCTTCGATATTGAGTTGTACAATAGGATAAACTCGAACTTTGTTGCCCTGTTCCTCCGTGCAACTGCACGTCCGTTGCTTACGCACGTCATGTGGTTGGCACATATAATTATTATGTCGAGCACATGTGGGTTGTGCTATAAGCAGTGCTGGTTTGCATTTTGAGCAGCTGAAAGCCATTCAGAAAATATCAAGGACACTATCTTCAGAAACATGGTACTTGCTTTTTGGTTTTCATTAAGACTCGTAACGTTTCAGGTTTTCTCATCTGTTACACTGTCATCCCATCTACCTAGGTTCCTAACCACTCATGTTCATCTGTGCTGCTAAGCATAATTGAAATAGCTCTCTTGCTCGTTTAAGACACAAGCTGAAGTGCAATGAAAACTGATCTGAGCCGCTTCCAACCTGCTCCAAAACAGCTGTTTCAGCTGCTCCAGTGGCTGCTCCCAAGTACATTTCATGAGTTCCGCCCCTGGATACGGTCCATTCGTCACATGGGGATTCGTTAAGGACTAGCAATAGGCCCGTTTGTTACAGCGGAACATTGGTCATAGGATGATTCGTCATGCGGGCAACCCATCGCATAATGGCTTTTCCCCTAAAAAACTTGTGTGTTCTGTTTGGGTCAGCATGGTTGATCGAGTGTGTAGAAACTGAAGCAAACATTGTATGTAGCCCAGGGTTCAATCCCAAACGGAATGTTGCAGTAGGCCAGAAACTTGAGAACAACATTTTTTCGAACTGCAACTTCATTCCAAAGATGGAGGCGATCGCGACGGAGAGGGGTGGAGCGATGCTGCTTCACGACGGGTTTTCATGTACATACAACAGGAGGTACTATCACAATCAATGTGCGAATGCCGTACCGTGTGACCCACCATACTATCGGTGTCCCCTGTTGAATGCTGCGTAAAACTTGGATGCAAGGGGAATCGAGACAATTGGACTCCTGCACTCGTTGCGACGCCCTTCACTTTCAAGTCGTCTACATGAACCGACCATGGCCTCCGCAATTTGTCGCACGCATGCACATCATTTTGTATGTTCATGATGGGGCAAAGCTGCAAAGTGGTTGACTGGTTGTTGCATGATAATAACTCGGAGCGACGCCAAACTCGCTGTGGGAAAGTTTGCGATTGATTTAGGTTGTGTCCAGTTGCTTTTACGATTCCAGGGAGGGAAAGATTGACTACGCTTGCACCGCACCAACGTCTTGCGAGTGGATTTGCTGTCTTTCGCTTGGCGGCATACAAGGGAACGTTGCTGACTGGGAAGTACAGTCATCTTTGCTTTATTGCACCGCCGCGACAAGTTTGGCAGGGACACATGGTCTTAAAATAGCATTTTTTAAGACTTCTTTATTACACACCGAAGGTTAGCCCACTCCTTAATTTGACCCAATGTTTTCGATTTTAGGTGGGCTATCTTTCGGGATATTATGGTATGCACACCCTCCGGCAGTACTTAAATTTACATGCATATTACATTAGTTCTTATTAAAGCATCCTGTCCTATTGTTCTAACTGCACGATCGTCAGGGAAAATAGCAATTTGCTGAAAATTATGGTTTGTAAATTATATCCTTTGCTTCTTGATGCGACCAACTGTCTGATGGATGAGTCAACCCATGACGAATGTTCCTATGCGACGAATCATCCCGTTACCAGTCGACCTCCCACTCGTGCACATGTGACAAATCATCCTCATCCCGATCATATCGGATAATTGGGTGTCGTCGAAAAATAAAAATTTCGATGCAACCAAATGAAAGAAAAAAAAAGGAATAAGTCTAATGTCAACCACATATCCCACGAAAGAACACATCCCATGTCTTTACCCATAGGGTCAAGGTAAATCAAGCATATAAGTTGTAAAAGAACAGTAGTCATATACTGACCACTGCTGCAATGCATTTGAGTACCGTATTTATTCGAATATAAGGCGGTCACGATTATAAGGCCAGGGGGCAGTTGAAGGACCCAAGAAAAAGAAAAACAAATCGTATTGCTATACTGAGCTTCGAATATAAGGCGGGGTATGAATGAGACTACGGATTTTGGAAAAAAACCTCGCCTTATATTCAAATAAATACGGTATGTCCTTTTTTCAACAGACCAGGTGGTGTCAGCATAAACCAGTGGGTGCAGAGAGCAGGCGCTGCAGCATGATCTGGAGGTGATGCAAGCACAATGGCTGCAAGCAAGAGGGGTGTTCGGTGAACATGATGTAGGGGTTCAGTTAGCCTCGGGCAAAAGGATCCCAAATGGTATCGCATTACATCTTTGGCCCAGAGACAAGGCATAGAAAAGGGGGGGGCGCAAAGCAAGCGGCGACGAACCGGCTGCCTAGGACGCAACAGTACAACTTGCGCCATGTAGGGGCAAATAGGGGCGGCCTAGCAGAAGTAGAGACGGCGGTTGTAACGCCATGTTTTGAGGCGGCGGAAACTAGAACCTTGCGCTTGAGCGCAGAAAAAGCACCCCGAGGGAGCATGGATGTTAATGGCTGTACCCGTGCTAGTGGCCAGAATGGGTTAACATATTTGACGTCATCGTGACGTCGCCCTACTTTTCTCTTTTTTTTTTTTGCTCATCGGTCGCTCTTTTTCTTGCTCCTTCGCTTGCTTGGACGTCCTAGCCAAGACTATGGCTGTGCTGGCCTGGTTAAGTTTTGACAGATTGTTCCGGCGACAAGCAAACAATTCTCTCCGCCGCCGCCTCTTTTCCGAGTCGTTTACACTCCTCGCCACGTGCAGCTTCTCTCTCCCCCCTGGCTTTGCGCAATGCCGTGCGCTCTTCGGTGACCACCTGTGTGACGCACTTGAGCCTGCACCGTGCTTGGCGTAGCCGCGCTATAAAATGTCTCTCACCCCCCAGACATTCCGCAATGCCGCGCGCTCTTTAGAGCGCCAGCTTCGCTGGACTTCTCTCTTCACTGCGTGGAAGGGCTCTAAATTTTTTGTTAAGTAGTTTATGTTCAGGTTGTTTTTTTAAGCTGACTCCCAAACATGATTAAAACGTTTTTCAGTGATATCGCGCAGCAATGCAAAGCAACTTGTCACGGCCTCTAAGGTCTTCGCCAGTCACAGGACAACGACTGCAATCAGCTCCGGGGTGCTGGGACGCAAAAGTGACACACATTTTCTCATTAACACGTGACCCTTCGGCAACAAACGAGGGTTGTCCTTTCGGCTTGCATCGCAAGTATCGGTATCCAGAAGTTTCGAGAACAAAATTTGACAATGAATAACTTAAACTGCATACTCGATCCAGGATTTCTAAAAAACTGGGCTGGCTTTCAACATTGACTGCCTCCATTTCTTCTAAATAAACATGTGCCCTAAAATGTCTAATTGAAAAAGTAATTTTGAATTTTCATTTATTAGTGCATTTTCTCTCAAACATGATGTCTACCTGGCCGTATAACTCGCTCGTACAGACCACAATTCTATAGCTTTCAGCCTTTTTTAGAAAAACAAGTATTTAATATATTAAAAAAAAAACAAAAAAAAAACATCCTTTGAGAGAAGTGTGCGTTTCTGCCCATTCGGTCAGCCGTAGAATCCGTTACTCTGGCTGCGGTCGCCTCGGGCTACGGTTCTCGCACACGAGGAAGCGCAAGTGGGGGGCCAAAATGTTGCCTCTGCTCTCAAATCTGTCCCGGCGACAAGTGTGCTCGTTCGACGTCCACTCAAACAGAAATGTCTGAGGTAACAGAAGGCAAAGACGACTTGAGGTTCGCTCAGTTTATTGCCTCTCCCGAACGACAAGGGGGTCTCTAGGTCTAGGGAGGCACGAGCAAAAGCGGCGGGGACGGGAGCAAGCGGCGTGCCTCCGAAGGCTCCCCCCCGTCCCCAGTGGCCGCCCGGTGCCGCTGGCCGACCGCACGCCCCACCGGGGGGCTGCCAGCCCGGCGTCACTGTGCACTGCACTCGGTCGCTGCAGTGCTGTCTGAAGATCAAGAGAACTGCTGCAGCGCCGTCTTGACCCTGCAACAGAAGAGCTCCGTGAGCGTCTGCCACTCTGGCACACGGGAGCACCCACTTGTCGAAAAGTGTTGTGTCGCTTGTGATGAGCAGCGACTGCAGCAGCTTCTGCACTCCGAGCTCTCGCAGCTTGGCTTGCCGTTCGCGGGCACCTGCACACACAGTGGCGTTCCTTTGCAGCCCGTGGCCGCCAAACCGTGGCCGCCGTCGCCAAACAACCTTTTTTGACCTTTTCCCTCATCCGAGAGCCTCAAATTTCGAGCCAAAATGGAAAGAAACGGAATGTGCCGACGGCTGGACCGGCATTTACAGCCCCAGCACGCGCCTGTGACACGTTGCGACTCACCCCACCAACTCTACGAATTTACGAGTGTCGTCCTGCCTTCGAGGAGAAAACGAGTGGAGTTTGCCGTTCGCTTGACGTTCATTCGTCTCTAAGAGAGTGACAAGCTAGCTGGTGACTTTAGCTTCTTAACTTCCAAATCCTTTTAATGTGAAAGCATTAACTGTCTCATGGAGCGAGCTGACGTCATCAGTCTGAAGCGCGAAAACGGCAGATAGTTTCCTTCGGTTCCATTGGCTGGCGCGCGTCGACGGGGCTCCCATTGGATGCTGCGCTCGTCAGTTTCCACGACCGTTCACCCCATGGCGCTGCGTGTCCATCAGCGCGGAGCGTCCAAGGTCACCAGGGGAGCACACGCGCCGACCGGCGACGAAAAGTATGCAGCAGACGAAAAAGGGAGCGGACGAGCGGCTTGCATGCTTTCGCATTCACAACTCATAAGGAATGCTTATGAGTTGTGATCTCCGATTCTGCCTGTTCTTCCAACTCCGATTTTTTAAAATTAAGTACTACTACATTCTTTGATGGGAAATGTCATTAGCTGGCAAAAAGAATTACTTATTGTCTTTGTCTCTTCCCTAGTTGTGGTTTTGGGAACGCCTACAGACTGAAATACTTTGTCCACAGTAATATGTCAGGAAATCAAATTTTGCGTTACATTTTTGTAAAAAAATTCCAACTTGTCACTCGTGACAATAATATGGCAAATCTAATTACCATAGCTATCCTTGTTTTGGAATTACATCATAATCAATACATCATCTGAAAGCCTGAACAATGACCTATCAAATGAGCCCCAGGTTCATCATTTTGTATGCAAATGACTTTAGTAACAGAAACCCCTCAGAAATAAAAAAATGTAAAAAAGCAATTAATTCAATGTATACAGTGAAACCCATTTAGAATGAACCCACGTACAGCGAATTATTGTCGATATCAAACTCGTGGAACATTTAAATAAAAATGCATGTAAAAAGTATGTTTTACAACGAACAACATATTGGCTATAACAAACGTTTTCCCCCCGGGAAGGCTTCCAAAAACGCGCAAACAATTGTCTTCTGGCCTGTCCCTTCCCCCCCAAAAAAAAGTACAAAAGAAAGAAAATTCCAGAAGCTCAAGTTGCAAACAAAATTGAGCATACAGAAGCGATTCAGAAGGGGAGAAAGCTAAAAAAAATACACTCTGCACACACACACACAGACAAAAAAAACTTTTTATCCCAAAGCGTTTGCCCACGAAGAGAAGCGATTCAGAGGTGGAGATAAGCTAAAAAAAACTACTCTGCATGCATGCATGCAAAAAAAAAAAAGAAAAACACTTTCCAGCACGTTGTTACAAGGCGGAAGTGAAGTGATGAGAAAGAAAGAGAAGCTCTCGCCTTACAACGAAATCATCTTGGAAGTTTGTTGTAAATGTTTTTTGCTATATCGAACTGATCATAGCATTTCCTGCTGTTCGTTATAAATGGGTCCGACTGTATCCTGTGAACACCCAACTTTCTTTTAAAAAGTTATTAGCATATTAAAAGTACTGGTTTCTAGACTTTCGGTTGCAAAAACCAAAATGAATGCCACCACTGCTGCTCCTGATGTGCGTCCAGAAACGTCTGCACAGTCTTTATGCATTGGCATTTAAAGCTGCTGTATGCACTGGGCTCATTCGATTTACGTGCCCAGGCCTACAGCGGTGCAACTAAGTGTAGCGTGGTGCAGAGAAGTACAGGGCAGCATACTTCCACAGAGTGCTTTAAAGATAGGCTAATCGGGCAGCGTACACCGAGTGTAGTCAAGTGCAGGAGGTGAATCGAATGAGGCTCTAGGCTCGTTGATACTTCAGTATCGGAAAGCCACACAAATTTCTCCTTTCAAGGTAGGCCTAGAGGCTTACCTGGAAATTGCACACAAGGAACATACTACACAGGTAGGGTTGTAAATTGGGCCCATTGGTAACAGTTAACATTTCAACATGTTTCACATACCAAATGCGAATGGGACTGTCATGCATGTAGATTGTCTGCCAGGACAGTGAGTATAGGCTCGACTGGCAAGTATTTGAGCGTCACTTGATCGTGCAATGGTGCAATGGGTCACCCTTCAGTAGAAAGCTCGGGTGGCGTCAACGTCTTGAGCTTAGGCGAAACCACACAATCCTCTCCCAGACACCAGCCGTAAAAGCTTGAGATGCGCATAATGCCCACCTTCCTCCTCGTTCCAGACCAGGTTGGAGATGCAGAAGGTGGCAGCTATCTGGAGCTTGACGTTGGAGTGGGCCTGCGAGAGAGGTGAGGCTTGGGCCCTGGCTCGAACACTGGCTCAGCCTGGCCCTGACCACTCACAATGTAGGTGGTGAGCTTCTTCAGCACGTCCTCGTTGGACATGATGAAGGCCTTGGCAGTGTCCCCGTCAGCAATGTTGGCCAGAATACACAGTGCCTGCTCCTTCACGTCGGCACTGTGGTCCCCCTCCAGGATCAGGATCACTGCCTGCATTATCTGGGTGCCGTGGCTCTCCATGATGTGGTCGATGTGCTGCAACAGCCGCACGCATTGCTTAGCCACGACCCTCCTCTCCAGCTCTGGCATCTCGCAAAGCCGGCACTGGCAACGTCTGCTTTGAGAGTCTTTTTCCTCGTAGAAATAATGCTTCTAAAGGTCCTGGTCTGCTAAAAGCCACAGCGAGAGTTGAGAACAATGTCCAAGACAAAAAGTTGCACGGTAAGATCCGGAGTCCGTTACTGGAAGCATGCTTGCGCTAGGAGAGCAGCCCCAAATATTGGCTGTGCTGTGGTGTTGTCCAACTCGACGGCTATGTTCTCGCGGATGTGGCTGCAGCACAGCGAATCGAGAGGGGACCAATTGCACGTACCCAGCGCCCCTCTTCTATTCAATCATAGTTGTCTCATCTCGATTCTCGATGGCTGCATTCGTGTACACGTAGTCAACGATTCGACAACACCGCTGCAGTATCACCTACGAACAGCAACATAAACTTTTGCAGCAGCTACCGGTGGAGGACGCTGCTGCGCAGTTTAAAAACGTCAGGAAGTGGCTCGTAACTTGGTTCAACTAATGTACTCGGCCGAAATTTCTGCATCTTGCCTTCACTAGTGAGGTCGCCTTCCAGTGAAGCCTCGGTGCTCCATGATGCACGGTTCCCTTACGCGCTGCAGAAAGCCCCTAAACCTTTTTATGGGCAGACCCGGTAGAAGGTACCTATTGTCTTCCAAGACTGACAATATACACACTGTAGAAAACCATGTAACATAAGTATGATGGAAACTCGCCACTGGCATGCAGTCGGTGACAATGGACTCCGCTATTGGCTTTGGGAGGCACCTGGACGTAAAAATGCAAGTGATGATGTGCAATGACAAAGGATGCGATAAAAGGAACAAAAACACTAGCACAATATTAATACTTCTGAAATCATCAGCAGGTTACGGCTGTTTCACACACTTGGGACCGCTTATGACCGTGAGTGCCTTGAAACCTGTTGGGACCTCTCACAATGAGAGAACAGACTTGCGCCATCTACCAAAAAGCCGTGGAAGGCATTTTCCCAAATGTTTTATTTTTTTCACTCGTCATTTTTTCACTACTGGTTTGAAAAATTTTGTCAATGTTATAAACTGCCATTCCTCATAGGTAGCATATACATTCGATCTCGCTAATGCTGCAAAATCTTGGCTCTAGTGAAATGTACTTTCAGGGTCAGCTCATAGAAGGCACCAGCGTGTTCTCTTGTCGTCAGGATCGCAAGAGCTCAGTCGTAAGTGAACGCAAGTGTGTGAACGGGACTTTATGAGCCACCCGGATGTTTCTCTGCCTGTTCTCGAGGCCATTCTCATGGCGGGCAGTGTGTGTAGCGAAGTGTGCCCCCCTCAGGAGGACCGGTGGGTCTCCGTCGGTCCGATTGACAGTTCCCTCAGACTTTGCCCAGCATCATACAGCGGAGTGGGGCGACGGTAGCCCACCTGCTTGATGGAGAGCAGATTTCGCAGCAGGCCCAGGGTCTTCATGAGTACGCTCACGTCCGGGTCCGAGAGCAGCCGGAACACTTGGTCCGTGCCCAGGGTCGACAGAATCTGGGCCTTGATCTTCTGGTCTGCCTGGAAGGCCATGTTCATCAGGGCCCAGCAGCCGTTGAGGCGCAGTGCCGGCTCGTCTCGACGCGTCAGCCCGCACAGCAGCTCCACCGCTCCGCACTCCAAGATGGGCTGCGAGGGAACTCCGACTTGTCAGGGGAGACGCCACTCGAGGAAGGCGCCGAGGGTTCGCCTGTGACTCGGCGAGGACGAGACGTCCTTTTGCACTGTACAGCCCTTTTCAGTCTCGACTGCCTGGCCAATCAATACATGATTGCCTGTGCTCTTGCCATCGAATTTGGTTCATTAGTTTGTTCCGAAGAACACTTGGCAGTTTTCTCATTTATGCACAGCCTGCGCTTTTCCACTGCAGTCCAAGCTGACAACAGGAACAGCTTTGTGGATACTCAAGCGCAGAAGACTCAAGTGGCCAGCTCGATTTGGAAAATCAAGCGCACTGTGGTACGAGAATAACATCACCACCATCGTCGAGGGATAGCACTTCACATTAGCCTTGGTAGAGTTAGTGTTGGGTAAACAACATTAAAAAAAAAAAAAAAGAACTAAAGTACAAAGTAAGTCAGACATTATGTACTTGAAGTATTAAATACACTGGGCGCAATGTACTTGAAGTACAATACTATACTAAATACAATGTACTTGCAAAGTAAAGCACAAGTACTTTTTAACAATCTTCTATGATGCCCTTTCATTCCCCTACACAGTTTTTTTTAACTACTAGTATGCATTGGCCCAAGAATAATCAAAATGGGTCCATATCACATAAATGAACAAAGTTTTACCGAACAGCGCCATTTGAGCGAATCTGTTTTAGCGAATAACGAAAGCGCATGTTAACCCCCCCCCCCCGCCATGCCGCTTCGCAGCGGCAGTTTGTGGTGGCTCATTAGAAAAATGTTAACCGTTAACCCACTTGGCCCACCTGCAAATGCCACTTTGCAGCGGCCGACCATTCGCTAACGTGTCTTTCGATGAAAAGCCGGCGTTCAATAAAGCATTGTTCGACCAACTGAGTGTCACCCATCAAAAATGCATGTGTTTCTTGTTTATTTTTTAATGGTGGCAAATATTAAATAAAGTCAAGTGGCCATAGAGTAGTTGTTTTACTCTCGCTGACAAACTATTAAACACAACTTATAAGGCACTTCTTTCTATCGGTCTTATAGCTGCCATTACTTCACCCTGAGAAATGACCGGATGACGTATCGAAAGACGATAGCATGTTTTTACATGACGATGATAGGACATTTGCAGCCTAAGCTCGTTATAACAGACCTTGATTTTGACTAAGATTTTGGTCTGTTGTAAAAGGAGTATGTTTTGAGTCAATGGTATGTAGACGAAAACTAAACAAACTTCACAAATCGATACAAATCAGTTACCTGCTAAATTTAGCCGGGTAACTGAATTGGTGTTGACGTCACAGGGCGTCAATTTTCCCGCTAAATTTAGCGGGGCATTGAATTGCTGTTGAGGTCACGTGACGTCAATTTTCCCACTAAATCTAGAGGAGAAACTGAATTTTTTCATAGGTGACATGGGACCAAATCATGTGAAGTAATTTTCCCCGCTAAATTTAGCAGGGAAACTGAATTGGTGTTCACGTCACGTGACGTCAATTTTCCCGCTAAATTTAGCGGGTCATTGAATTGCTGTTGAGGTCACGTGACGTCAATTTTCCCACTAAATCTAGAGGAGAAACTGAATTTTTTCATAGGTGACATGGGACCAAATCATGTGAAGTAATTTTCCCCGCTAAATTTAGCAGGGAAACTGAATTAGTGTTCACGTCACGTGACTTCAATTTTCCTGCTAAATTTAGCGGGGAATTGAATTGCTGTTAAGGTCACGTGACGTCAATTTTCCCACTAAATTTAGCGGGGAATTGAATTGCTGTTAAGGTCACGTGACATCAATTTTCCCACTAAATTTAGCGCGGTTACGCCGCCAACGACAGCGACACCGCTCAACCCGTGAACGGGCGCCTAAGAGCTGCGCTCTAAAAATACTTGTATTTTAAAGGTATTGTCCGGCAGCTATAAATCTGATCTCATTGCTCTATCTTTGGCAGTTGCTCCGGATGAGCGAGAGTTTGTGCAGCCGAGGTGCCTTCTTGAGCAAAGAGCTCGCAATTGTCGACTAGTACTGCTATTGCCGTTTCGGTTGATTTACATAAGAAAGGGCTGAGAAGCAAATATTTAGACAAAACAATACTCAGTACAAAAAAAAAAAAAAAAAGTGCAAAGTGTGTGAACATGATGAGAAGAGTACCTTTTTGAGCGGAAATGAATCGACGATATAAAACTATTATTTATGGTGCATGTAGCATTCGAGGCATCGGAACGCGGGCTTGCAGCCGCGGGATGTTTGCGGGCCGTGTCCCAAAGAGTTGCGAGCCGCAGGCAGCCTGCGTGCCGCATGTTTGAGACCCCTGGTCTATAGGGAGCCACCTTATAGACCGACACGCGGCGCGGCTCTCCATGTTTTATACACCTACACCCCCCCCAAAAAAAAAGTTCCCCCAAATTCAAAGAAAAATAAACCTCGGAAACACGGAACCCTAGATATAAGGTATGCACAGCATTAAACGGCACTCCAAAAAAACACTCCGTTTGGACGTGTTTTGAAGGAGGGGTAGGTGGCAACGCAATGAAATACAAATATAAAGCTAGCTTAGGGACAGCATGACTTCCTACACCCTATGATAGAGCAGCACTGCTGTACAGCCTTTGTCAGTTCTAAAAAATGCCTCTTTGGAGCCAATGTAGTGTGGCAAAGCCCCCATAACGAAGACAAGCTAGCTCAATTTGAGTGGAGGTTTATTGTTTTTAGGGGCGAAGCTCCTTAGGGTCTAGCCTTGTCCGTCTGGCGTCCGTGCTCACATCGATCTTGCTCGTGCTCGTGAGCTCACGTGCTCGTGTAGGGCAAAAAAAAAGAGAGAGAAAAAAAGAAATGTTTGCGCAGTTGACAGGATTCGAATCTGCGTGGGGAGACCCCGATGGATTTATAGTCCATCGCCTTAACCACTTGGCCACGACTGCGGGACGAGTAGGGGGGGCTCTGAGATGTGGCAGTAACTCAAGAGCTGGGGTTTCTGTCATGGATGAAACATTGCATGTAGCCGCTCAATGTCTATACAGGAGAGGGCGCTGCGGTCAGATGTGTATATAATCGCAATAAACTTTACATGCATTGGCTCAATGTTTACAGACGAGAGGGCGCTGCGGTCAAATGCTCAAATGCGTATAAAACCATGTTCCATACCACGCATTCTCTTTCTGACATGGATGAAAACGAACTAAGGGCTCGGCATGCTGCGGCTCAGCGTCTACGCATACAAACACCACCAGAGCTTCGCCCCAATCAACATCATTCACCACGTGAAGATGCTGTCATTTTCCTTTTTGGAGGTCATATGCTACTCAATATTTTGCCATCACAAGTTAGTTCAAGAAGCTGCAGATGATTAAGAGAAGCTTAAAAGAAATAAAAAATTGAGTTTTTAAAAAATTCATGTGTAATTTTGCCATATTTAGAGAAATCTGCTGCATTTCTGCATTATTAGCATAATTACAATAATGACTAAGCATATCTTTTTTATATATTTGTAAAATGCATTTAAAGATGCTCATTTTTATACATTTTGTGCCATTTTATATAAAGTAGTTTGTTGGTAAATAATTAGTAAATGCGTCTCTAAATCATGTTTACTTGATGTGCATTGCAGTTTTTTAAATTTTTTATTGTTGTACATGCATGCTTTGGTGTGAGATTGATGGCTGTGCAAAGTACCATAGTGAAATTTTGGCAATACCTACACCTCGAGTTTTGTAATTTCATATCTCCAGAAGAAAATTAGCTACAGCGTTCATATATATCTGAATAGATATATATGAACGCTTTCACATATATGAAAATATATGTGAAAGGCCAAGAACATGGCTTTCACATATATTTTTTACATAAATATAAAAAATATGACCCGGACCATCATTGTATGGTCAGATAGGAAAACACCCTCCCGTTTACTTCTTGTAACATTATCAATAGTAGTTGACACAATTATCACATTCTATTCTATTTGCACAGAGTATTAAAAACTAGGATTGTGTGAATTCTTGGATTTTTTAATAGTAGTTTTGAATGATATGCTATTCAATATTTGCTTCGAGGTGAACTGAGATATTCATATTTTTCTAAGTGTTGATAGCAGCAAGTTGGCCCCGTTGAGTGCACTTCTTACCGAACAGTGGTGCGCTGTGGAGAAGCAACACCCACGGAGCTCACTTCCATGGGTGTTGCTTCTCTGCAGTGCATCGGTGCTCAGATAAAAGCGCGCTCAACGGGGCTATTCCACCGCGATCAACACTTCGAAAAATACAAATATTGCAGTTGCGCGACTAGGAGAAAAGCACACTTTCAAAGTAGGATGGTGCATGTGCGCGCCTGGTGTATTTAGAAAAAAAAGAAAAGCGGAAGCTTTGTAAGCATTGATATTTACACTATAGTAAAATTTATATAATTATACTGTGGCTCACATGCAAAAGTATATGTTAGGTAGAGAGGCCCTGACAACCTGCGTTAATCGTTCGCGATTTTTTTTTTCAAATTTGAGATTGAAGAAAGGGTATTTGCATAAAGCAAGATTTACAAATTCCTTCGATTAGTTGTAGCTGGGCATGTTTATAGGTTTATGTTTATGTCAAATGCGTCATTTATTTGCCATCCAAATGTAGGCATTGGGTTTCTTGAGATTACAGTCCATAAGTGTAGTTCGATTAAAATTAACACACTAGCTTAGAAATTGACACATGGAAGCTTGGGAACAACCTTCACGAGTTCAGCTGGGTTTTCGTTTAATAGTGAAAGGCCCAGAGAAACTATTCGATTCGAGGATATTATGCCCAAACCCCTATTCATTTCAAATTTTCTTCGAACTGAAAATCCACTATTTGCACATGTCTATTTAAATTACGCGAGTAGTATCATTATTCAGATTGCGTGATTAGTACAGTCATGTCTTGTTAATATGGACCTCGTCAGTAGGGATATCCTGCCACTATATGGACACCATTTCCGGGGACAGACTGTGAAAATACATTAAATTTTGTCTCATTATTATGGTCAACTCGCATTATGGATGATTATCTTGGGGAACAGAGGTGTCCATATTAAAGAGACATCACTGCATTTAAATTCACAAAACAAAGCATAACGAAAGAGACGGACGCTGCAACGCAATGCTTCGGGCGGACGCCCTGTCTCGAGCGATGCTAGCAAAGGGTGCCCGCCTAAGGTGTCGCGTGTTCACCATCCTTCCTTTTCGTTTTGCGAATCTGTTCTGTCTATTCAAGTGCCCTTCGCCTTTCGGTCACTCAAATTCACTCCGCACTGAGAGCTGAACACTCGCCTTCAATTCGCTGTCACGGCTTGGGCACGCCCATGCTGCCAGAGGCACGCGGGCAGCTCACCTCTTTGCTGGGCGAGAACTCAAGCAGCAGGTTGCAGAGCGTCGACGAGGCCACAAGAAGGATGTCATCCGGAGCGTTGTGCAGCAGGCACATGAGGGGGCGCCACACGGCGTGGTCTTGGAAGGTGGTGCGCAGCTGCTGCACCGACCGCGACAGGCTGTGCAGGCATCGCACCGCCGCCAGCCGCACCCGACCGTTGGTGTCCGACAGGCTCGACACCACGTGCTCCATCAGCGAGTCCGTCTCGATTATCTGAAACCATGCGCTCCCTAGTACGAGCGGGGCGCCACCCCGCAATTCCAATCCTCCCCATCCCCTTCACGAGAGACGCGAGAATGAAGCACAATTTGGAGTGACGCCCGTCACCAAGGTCCTCAGACGTCTCTGGTCTTTGAACTTTGTCGTTTTCTACCCCAGTAAGTTCATCCGTAGCAATCTTTCAATTAATTGTGGCAGGGGGAAAGGAAAACCTCCCGAGAAACCAAATGTAGTGGCTAAAACTTGTCGATCATTTTTGAAGATTTATTTCTAGGCATTCAAACACCCGTCGTTTGTGCATTTGTACAGAAAGCATTTCCAGACTGTCAATAGAGGTTTCTGCAATCGACGACTCTGCGAGTCCTCCATTTTCACTCTTGACATCAGCTTACTCCCATTGTTAAGGCCCGTTCACACAATGCATTTTTCTCGCGCATCTAGTGTCGCGAAATGTAGTTTCGCGAAATGGTTGCATCGTCTGAATAAGTCCGAAAAGGAAGCGCGCATCTAAAAAAAGTTGCGCGCACACCTCGCTTCTGGAGCGAGCTTTTGCTGAAACTTTGCTGAGTCCTGTCAATCACTCTGAGGGCGCTGCCAATGGCCGCTCAGAAATGCTCTCACGTGGCCTTTGAGGGGGGAGTGAGCTGTTTGAGAAGACCACTTCACTGCCAATGTTGTAGCGGAGCCAAATCCGAAAAAAACCGAAACCACGAACGATGGATAGTGCCGGCGCTTCCGCAAGCACGTCAAGCACCACTGAAGGAAAAGTGAGTAGCATATCGGAAAAAAATCAGCGATGGACGAAGACAATTAGCGGGAGTTGGCGAGATTAGAATAGTGCCCATAGCGTTGTTGTCGCGACGATACCGCTGGATAAAAGACCATCGTGTAAACTGAAACCAAGTTTGCTTTGTTTACAAGCGAACGTGAAACCGTGTGCGCTCTCTGAAACAGTTGGCATAGTAAACTCGGGGCAGACATGGGCGCCGAGAAGTAACCAGATAGAAACCATGTGCTATCAATGCACATGGTTTCTATGAATACCATGTGCATTGATAGGAGCTTTGGCAATGAATTGGCTGCGTACGGGCTCGGCGCCGGCACATGTCCTGCACGTACAGGTTGCCGCCTCAATCGGCTTAGTGCACACGCGAGATCGCTCCAAGTAGTGCAGTATGTGAAAAAAAAAAGAAATTAAAGTGAATTGACTGCATAAAATGCGCAAAGCAGGTCCCCAGATAAATAGCGATTTGATTCGGAGCTCACTCAAAACAGTGCATTGGTGTGTGTTGTTGTTGCACATAAAGCGGTACGTGTGAACGATCACATTTCGCGAAACTTGAGTGTCGTGAAACTGTTGCGCGCCTAAAAGATGCATCGTGTGAACAGACCTTTAGCTAGCAGTCTTCACGAAGCAGCGTCTTTGCACTGGTCTTGCACACGTCGACAGCTTTCGACGCATTTCTGGCGAAACTCGCGTAGGTGCCCACAGTTGACGCAGTGTCTCGAACACTCAAAAAGTTGGTTGGAAGCCTTCCTGAACCCCTGGCAAGTGTTCGAGGCGAGCATGAATGACTCTAGCTCTACCAGTAGGCTCCTTGCCCGGTCTGACTGACTCCCCTCCACCACCGACAGCGTGCCTCTGGCGCTCCAGTTTCCGGTGTGTCTCCGGGGAAAGCTCGATATCTAGCAAAACTGAACATTTCCAAACCAGGGACATCCAGGGACCCTCACTCGGCTATCGTCAGAAGAACGTCGATAAGCCGTGGTTGCGATACATTTGCCCCACCCACCCACCTTTATGCGTCCCAGTCGGAAAGCATAAATGCGATCCGACTGGGAATTTATCCAGCTATCTGAAAAAGTACTGAACACAGTAAGATTGTGTATTCCCAAAGCGAGCGGTCACTGAATATATTAGGGTATGAGAAAGACTCAAGAGCACCTCTCCAACTCCTTGCCTACTCATATTTTCTTCAAGGAATGTGCAGCAAAATTTTATTTTAAATGGGCAATTTTCATTTGAAATAGGACAAAAACATTTCCTCGACTTCCAGGTGTCGTATATTGCTCTAAATCAGGACATGTTGTCCGAGTCCCACTGACGTGCAGATGCCAAAGTTGATAGAATGCTTGCAGGATTCGCATCATTTTCATTACTCCTGTCACTGCCCATCAAACTACCGTCTGATTCCTAAAAATCAGAAAGGCCAAAGGATTCATTGTCAGATATGCATGAGCATTAACCCCCTATAAAAAAAAAGGTTTTGTATCCCTTCGTCAACGAAATCGGAGCTCCGCACCAAAGCCATGCTGTTTTAGCGTGAACACTCACAAGTGATCGCCTTTTTCTCCTTGGCTAAATGGAGTGTTCTCTCTCTGTCAAACAGCACAACGAATGAGCAAACAACCCAAGGTAAATGAAGCAACAGGGCTGGTTTCGCCATCTGCCAGAAAGCGCACTAAACAAGCACAGAAACCAAAACGCGAGTCACACTCATAGTCGGGCTTTATGGTTTGTAATAATGAGTGACACTCATTATTAGTAGTCAAAGGGATAAAGGACATATGCAAAGGAAAACTATTTTTTTTTAAACAGCCTGGCTGGAAAACAGGTCTGGGCAGAGATACTCCAAAAAAGTATTCGGGAATACAAATACTGATACATGTATTTTAAGGCCCAAAATACAAATACTAAGATACATTTGTCTTTTATGCAATGGGATATACCCGATACTTCTGAAAAAACATTCAAAAAGTATTCCGGAATACAAGTACAGATAGTTGTAGAAATACATTTTTTCCCAAACGGTGCTACGTGGGGAGGGCGTAGTTCGTTGCGAATGAAAATGGCAATTTATGCCTCTACTCCTCTTTTTGTATCATTTTATGCACTTCCCCTTACATCACACTAATGCCGCAAAAAAAAAAAAAACATGTCACACTTGGTGAAACACATAGTTGCTGCTTGGTAAAAACTGTGTGCCATGCTTGACAAAAGGCGTTTGCACGAAATGAACCCTGCTTTGCTGCTTGGGCGCATCTCAAACTGTCGTCTTCTATGCTTCTCAGTCGCCCATAGTGTGAGAAGATTCGACAACAGAGCCATATACCTTTTTTCCACTCAACTACTTTCCAGCTTTTGCTGGGCTAAATTGGAGAGAGTCCAGGGTTTTGTGAGAGGAGCTGATTTTATTATTCTTTAAACCACAGGTTTTCTTTATGTTGGTGATTGTGATGGATTTTGATATAGTGCGGGTTCATGTTATGAATTCTGAAGAAACTTGCATCAAACACGTCTTTATCTTATAAATTTATCGTAAAAACGGCAACAAATGTAACTAGATACCCAAGTCTGTCAAAGTATCGCGAGAGAAGCGATACATTGTAAATGTACTTCACTCCTGAGAAACAAATATATTTTTCAAATGTATCACGATACAGAGATACAGGTACTCGAAAGTATCCGTAAAATACTACCGCGATACATTCGTATTGCAATACTGCCTAGTTCTGATGGAAAAAAATGTCAGAAAACAAATTTACTAATAAAAAAAAACTTTTAGAGCTATATTTACAGCGCAAAACAAATTTCTAGTTGGCGCCCGCGGGAAAGTGGCCGCTAAAGTCACGGGACTGACTGCTATAGTCATGGGGTGCTTGCGCTCTTTCTACCAAGCATTCATTTCATGCCATCAAACTCCTTGTAACCCATTGATAACAAGCTGTACTGCCCTATATTACAACACGTGACGTCACATTTTCACTGTGGCCAGTAGAGCCTCTCGGACCAAATTTAAAAATTCCATAGAATTGCAAAAAAATTGTTGCGACTTGTAATTTGGGTTTCTAGTTCAGATGTGTCTCTATTAATGCGTTGAACCAATCGGCAACTATCAAAATTTCGTCGGAGCTCACCCGCTTGCGGATGTCTTCGTCGTTGGCACCCAGGGCCCCGAAGGCCTTGAAGGCCGCCTGCTTCAACTCCTGCATCACCTTCAGCTCGTGCTCCAGCTGCCAGAGAGGGGCAGAGGGACAAGTCGGCTATCTGGGCACACCTCTACCTCACCAATGACAACCCCAAAGTCCAGGCTGTTTCTACTGTCTCAAATACTTCAAAAGTGTGTTATGTAACCCCAGAAAAACATATAATTGCAAAAAAAAAACATCCTAGCATGCAAAACAGAAGGATTTGGCCCGGTTCTGGTAACAGTACGATCATATCTTTGATCCAAATGTGACCAGAATTTCAGGGAATGGATAGAGAAAAAGTGCACGTCTTGCTCCTATATAGCTCCAAGTGAAGCACAGAGAGTAGACTAAAGGCTGTGCAGGAAATCAACGACGCGATTCAGGAATAGGCTCAGAGTTTCCACCTTCTCGCTTGCGAGGTGCAGGAGCTTCCTGTACAACTCTTACACTGAAACTAAGAGAAGAGTTTCTGCAGGGTGTTTCAACCCACATTGGAGACTGGTACTAGCTGCTTTCAAAGAAATGTCAGCTAGTGAACCACGTCGAAGAAATGATACAACTACAGTTCTAATTCGCGGGGTAGAATGTTTAACCAGTAGTTTGAAGAAGCTTATCCCCAAGTAGTCTGCAATAGCTCAATACTTCCAAGTATAGTGCCCATTTTGGGCTATTTGCCTTTTAACATAAGGAGACCATGGTTCAAGGGTGGGTCAAAAGTATCGTGGCTCTTATATGCTCCACAAGCTCGCCTCCATATCCAGCATTTCTTCCAGCTTTAAAGTGCCTGCTCCATCTACAAAAATACATTACAAAGCTCTAACTTTCTTCGAGAAAATTCCCGTTGCATAAAATGACCACGATAGAAACCCCATGTCAGTCTCCCAGCTGCTCGCACCCTCACTTCACGGTTACAAATGTTACTGACCAATGCGACATACAATGAAAAAGAGTGCACAAGAGGACGGGACACGAGGAACGAACAGAGAACATAAACACGCTGACTCAGAACTAAAATATATTATAGAATGGAGAGGGACCATGCAGCAAAATAAAGACAAGTAAAAGAAAAAAGGAAAAACGAGAAAAAGCAAGAAACATAGGAAAAGGCACAAGAATTTTAACTGGTAGTTTGGAAACGGCCTTCAAAAGTTCCCTTTAATCTTTCAATGTAGAATGTAAAAACAATGTGCCACAATGCACCAGTCCTGCACACGAGTACCCTACCCATTGCTCTCTCGCCCAATTGTGCAGATCCACTTTTGTCGCATGCGCAAGTTTCTGCACAGTTTAGTAATTGCTCCCAAAAAAATAACCTTAACTAAAGTTTTTTTTTTTTATTTTTTTTTTTTTTTATTTTTGGTATTTATTATGGAATGGGTTGGCATTCAAAGAGACAAATATGTGCTAGTTCCTAGTTTCTTTAGGTTGTTGACCAAAGGTGAGAGAAAACATGGCCCAAGAAAACAAAAGGTCTCCCGGCAGCCGAGCGGGATGCAAGGACGCCCGCACGTCCGGTGCCCTGCTGACGGTCGGGGGGACAGGCAGTTTCGAAAGTGGCTTGCCACAGCGGGCCGTGCCTTCTTCATGGCGACGGCCGGCACAGAGCCCTTGTAGAGCACCACGGCAGACGGGGGCTGGTACTTGAGCAGCTCGGCCAGCGTGGGGATCAGGTGGTCACTGATGCTGGCAATACGCTGCAGCTCCGTGTCCACCTCCACCAGGTAGGCCAGTGTCTCGGCCGCTTCGCCCCGCTCCTCCGCGCTCTGCTCCTTCTTGCACAGGCGCACCAGCGTCGGCAGCGCCTGCACCCCAAAAGGCCTCGTTCCAAGACCCAAGCCTCATTGGTGGTTTCACTTTTCCTCAATTTTCCTCTCGCTACTTCCGATGACCGCATGAGACAATATGGGCGGAGAATTCCGACTGGCAGTCGGCCTCCACGCGTGTTAGGACATGGAAATGGGCGTATTTGCGTGTTTCCCCACCTTAACGAAGGTGGCATCTGGCAACCTATGCAAAATAAGAGATACGTCTTATTGCTACGCGAAGAGAGCAGTGTGTTGCGAGTGGTCGACGCAAGTAGCCACAACCAATTTTGACGACGCACCTTCTGCCTTTTCCTCGCCAGCGTTGCTGCCTTATTGGAACGTCGAGAGCTGCTTAGGTGCTTTTCTAAGCCGATTAAAGATAATGCGTCATTGATTATTTTTCAATAAGGAAGGCTGCGTTCACCCTTCTCATTATGTGCTACAGGTGTGCCAAAAGTTAACCGATGCTAGGACACGAAGACTGGTTGGGCAGTAGTCAGTTGCACGGCTGCAACTGCAATTACATGAGTGCTACATCATATGCGTAGCAAGGTTCTCTACTCGGACCTTACTAATAAATTAGAAATTTGCTACACAAAATAGGGCACTCCCAGAGCGAGTGCACGACATACTCATACTGGTTAAAAGAGCTGTGCAACGATTTTAACGTTGAAAGAATTGGCACCTTCTACTTTTGACATTGTTTATCTTGTCACAAAGAACAGAAAACACACCTCCTTCCTTCAAAATGTTGAGATTCCGCCACGTAATTGCGAGGCAAAAATTAGAATATTCCCCGACCAGCAGCCGCGAGTGGCGGCCATGAGAACCACGCGGCATGAAGTCAATGGGGGGCTTGTAGAAAGTTAGGAAGTTGTGCGAATACCTGCTCGATAAAAGGTATAATTTTTCTATAAGTCTTGGCGTCAGAAACCTGGTATCATCGAAAAACTTTTATTATATGGAGTTTTAGTGGCCACATCTATCCTAGGTCCACAAAACCGTCAGCTCTATCTGCTACCGCGAACAGCCGCCAGATGCTGGAGGGGGACGGGGGCAGAGCCGGACGGGGATGACCGGACCCGGATGAGACTTTCCTCCTTTCACCATATTCAGTGGCGGTCCAGCCATTTTAGGTTTTGGAGCAATTTTTAGAGCAAGAAAAACCCAATTTTGGAGCAATTCGTATCACATAAACTCCCCTTTTAGAGCAGGGAAAAGCTCGTTTTGGAGCACCTTGGTATCAGGAAAACTAAACATTTTGGAGCAGCATGAACATAGAGCAGTTCTGTGCCATGTCCTTATTATTATATATATATATTACGGCTGCCGAAAGTCCGAAACTATAGCGATTTATTAAACATGTTTGTAAGCTCTATTCTGAGTTCGCACGCAGTGCGACAGTATGACAACCATGGGGTGACCAATCGTTTACGGCATTTGACATGAAAAGGAACACGCAACAATTCGCAACAAGGAAATCAAGCAACGACCACGCGATCGAAAAGAGTACCACGTTCGGTATTGATGCCGCTGGTCTGCCGGTGAACGAGCGTCCGAGCAAATTTCTACTATGGGGTCTGTAACTTAAAACGCGCATGCAGAAAAAAAAACTACTCACGTTGGCTCCTCTTTAAGAGGACTTAGTAGTGGCGATGCAGAAATGAACAGCCACAACGCCGCATATCAAAACGGTCGCAACAAAACAATAATGCGCAATAATGCCACTGGGCCGGAAACCTGAATTGGATTGTGATGGCTATAATAACGGCTCTACCCTTTATATCGGGCGGCAGCTTGCACCTGCTTGCACCACCTAGAGCACTATATAGCTCTATAGTGCTCTAGCACCACCTAGCCTAGAAAATAAAACTCCCCCGGGTTGCCAGCCGAAAACGCCATTCTTCCAAAAAAGGATTCGTTCACGGACCGACTAGCCCTTTTTGGCGCAGTTTGGCGCGGTTTGGCGCAGTTTGTGTCTTTAGGCGCAGCAAGGCGCAGGTAAGGGAGAATTTATCAAAATGGCGCAATTGGCGCAGCTGGACCACCCCTGCATATTGTTCGCGCTGCGCCAGCACGTGGTCACGCGGTTGCGAGCGGATGAGTTTTCGCTGCTCACTAATGGCTCTAGAGAGAGAGCTTCACCGGAACTCCGCGCGACCCCCATTGATGTCACAGCACACGTGACTCGAAAGATGGTGAAGGAGTAGCCGAAAACCTCCATCTTTGTCCATTTTTAAAATAAAAACTAGGACACGCAGGCAAAAGCGTTTTTTTGTTCTTTACATATTTCAGTCAAGACACCAACTCCCAAATTATTTAAGCAAAGCACTTAAATTGTTGCACAGCTTCTTTAAGTGTTTGTGCGAATAAACCATTCGTGACAAGTAAGCATCCCGGTGGGATGTCTTCTTGAACTGCCCAAGCCGGGCCCGGCTGGAGGTGCCTCAAGCGGTCCCTCCCGGCTGGAGGTAACCTCCAGCCGGGCAATGGAACTCTGCCGTGTCAGCCAAATCGAACACTATAAAGAAACTGGCAGAGTTCCGCTTAATGCCTAATATCAAATTTAGAAAAGTTACTTTATTCAAATGACCCCTCAGACCATCTGTTGCATTCCACCTCCAGTTTTCCTACAAATAAACATTACGGTACTCTGTTAGGGATGTTTCTCTTCGTTAGATATTTCACTAAAAGAGACATCTGATGCGTTTTCTACCTCCAACTCAGATCTCACATCGTGGGAACGGGTTCAGAAATGTATCTTTGTTGCTCAGAGAAGAAAACTTGCGAGTAAATTTGTGAGTGTTGTATGTATGTTTATACAGCCAGAAGTTAGTCAGCCGCCACGGGCGTCTGGTACCTCAGCTGTAGATGAGAAATTTAGCCAGTGCACTACAACCGCTAGCCTGGGGTATTTAAGGGGGGACATGCGCCTAAATTTCAAAATTTTTTTTTTTTTTTTTTTAATTCATTTTTTAATTTTGAGGTTTTCAGTTTCAGAAACTAATTATACACCCTTACACTAAATTTGATAACCATACGCCAAATAATTACGTTAATATAAAATATTTTCAACACATTGTGAGGCAGTAACAAAGTAAAGGAGTTTAATGTTTGAATGCATTTTTCTCAGTTCCACTTCTTGCTGTAAATTTCATACGAAGGAATCTTTCATTCGAACGTAAAATTATTCTGATACCACAATCAAGATGTTTCTTAATTAACTGAAATTTACTGGGGAATCGGGATATCTACTTTGTTTTGTTTTAAGTTGAAGTCCTCATTGAAAAAAAAACTATGTTTTCAAAACATTGGCATAGGACAGATATGCATATCCTATTTTGAGGTAATCACTCTGCCTGAATTATTTACATTTGAGTTATAAAAACTAGATAGCCCAAAGTCCCACATTCCCCAGTTTATATTCTAGCAGTAAAAATGGTGCTTAATAGTTTCATTCGCATATCATAGATTTCTTAAGGAAGAATGACACTTCTTATGCAGGTATGTAAAGCTGACCTAGAGAGCTGAAAGTTTGCACAGTACACCTACATCTGACATTAAATCTTCCCGTCAAATTTCATTCCAATCACTTAGGTCGTAGCCAGTGTCCCCCCTTAATGTGCACCAGGTAGTAGTGATACAAGAGCGCACACCAGTACGATGCTCATCCAGATTGAAATGGGCAGGGATGGGAATTGAACCCAGGATCCCTGTGTTCTGCAGCGTTAGCTTTCACTCTACGTGCTCCGAGCTGGTGTGCGCTAGCCCACTTGGCCACCTATCCCCCCTACCCCCCTCCCTTCCCATTTCTCTCTCCTCTCCTCTCTCCTCTCCCCTCCCCCCTCCTTCCTTCCTCCTCTCACTTACTTCCTTCCTTTCCTTTCCTTCCCTTCCCCCTTCCCCCCCCCCAAATAAACTGAAAATTAATTTCTCATCCTGCCTTGCGACGAGACTATCTTGACATGCCCACGAAAGCCAAGGCGTTGGTATGATCACAAATTCTACATAATCCCTTTTATTATCCTTTAGAAAGGCAATGAAAAGCCACACAACTGGGATGGGCCCAGTTTTACGGGCCAGGCGGCGCATAAAATTCCAAAAGCAGACACCCTGGGACAGTACTACTTGTTTTGGTATCGAACGCATAGCGCCGGTTTCCACACAGACACTAACTAAAGGTCGAGCATAGCAAACACGGCATAGCGCAGAAAACACAGATACTGATTAGTCGCAGATATCGAATTCCTGCTCGCTGGCCAATGAAAGGCCCATGTTCTGCGCTACGCCACGTTCGCTGCACTCAATGTCGGAGCATAACAAAGCCTTAAGAGACGTCATCGGAGGTAGAGCGCCCTTGACCGGCTATCGCTCGCACCTTGAAAACGACGCGGGGGTCCTCCGAGTGCACTGCGCCAGCCCGGCTCAGGAAGGTCAAGCTGCGCAAAAGGAGCCTTGTGAGAAGGGACACGCCTCAGCCAACAGCTTTTCAATAGCAGGGCCGTAGCACCAAACCTCCTCCGTCACCTACCAGAGATTGAACGCTGGCATTATGTCGGCGTTCAATCTGTGCCTTGTGCTGGCCTCTGGTAGGCAATGTCTGGTGCTACGACCTCGCCATCTCGGCAGCGCTGCCTCAGCCCGGCCACTCACCACTTGGCAGCTGCCAGCTGCATCTCGCTGGGCCGGTCCCGGGCCATAAGCTGCACCAGCAGATCCGGCACCGAGCGGCCGCCGTAGCTGGCTGCAACGACCCCCCATGGCCCATCTCAGAGTCGTCCCATGGATAGCGTCCGGATTGTGTCCTCACTTTCTTGGACTTCACCTGGAAGGTACCCTCGCATTTTGCGGAAGCACCTCTGCGCCCTGTCTTACGAGAACCACGCGTGACCCGCTTTTTAAACTTCAAGCTTCGTGCAGACGAGATAAAATGAAACCGAGAGGCCTTTGCATTGGTTGACTCGTGATTGTTCCCAAACTGATCCTCGGTTGTGATTAAGTTGCACACCGCGAACAAGGACAAACTGCAAGAGCAAATTGCACATATTTCGAAGTGCCATCTGCAAATATTTTCTACCACGAGACTAGCGGCGCCTCTGGCACGCTGTGCCACCCTGTTCCGACGAAAAATTGGAAGATTAATCATCGGCTGTCTTGTAGCACAAAACGTTCCCAGAGCGATGTACAATTAGAAACCCTCCGATATCAATGCCTAAAACAATAAAAGGCCACAACAGCCACAAAGTAAGAGGCGATTATCCTCGAACGTAAGCAGTGCCAATGTGATACCGGCTTTCAGGAAACTTAGCTCCACCTGGCAATCTTAGATCCATCTGAAAGGGAAGACCGAATTGAGCGACAGAAACCATAATCGTTGCCCTCATGGAGGTAGGAAGCATCTGGAGGTGACATGACGCCACCAGAGGTGAAGACAGAAGTGTGGAGGGACATGCCCCCAACGATGACCAAAACTACAGCTGTTTTGGTCACCCTAGGGTTCCCGGGCACCCGAGGGTGACCGGCTTTTGGCTTCACCTCTGGTGGCGTCATGTCCCATTAGGAAGCTTCCTACCTCCATGATTGCCCCATACATCCGTCTTATGTGCCACGTCTGCCGTCCGATGGCACGAGCGAGTGAGAGAATCTTAATGAAATTGTGTCACACGGCCTCGCAGCAGATATTTCAGTGTGTCTTCCTTCTCAGACGATGCCCCTCAAGTCGGCAGAGCAGACGGCAATTGTGCGGAGCAAGCCCAACGTGTCAAAGGACGTTAAAGGGGGAGTGAAACGTTTTCCCCAAACTTTTATTTATACAGTATGCCTGTTTAGAATCCTTGTCCTTTGTAATAGAACCCATGCTCCTTCGTTTATCATCCGGATTCATTTACTACCATAAAAAGATAATTTCAGTTTCCCGGGGAGCTTCCCTCTCACTTCTACAAATATGTCATAACAAGTAACCAATAGAAACTTTTGTTGTCTGGACAAGATGGCGATGTGGACTGGACTTAATGGGCGAAGCCAGAGCATCAGATATCGCTCTAACAGCAGCTCTAACAGCATGACGTCACGCACGCAAGTCAACGGATGACATACAACGTCTGATATTACACTCGGATACCTGTAAGATAACCAACCTCATGAGCTCTAGTGTCGCCTATTATACCGCGGTCGGCTTTTAGGTTTTGAGCCGTATGCCGACACCGTGTTTTGTTTGTGCTATTGTGTGTCGTGCTACAGAGGAGAGTTTAAGAGATTTGTTTGCAACTTTGATCGGTCGAGCCGCATCCCAATACGATCATCAAATGGAGCAGCAAATATAATCTTGCTTCAAGCAGAAAATCACTGATACGCTCGCAGAAGAAGAACGAAAAGGCTACAAATATAAGCGGAATGAACCGCCTTTGTGCACTTGAAGAGGGGCACATAAAGTTACTGTTGAGGAAGAACGTAGCAAAGAAAAATTAATCGAGAACTCCTAGCTGGTCGTAAAAAAAACTATACAATGTCCTAGACCTACACCCACGAAAATAAAAGTCCAAATCGGATGTGCCGATAGTCGAATGTCACGTGCACATGTCCCTCCCTGCTTGACTTAGTGAAGTTCTGGGTTTGAATCCTCTAGGAATTATAATATTTAACTGCTTCACTTCATGTTTTATAATAATTCTAATCCACAACCAGGTTCTATAACAGCATTCCACAACAAATGCAACCCACAGCGAGACGAGCAGCATGATTACCAATCAACAGAAGACCCGGACATGTTTGAAACCGAAACTGTATCCCAATCATGTGACGTAGTTGCGCACAGCTAATACAAGAACACCAATAAATAACTCAATGTTTTTATTACTCTCAAATTATTATTTGAAGATTAAACAAAGTTGAATATATGTTCAACCTTTTTAGATAGCTGCCACGACGTTTTGTTGCTCATGCTGCTATAGGATGTTGCAAGGTTGTTACAGACAGTCCAAAAAATGTGATTTTTAAACACACTTTCTAGGATGCAGACACACTATATCGACATCTTGTAAACCCTGAGATGGGGAACGATAAAAAAACGGACGAACACAACAAAATCTCAAGATATTGTTGTGTTCGTCCGTTTTTTTATTGTTCCCCATCTCAGGGTTTACAAGATGTCGATTGTTTACCAGCTCACCTGCACTCTCTCACTGCTTACACTATACCATTGTAATACTTAGAAATCAACGTCTTTGTGGTTTAACAACTATAAGAAAATCAGAATCCGGCCATTTTTTTTTTCATGACCCCTTTAAAATGGCGCAGCAGCCCTTGTTGGTCACCGATTCAATCCCCGGCCGGCAACCCGTGAGGCCGGAAGGGCCATCGAGGGACGTACTTGTGGCCAGCATCTGCGACACCTGGCCATTTTGGTAGCACATCTGGGCCAGGCAGCGCACGCTGGGCAGCTGCACCTGCACACAACCCCGATGCCCGGCCGGGACAAGCGGGGCACCAACACCCTCAGGCTCCGAATCAGCGTCACGCTTCCGGCCGAGAGCCACCCTCGAGCCGTCCCCACATTGGGAGGACCGTCGGAATGTCGAACGTCTCGAGCGCCAATCCTCGCTCGTGGCACACGCACACCCCACGCCTGGGCAACAGCTGCCAATGGTTCTACACCTGACAAATGAGCCACAGCTGAACAGGGAAACATTACATTATCCCCAAAAGGCTTGCAGTGGTTCGACCCCATTTGTATTTCCCGATAAAACTTGTTTGGGGAACGTTCATGGAGGAAGAAAGGCACAAATGACTTAAACGTATCCGAGTCAAAACAAGCTACTAAAACAAATGGCACAAAACTGTAACTTCAAAGGGGTCCTGCAATGAAGTTCTAGCACCTTATTAATTGTCTGAATGTCAACCACGTTCTCACCACATCACAAAGACACCACATTTTCCCTCAAAAAGACATCAAAACATTACTCAAAATAAAAAAAACTAAATGTCGTTATGTCAAACTATCCATAAAAGATGCGCTGTTCCCCGGAAGTTCAACAGTAAACTGAATGTGCACGAGCCCTGCCAGGCTTGGCCAAACCAGATTTCCCTTCTCTCCCGCGCTTTTTGAACACCTGCGGGAAGCGGCAATCCTGAACGGCCAGGTTGTAACGCGTTGATGCCGCCAACTGGCGAAGCTCACAATCATGCCAGCTTCCCTGTAGCCTTGGCTGTGAAGGGAAACGTGACATCATGAACACACCGGAGGCGACGGATCTCCCGAGATGCATCGCGCTCTCCGATGGCTGCTCTTCGAGCGCTCACTGGAATCAACCGCAATCCGTTCAAAATAGAAACGCGAGATTGTCATTAGCAGATTTTGCTGATCATGTTTAACTAATTTCTGAATGTGAGAGGTAGACTTCAAGTTTAATTTCAGTATCCCCTTAACACGCGTGCCCTACACTTTAGAAAAAATGGAGGTGTGCGGATATTTGAAACTTCCGAGTCTGCAAATAGTGTTTGCTATTTGATTCGCAGCACACGTTTACTCTTCGAGGTATTAAACTTTTAAATCTTCAGAAATGACAAATAATGGCTTGAGAATTGTATGATTTCTCACGTCAACCTTCACTGCATCGCAACAGGGCTCTGGCGGCAGGTTTCAACACTTGCCACCATCGTGTGCGAGTCAAGCTTCACTGCTTTTTACCGAAGTGTTAGGGAGAGTGGCCGACTTGTCTGAGCATCTCAGTTGGCTGGATGGGGTCGGATATTTTGCTCCCTATTGTAGCTCAGCCCTCTTTGGTTATCCCAGACTTTAAAGAATGCCGGAAAAGAAATCCTCAAGCTATATTCAAATAAATAAGGTAGTCATTGCTTCACTCGTCACGTTACATTATGTTTTAAGTATGTGAAATGTTTCTCACATAACAAAACTGTTCACTTTCATAGGTATTCTTTCCAGAAAAGATTTACAGTTGCGATTTTTTTTAGTATTCACGCTCAGTTCGTATTAAATGTAAACTATTCATATTTCACAAAACAAGAATTCGATTTGCAGTCAAACATTAATATTCTTATTCATTTGCAATTAAAAATTTATATTCGTGCACATTTTAAAAATATTTATATTGCCCGCCTACAATATGCGCAATTCACTGACCCGTCGCTCGAATAAATCTAGATCGCCCGATTTTGGAACGCGTGAACTCGCCTAGCGTTTCTCCGGCAACCTACGCCCTAACCCTCCCCTTGGAGGAGCAGAGCATACCCGATGCAGAGGGGAGCAGAGCAGCGCCGCCAGCACTGGCACCGCCCCGTGGGAGCAGAGACAACGCTGGTGGTCAGGCGTGCGGCACAGGGCCCCCAGCATGGCCGCCACGCTCTCCTGGCTAGAGGGTGGCCCCGCACGTGCCACCCGCACCAGGTGTGGCACCACCCACGCCTCCTGGTGCAGCCAGTCCACCGGGGCCACCTCCGACCGCACCAGCGTCCGCAGGCAGCGCAGGCACGCCTCCACGTACGCCCCCTCAGACTGCACCAGACCTGCGCCCCAGTCCCCCTTCAGCCACAGCCCCACCGCCCATGCATCGCACAAAGGGCAAGGTGTCTGCCGCGGATACGATGACAAAGTTACCTCCGGGTACGCCCCGAGCACATTCCGAACACGTTTGCTTCATGTGTGCTTCGAACGTGTCTCCAGAGTGCGACGAGATTGTCGGGCAAGGACACCTCGGACCACACCCTGTCTTTTGTATAATGTATTAGTGGTGGGACCGCAGCTTTATGGGTCTTGTTTGGAGACCGTGGCAGGCCGAAGGTATACAGTTTAACCCCGATTTAAAGAATCTAGATTTTACAAATTTCCCAATTTAACAAACAAATTCAGATTCCCCGCGCAGCCTATGCCCGAAAAATGTCTTTCTCGATTTTACGAAGTTCCCGATTTAACAAAATAATTAGCGGGTCCCGGCGACTTTGTTAAATCGAGGTTCAACTGTAATCCGTTCGAGCCGACAGGCTGGTGGGAGCTACAAACTCGTTAGAGCAGTGGTACATCCGTCTTTCACCACGCAATTGCACTCTCACCCATACCCTAGCGCAGGAAGTGGGGTCGGGCAATGAGAGGGAGGCAGTTCATGGCTACGGCGAGCACATAGCTCCCACTGTCCCATTGGCTTAGGGACGAATGGAGTATGGCTGCAGAAAGAGACGATAGTTATCTTCGTGGGTCGAGGACATAAAGGGGATTGGAACGCTCAGCACTTGTAGCAAGCGGCGTAGACTTCCCATTTTCCCGGGGGGGGGGGAGGGGGGCAGGCTGAGAAGTTCTCCGGTGGGGTAAGTGCTGAGCGTAACCTTTTCGCCAGAACTGGACATTGAAGCTAATGAAAGCATGCTGGGATTCTATTTCCCATGTATTTTGTCAATAAAGGCAACGTGGGCGTAATTTTGTTTACATGCCACTACTAGAAGCTTGTTACATGGCACGTAAACAGCGTCTCGGTAAGGATCATGGCCCAAGCTTGGGGGGGGGGGGGGGGGGGGGCACGAGCCCCAATGCCCCCCAAAGTCTACGCCTATGTCCATAGCGTCGGAGAAAACTTGCTACGGGGCCCCGAGGACTTTTGTATTGTTTCTAAGTTTACAAATATTTTCATCTCCTAGGGTGCCGATTCCCTGGATTCTCTTTCCTCTTTGCCTACATTTGAAGGACGGTTGGATTTTGCCTGCCGAAAGTTTTGGCACCCAATTCTCCCGACGGAACGTGCCTCAAACTTTCGAGAGAAAGCAGTCTTAGATTGGGGTAAATATGGCACGATGCCACCGTCAAAGTGTATGTCCTCGCTTTCCAAAGAAGAGATCATCCAGCTCCTCGAGGTCGACAGTGAAGGCGGTGAAAGAGACAAAAGAACAGCATATCTCGAGCGGCTGGCCCCACCATGGGGGCCGGCAAAGCCCCTCACCCTGGAGCAGCACGGGCACCACACCGGCGTCCAGCAACGCCTGCGTGTTCTCCTGGGTGCCCTTGGCCAGGCTGTTCACAATCACCGCTGTCTCGCATAGCAGCTGCGGGTGCGACTCTTCTCGCAGGATCTGCAGCAGCCTGCATTCCCCCCCACCCACGGCAACCAGCTGTACAGCCTCCCTCCTGGGCCAGACATGCACTTCCACTGGCACTTCGGGAAGTAAGACGGGCCAGGCGACCCTGCAGGGGCCTCTTACCTCGGCACCAGTCCCATCCGAATGACGGTGGCCTTCTGGTTGTTGCTCCCAATGACCGAATTCTTCAGTTGGCTGAAAAGTCACGAGTAATTTGTTTCACTAATTGTTTTCCAAACTGAATGCTCAAAAGGCCGAGAGACACACAAAGTGAACAAGCACTCGACAGTCCCAAAGAAGAAGCTTTACAAATTAGGTGCAGTCAGTGTTACACTGCCAAAAGTGCTCTGGAAGGACAGCCCAATCTCTTCTGGCACTTGCTCGTGCTACGACTCGCTCTCGGCCATTGCCCTGCATTGATTCGACAAAAGCAATGTCTCTATTTCGATCCTCAGACTTCTTTTACCTGCAAAATAAGATTAATATATTGAATCCGTTTTTATGGACACGTCAACAGCATCGATGAAGAAATAAATTAAACACTATCGTCGAAAAAAAAAAAGTGTGAAAAACAGGAAGGAACTTTATACTCACTGTCCCCTCAATAAAAAAAAGTTTTGAACATAGTGGATACACTAAATGGACTACTAGTTCTAACAAGATTTGGTTCTCAGAGAAAAAGTTAATTTTCAGCATTTAGTTTCGAATAACACACTATTCTATATTTGCTTCAAGATGAATTGCGATAATCACATTTTTTTTTGTAGTGTAGATCACAGCAAGTTAGCCCCGTTGAGCACACTTCTTACCGAGCACCACTCTCCTGCAGAGAAGCAACCCCTGCAGAGCACAATTTCAAAGCAGGATGGTGCGCGCGCGCGCCTGGTGTATTAAAAAAGAAACTAACTTTCTGAATGTTGATATCTACATTGCTGTGAAATTTTAAAAATTAATCCTGCTATTATGCGTGAGAATATGTTAGGCAGAGGTGCCCTGCCAACCTGCATCAATCATTCGTCATTGAAGAAAAGATATTTGCATATAGCAAAAATATTTATAAATTCCCCGGATTAGGTACAGCAGGGTATCTCATCCCTAAGGTTTGATTTGATGCTAAATGCATCATTTACTTACCATCCCAATGTGGGCACTGGACTTTCTAAAGGAACAGTCGATAAATATAAACATAATAGTATGTTTTAGCAAAATAGCAAATAACTGGTCTCAAATGGACATATACAAGTACATCAAAAATCACTACATAAAGGGGAAAATTGGTAACGCTGATTAAGGAACTAAACATTTTCTTACTAGTTCTTGAGGTGATGAGTATAGTGGCCGATGACAGGGTAAAAATCAAGGATGACTTAAAGAAGAACTAAAGTGACTTTATAATTGAGAGAAAAAAAAAATTTGAATAGTTTTCATTTGGCCACCAGGACCATTAAAGGGGTACAGAAACAAAATTCCAGCGCTCATTTTCTAGCTGAAATGTGTTGCGTGTTGCAGCATAACCTGAAAAACACCAGTCTTTCGTTGAAAGGCACAAGAAAACTAAATTTAAAGTTAATTAAACAATCTTCCAATGGTGGTGTTGGTTGGAAGGTAATCTAGCAACGTTGGGAATCTTGCTACGTAGGCCATGACGTAGAAAGAACCGTTGCGTAGCCGCACTAAACATCGGAGCAGCGCCGCTATTGGGAAGTATGCTCAACTGTTTAAAGCGGTCATGAAACAATTTTTCAACTTTTTCCTTCTCAGCTTTCCTCAACTCACAAATCGCGCATCGTACCGAACAGTTCAAGAAGACGGAAAGGGGGGAGTCCCCTCTTGCTCGGACCCTTGTTTGTGTACCGGAACCATACCTCGGCAAATTCATTCATGAACTCGCTCATTCTCCTTCATTCACGTTCACGGCGTGAATCTGAATGGCTCTGAATGAATTCTTGAAATTGAAAAAATAATGATGAGATGGTGAATGAGTTTGTGAATTTGAATGAATTTGTGATGTGATGGTGAATGACTTCGTGAATTTTAATGAATTCATGATGTGATGTTGAATGAATTTGTGAATTTGAATGAATTTGTGATGTGATGGTGAATGACTTAGTGATTTTGTATGAATTCGTGATGAGATGGTAAATGAAGTTGTGATGTGATGGTGAATGACTTTGTGAATTTGAATGAATTCGTTATGTGATGTTGAATGAAGTTGTGATGTGATGGTGAATGACTCTGTGAATTTGAATGAACTCATGATGTGTTGTGATTGTGAATGACTTCGTGAAGTGAAGAATTCATTTGATGTGAATGACTCAATGAATTTGTGACGTGATGGTGAAGGCTCGTGAACACAATGAATTTGTGATGCGAGTGGCTCATGAACTTAACAAGTTTGTGATGTGAAGTAATACCGTGAACCTAATTCTCGACGAGATGATGAGTACGGTTATGAATTTAGAATAGGCGGAAAACATGGTACGCAGGTGCTTGCTTGCTGGTTGTTTTCATTCTTCACCGCAAACGACAGGGACCCATTTGACTTTAGCGGTGTGGGCATTAGCCTTGCTGCGTAGCCGTGTGTGCCTCGGCGCGGCGCTGTGGCCCTTTGTCGAGTCAGGTCCTGGTTTCAAGTGGCTGACACAAAAAGGTGCCACAGTCCTATTCCGAAAGAACTGCGAACTCGTGAAGGGCTACCAGCCATGAAGTCGAATTTAGTCAGCATGAACCTGAATGACTTCGTGAATTATGCGGATTTCATGATGTGATGATGAATTCCCGTAAATTTCTGTTGACCATGATGATGAATAACTTTGTGAACTCATAGAGAATTCGGATGACTTCGTGAAGTGATGGTGAATTCAGATGAATTGGTGAAGTGATGGCGAATTCGGATGAATTCATGATGTGATAGTAAATACCGATGAATTCACTATGGTGAATTCCGGTGAATTCATGGTGATGGTGAATGACTTTGTGAATTAGTGATGTGATGGTGAATGACTCCGTGAACTCGGAAGCGGCGGTGATGTGATGGAGATGAATTCTTAGCGCGGTTGAACGCCGTGATGTGAAGGGGATGAAGTGTTGGCGGGGTTAAACGCCGGGATGTGAAGGGCCGTAACCTTGGGGGGTCGGAGTACCTTTTGACGTGAATGCAAATAAATTTGGAGATATGATTTTGTTTGTGATGTGATGGCGAATGAAGGGGCTCTAAAATGCCGACCTACGACCGGGACACCGCCATTCTCCCCCTAGAAGATTAGCCCGTCGCTCAAAACTCGGACAAAAGTTGCTTTCCCCACCCCGTTCACGCTTAAGCTGACAGTGTTGTGGAAGCTACGTGCTCATTGGGCCCGCCACACTTTTGCCCCATGATCATGCTCCCTCGCGCATGCCCACGCACAGAGAATGAGGTCAGGTGAGGAAAGAGAGGCGGCTGATTGGTCCGGCAAGCGCATAGCTTCCACCACACTATCAGCTTAGGGGCAAAGGGAATAAGTGAGATACGGTGTCTTGTGACCAGAGGTCGGCATTTTAGGTCGCCCTCACTCACCCTCACCCTCACAGCCACACTCACCTAAGCCCCTCACTCGCCCTCACCCTCACAGCTACACTCACGTTCAGCCCCTCACTCACCCTCACCCTCACAGTCACACTCACCTTCAGCCCTTCACTCACCCTCACTGAACCTCACGGCCCTCACGCACTCACCGCCCTCACGCCCCTCACGGCCCTCACGCCCCTCACTCACTCATGGCCCTCACGCCACTCACCGCCCTCATGGCCCTCACCGCCCTCACGGCCCTCACGGCCCTCACGCACTCATAGCCCTCACCGTCCTCACGGCCCTCACGGCCCTCACGGCCCTCACGCACTCATAGCCCTCACGGCCCTCACCGCCCTCACGGCCCTCACGCCACTCACCGCCCTCACGCCACTCACCGCCCTCACGCCACTCACGCACTCATGGCCCTCACGCCACTCAGGCCAACTTCAGATGGGGCAATTTCGGCCAGAAACTTTACGTCGCAACACCAGCAACACGCGCCGCCCGCGATCACACGCAGCAACCAATTGCTGCAATTTGCCATCGTCATCATAAAATTTTATTTTTCTTGCACTATTTAGACACAATTACGCGTTATAAACGTGTTTTTATGCATTTAAATCCCGTTAAGAATACTAATGCACCTTTCTGAAACAGTTTATTTCCAAAACACGATCGATTTCAAACGAGAACCAAGTCTTTCGGTGTCATCATCACCGGCACGAGGTATCACGTGAAAATTTTGCGTCCCTGATTAGATGCAGCCGCTTCAAACGTATTCGAATTGCTCCGAGTTGCTTGCTTATTTCGAGCCGGACCCGATCTCAGCAATTCGTGTCGATCTAGGGAAAGCTAGAGAACAACCCGCCATTAACACCAAAATTGCTGAGAAAGATGCTCGATCTGAAGGGGGCCTCACGCACTCACCGCCCTGACGGCCCTCGCACCACCTCATGTACTCACCGCCCTCACGGCCCTCACGCCACTCATGGCCCTCACACCCTTCACGCACTCACCGCCCTCACACCACTCACGCACTCATGGCCCTCACGCCACTCACCGCCCTCACGCCCCTCACGCACTCATGGCCCTCATACCCCTCACCGCCCTCACCGCCCTCATGGCCCTCACGGCCCTCACGGCCCTCACCGCCCTCACGGCCCTCACGGCCCTCACCGCCCTCACAGCCCTCACTCACCCTCACACTCATGAATTTTCCTGGTTCAGAAACTCACTCACCCTCACCTCACCTGTGAAGATGAGGGTGAGTGAGGGTGAGTGAGGGCCCTCATGAGTGAGGTTTGCCGAGGTATGCTTGTGACGTGCGTTTGGGCCAGGTAACGCACTTCGGGTACCGCGGATGTATCACAGTGAAAAGGCAGAGCTTTCGAAGGGAAGGAGGTACGAAATAGTTTGCCGTGTTTTCAAATTTTCATATCAAGAATCAGGCTTTTGATTTTCTACCTTCTTTTTTTTTTTTGCCCACTAAACGATATGCTATGTGAAATCCCAATCTAAATTCATTTATCCCAGGTTAAAATTTGTTTCACGGCCCCTTTAAGTCAAGCGTACTCCCAAATCCCCTTTCCGAATTGAATAGAGAGAGGGAGGTGTCGGTGTGCCCTCATCCTCACTTTTGTCGTTCAAGTTTATGTACCCAAGGAAATCGTCCTGAAGCGCGTGGGTATGCGCGAGAGAGCGTAATCATGTGCTAAAAGTGTGGCCGGCCCAACGAGCACATAGCTTCCACAACACTGTCAGCTTAGAGGTAAAAAAGGTGGGGGAAGCAATTTTTGTCCGAGTTTTGAGCGACGGGCTAATCTTCTAGGGGGAAAATGGGCCACACGAACACGTTGCGCACGACTGATCTCACACGTGAAATGCTCGTCACCCCATGGGTACTTCAACAGCTCAGCTGTAATGCGTTGACGCCACCACGACACCAACGGCACACCTCATAACCACGCCAGCCCTGCTACATCATGAATGCGGAATATCTTTTTGTTTTTTGTTTGTGCCGGATGTCCCATGACGCATAGCGCTCTCCGTTCACTTCTCTTCGAGCGCTTGCTCGAATGCACTGTTTGGAACGAAAAATATAGATAGTCGTTCAAAATACAAACGTGTGATTATCATTTACGGTTATAGTTCGTCATGCCTGACTCATTTCCAAACGAAATTTGTATATTTCAATTTTCGTTTCCATACCCCTTTAATATAAAAGTTATGTTTTACTTTAACATGCAGAGTAGTTACAAACATTTTCAAACTAAGAGTGAAGCCCCTTCTTCCAAGCATGGCCAGTGTGAGGAGGAAATGAGAGATGGGGAAGAAAAGCTGCGATATTATCTTCAGAGGTCTCAATATCCTTGTGCCTTCCACAAGCTCGGCAGTCGACATTGCATTTGCCTGCGCGCTTGCTTTTGCCACAGTTTACAGGTATGATAGTTTTATAGACCTGCCCTACTTTCACAGAGATGGCTACAGAATGCTATTTTTTCATGCAAAGAGGTGTACGGAACTCATCAAAGCTTTGCACATACACTTTTCACTTCTTCAGAAGTGTCACAGCAAGTTGTCCATGTGAAGTCCATGCCACCATCCACGAGGCTGTTATTCATTTGGCAGGCATAAGTGACTGACACATATGGAACGCTTTCCTTGAGTACTCTGTAATTGATGCAGTCATTCTTGCATATATGAAATGCTTTCCTTCCCTTCGATCCACTTTCATGTCCGTTGACAAGGTTCTAACAACTCAAAAGATGGAAGCGAGGCGAAATGTGGCAAACAAAACCGTCGCACACTATCCTCACGAGAAAGTCACAAAAGGAGTGACTCTCGATTACAAAAATGGCATTACTATGAAGGAGACCATTCAATATGCGTCAGGCACGTTACACCTGCCAAAAGATTAACTAAGCCATGCAGATGGTGGCACAGACCTCACATGGGTTGTTTTCCTTTGCCAGGAAGGCACTAACGCTTGAGTACACACAATCGCAAGCATGGTGTTCAGAGCGATGCCTCAGGTTAGTGGTTCTCCAATGAGGGTCCGCGGACCCTTTGAGGTCCGTGAAGCCCCGTTTCATCAGTTAAGCTTGGCAATAAAAGTTGCCTTTTTTTTCAAAAATGAGAAGAAACATTCCAATTCCTTAGTGAGTTTTCTCGTGTGTATGTCAATGAGAAAAGTCTACTTCACACTAGCCCTAAGTTATATCTGTGTATTAAATTATCATCATAATTAACCTATACCTTACCCTTCCCCTCATCACGAGTGAGGTCCTCCATCAAATCCGCCGATCCACAAGGGGTCCGTGAAACATCAATGCTTGAGAACCACTGCCTCATGTGATAGTGATAAGTACAATTTGTTGTATAGAAGTTTACAGAGAGGAAGTTAGTCTGCCCCAAGGCACATCTGCCGTCTCCGCCATATGAGAAATTTAGCCATTGCAGTATGACCTGAGGTCTTTGATGTGCACCACACAGCAGTGATTACACAAACGCAGGGCGGTACAGTGACGAGCAAGGTCAGAGATAGAACCCAGGATATCAGGGTTCTGCAAAACGAGTTTTCACTCCACATGATCTGAGCTACAGTGTGCCAACACACTTGGCCACCCAACCACGTGCAACGTGTGCATAAAGACAGCTTCAGCAGGCTTCCACTTGGACGTGCTTACCCATAAGAGCAATATGCACCAGGCAGCCGAAAGCTCAGAAATTGACATCACACTTATTGGTTGTTTTTTCTCGTATTTAGTAGTAATTTTGAGGCAAATCGTTATCATATTCAGATTCACTGAATAAAAATATGCTAAAATTTGCCTCTAGCTGTTTTTATTTAACCTCTTCAGCTTTAGTTTTAGCTTTAGGCATCAGTTTCCAAAGGTTCCAAGTTCCATACCCTAAATTAAGAAAAGTGATGAGCATGTTATCTTTTACAAAAGCTACAGTCAATATAGTGTTTCCTGATGGGGAAAAGTGACCATGAGGATAGAATGTTTGCTCTCCAAGCAGGAGGGCTAACTGTAATGAAACCCATTTGTTAAAAACATCAGAAATGCATAACTGCCTCTCTTTCATACGTTTAACCAAGAAAGCATACAACTGACATGGGCTCTTTGCAGTGTTTGCATGATGGGATCTCTTGATTGTATAAAAGGTAGCCGTACGTGGCATGTGTATGACCAAAAGCTCAGGCCATAAGAGCCCCCTTTTAAAGAAACATTTCCTATGCTGTGCGCTCTGCCATTCATCCACCGTAGTAGGTCACAGCGTGGCATTTATTTCTGAGCGCATAATTCCATTCCTCGTGGCAGCATCCTGGGAGGCAAGCAGGCCTAGGCGGACAGACACGACCACATACGCTGGCATGGCAAAAGTCCTCAGGAGTCTAACTTTAGGACACTTTAAAAGCAACCAGTTTTGGTGGGAAAGCTGCACTTTATAGCAAGAGCAAAGCATAGGTTTTGTGTGCTCCTGTCCAAGCAATCAACATGGGGAATCGACCCTAACTCTGCAAGAGGCAAATCTCTGAGGCACTGCTATGCCTGTAGGACCAGCGAAACAAATCTCGCACTCACATGATTCCTTCCAGACACTTCTCCGGGTCATGGAAGAATAGGAGGTCAATGTAGGATCGGTTGCACTCCACCACCTGCGAAAAGGCACTTTGCTGTGGGCCTGATACCAATTCTTAAGAGCACCCACGGTCTGCTAAATACACTTGTCTATAGCCAGGAACCCTTTTGACCCCAAATAAACACTGGGCAAATGATGCTGTTATGGCACGCATCACCATCCAATTGAGAGATGCTATTGGCAACCACATTTGCTAATACTTTTACAATCAATCCCCATGCTCGCTTCATAAGCCCGTGCAAACTTCAGGTTCCTTTTAGCCGCCAGCGTTGAGGGAATGATACATTGATTGGTTCCTTGGTATGCCTATTCCTTCATTGACCGAGTCGTCAATGTTCAAAGTGGTGACCAGTGGAACAGCTAAAACTTTTTTAAGGTTATCTTTTACTTTGCTGGAGTCATTGGATGGGAAAGGGGAAAGAGAAAGAAGCAGTACAAACAGAATAATATTTATTATATTTGTGTTCCACACAAATATAAAGATTCCTTTCTTCTTTTCATTATGAACCCAACATAAAAATGCACACATGTGGCTCTGTCAGTTAAATTTTAAAAGAATGAATAGATGCGGAGGGGACAATGAGTATGTGAAACATCATGCTCATTGTCCCTGTGCACATCACATATTTCGAGTCTTATCGCATTCTGAGCTAAATCATTCACTAGGAGGTTATTCAGGGAAATTGGCTGCCTGCGTGTTCTACAAAAAAGAATGCAAGAAAAAAAAAATAATAAAGACCGGCTTTCTGTTTTCTGCGTGGACTACACATTCAGTCGAAGCCACCGGAGCTGCTTTCTGGTTCAACTTGAACCTTTTGGTAACAGTCGGAAGTGGAACAACCTCTTGCGCACTTCCACAGTACTGAAACTCCAAGGTATGACTTCAGCCTTCAGAGCGTTGAAAGGGAATATCCCGCTTCGGCGGTGACGTTCATCTACAGCAACCGATGAATGTCGGGGTACAAGGCCTTTGGGCAAAAACAATCTGCCTCTACAACAGAGATATACCGAACGGTGCTGTCCCTCCACCCCTGTGCCTAAACCAGAACTTCCCCAATCAGTTTATTTAAAAAAAGCTAATTCTCCATACACGGTGGCAATTTGCTCAATATCAACGTCTTTCATTCCGCTTCAGCGATGTTTCTCAAGACAGAAGAGCACAGAGAAGCCCAATAGTTCTTTTCTGCTTTGGGAATCGAAAGTTGCATGCAGAAATGATAAGAAATTAAATAAATACGAACACCCTGAAACACCTCTCCATAGTGGACACGGCGACATTATTAAGCGGTCTTTGACGGGCAATAAAGCGAGGTAGATTTTTTTTTCTCAAAGTTGTTCCACGGTCGGTACCCACACTCTAACAGCTCGACGACAGTGGCCTCAACTTGGTCGATAAGGGTCGATTACCTGCATCAAGTCGGCTGTTGAGCAGTGGAGCTCCACTGACAATTGAAGTGTCAGTGACACAAGTTTAGCACCAATTACGATTGTCGCAATAAATGAGGATATGAGAATGCACATGAGGAGCTGGTGAGCTTTCATGATCGTTTTCGTGCTGCCTCTCTTGTGAAGTTCCTCAAGAACCTCAATGACTGAAGGCAGGAGTTCCACAAATGTCTGAACGACTTTGTGCCACCCAACCAACCAAATGCGTGTAACTCTTTTCAACATGCACTCGTTTTTAATGCAGGATAAATTTCTACAAAACTCTCGCATGTATTCTATGTACTATCAACTTCTAATGGAATGCAAACAGTGATGGAATTTTGTCAGGTACGACCAAAACAAGCTGCAAATATTTTTTAGTACAGTTGTCCTGAGTGCAGACTTCTGAAAGAATGCATTAATGGCTGGGCGTCGATTAAAATTTTTAACCCTATTAACAGCCACCCTTTAATCAATCAATTAATCAATTAATCGGTTTCGTTCATTCCCATGCATAATAGATTGAAAAAGTTAAAATTAAATTTTTTGCCTTCGCTGAACGTGTGAAAAACCATGCAATGTACAATTTCGGATTTCGAATCAACCTTGAAGTGTAGTTAGAACAATCAAGACACCCACACCCACAAATTACTACCTACCTCAGCCGCAGAAGCAAATAGGTTTGTTGATATTCCCCGGCAATAGCAAACTTTTTTCATTGTTCACAATAGTCTCTGCTGTGCTAAACGGACACTCGCATGGCATTGAAGTGGCTGGGACATGTATAACCTTCTCCACTTGTTTGGAGTTACAAATCTCGCTCTCACAGTTTACTTTAGGTCAAAATTTTACCTAAAGTTAAGTTTCATACAGGTGCTCTCATCCATGTCTGCGTGGTGAAACAATTGAATTTAATTTTTTTGTTAATTAAAATTTAATTGATTAACCGGTTAAAGAAAGTAATCGTGACTAAAGCATTAACTTATTAATCGATAGGCTAATCGATTAAGTGCCCAGCCCTAATGTATACCACCCAAACTGTCCCAACGTCACTGCAGATGTCCGGGAGAGTGCATGAGTTGTAGGGCGCCAGGTTCAGACAGTGACTAGAAGAAGGAATGCAGATAACGGCTGGATGCTGTTGCTGAATGATTGCTTGAACTTTATTCAAGTGACCAGTCATGTTAGCGGCCTTACATTGTATCAACTCCCCTTTTTTCCTCTACGAATTCCACGAAGCTCTCCTACAAGGGGTTGTCTTGAAGATAAGAGATGCAAACCGACATGTGTTCCTTGCTTTGAAATGAAAACAATTAAGAATAGTTGAAAATAGTTATACGCCATCCTAGCAGAGCTATGAAAGGTGCATGTGTATGAGTGCGGATTTACAAAACACTTTTTCCTCAAGAGCAGTCATGCAAGAAAATCCTGTTATGAAGCCACATGCTACGCTACCACTTGTATCTCCCACAACACTACACAGAGATCTGTTGTCTCATCTGCCAGTAACGTCAAGCAGTGTGCCCTGTTAAGTTGATTCACAATGTCTCGAATTATTCTCCCACTTGCAGCGATGATATCATTTTGGATCTGAGGGCTCATATAGGTTGCATTGATCTCATTTTAGATCTGAAGGCTCAGATAGGCTAGATCGCAAAGTACTCCCCAAGCACCCCATCACCGCTTTGCATCTTAGAACATATAGGGGTGCTCAAGAGTTCTTTTGTTCTTGGTTGGTTGAACTAGCCCCAGGCAGACTGTGTCACCACACAGCAGCTACCCTCCGGCCGCCACAAGTGCTCAGCCGACCAGCAGAAGCTTACCGCTCTGTGGTGGCAGTTCTTTCTGAAACAAAGCATCACTTGCTCTGGGCCGAGCACTCGGCTCACGACCAGAGTGACAGATCCAACTCCTGTAGGTACCGTAATAAGCACCATCATGCGACGCGAGTTGCCAAAGGCTATTTTTTTCAGTGCTGGAACGTTAGGTCTCCTTCAGATGGGTCAATTTTCCTAGCATTTTCGGGGTTGCTGGCTAGTTGTTCCCTATAATTCCCTAGATCCTCGCGCTGCGACAAGAATAGACCTTTTTAAAAAAATTCCAAAACACGACGTGAAAAGTGCCATAACCCTCCGCGACACTGAAGAAAGCGAAAGGGTAGTGCTGTTTCTCGCCTGCCTTCACCTGCTTGCCGTTATCTCCAAGGTCGCCTCTGCTGTCGGCTACAACCGGTTGTACCTTGAATTTTTGGAATACTTTTTGGCGGCGTAGGTGGCGCTGCACGCTTTGCAAAAGTAAGGCCCCATGTGCAAAAGGTCTATTGCTGGCATCGAGTCTGGCTCGAAACGGACAAGCAACTGCTAACGACCCCAAGACGTTTAAAGCAGGAGCAGCCAATCGGAGACGGGATCATTTTCATGTGACCTCTTCTGTGGTGCTGATGATGATAACTGATAAAGGGTTTAACTCGGTTTTTGTTCAAAATAGATCACTTTTACAATTAAATTATTTGAGGGAAATCAGTTGGTATTCTCAATGCCATTTAAAGGTATAAACACACATTATTAACGCATAACTGTGCATTCAAATAATGCAAGAATATTACAATTTTAATGACAATGATGGTAAAAATGTAGCAATTCGAGTTTTTGCGGTCTCTGGGGGGAGCCCATGTTGCTGGTGTTGCGACGCCTAGAGTGCCTTCATGCTTTACATGAAGGCACTCTAGCGACGTCAGGATGCTGTGAAAAATTGCCCCATTCAAAGCAGGCCTTACAGAAACCAGTTGAAGGAACGTTGAAAAGTTGACTGTGCGAGGCTGAGACCATACCAGCGACCCGCTGCAAAAAGAGCTGCTCTGTACCAAAAAGCTTCTTTCTTTTTTTTTTTTCTTTTTTTTTGTAGTAAAGGCCGGAGGACCGTTTCGCGCACCGGCAGTCTCGGTGGTCAGAGTCTCATGGCCCCACACTTAAAGAGTGTGAGCAAGAATGATCGATTGACGAGGCAGTACAGGGCTCGGAAACGTACTCAACGTCGCTTTGCTTGCGCCTCAGTTCCGCCCAGAGGAACATTCCTTCAACTGCTGTCCAAGCCAGCAGTTCGCGGCGAAAAGGCAAACGAGCAGATACCGCCTTTGGCGCAGTAAGCATGCACTTAACAGAGCATCGTCGACGCTGGCGAAATGGTCAGTTCCCGCTACTCTGAAAATTCAACGACCCATTGCTGCACCGAGGTCCCCCAACAGAAGTCTCTTGGTCGCGCGGTGAATAGGGGACCCTTCCGACCGTGGGCAGCTCGCGCGCAGTCGACGCATTGCGCCACCAGAAATGGGGCAGCAGACACGCTGGTGCCCACCAGCATTCATTCACCGACGCACAAAACCCTTACCATATATGACTGATGAATGGTCACCATCTTCTCGGACTCTCAGGAGCGCACCGAGGAGAGAACCGTGAGCACACCCGCCCGAGCAGACAGCCACACTTCCAACCAAAACAAGGGTCAGCGTTTCAGGGGCGACGGGAGAGCGGGAGGTCCTAGAATCACCAATCGACCCTACGCATCATGCGGAATACTTTTCGGCTCAATTTTGCCGTCAATGCCTGCGACTCGAGCTCGAGTTCACTTGAGTCACTTTATCGGAGTCGATGTCAAGTCTGTCGCAAACCCGTGGAGACAGTCGAGGTTCGAGCGTTCAAGTTCGACCAGGTTCGAAACATAAAGTTCGACTACGCCTCTCCGATTTGTCCTGGTTTTGTCCGACGATGAACCGCAAAAAAGGCTACTCAGAACGCGTAGTCACGTGATAGGTTTACAACGCCCGACTTCTAGCACAGCTCACGACCACCACCGAAAACGACTGCGCTTGTCGAATTTTTGCAGAAACGTTAGATATATGCGAAACACGTGACCGAACTTGAACCTCAAAAAGTTCGCAATCTTGCCGTTTCGTTTTCTTTTCTTTTATCTTCCAGCGTTCCTAATTAAAAAAAACAACTTTTAGTTTTTATTAAATTTCAGCACAAATTTAAAGGCTAACCAAGAATTATTCACATTAGACTCTCGCGGCATTTGGGTTCTTTTTTAGCATCTAACACTAATGTGGCGAAATGTTTTAAAACAGTTGGCGACACTGATTCAGAGTAGTGAACACGAAGATGGCGGGTCCAACAAGTAGGGATTTTTCTTCTCGCTCGATAAAATCGGACGAAAGAAACTCCATCCACGGTCCTTTACTAAACAAACATGACAACTTTATCACCTAATAGATTTTCGTCAAAGTGTTCGTGTTTAAATATTATCGCTTGGCATGTTTTCTGTGAAACAAATTGTGCGATGTTATTGAGGAGGTAAAGCGCCGGTCTGTCACTTCGAGGGACTTGAGTGCTGCGCATTTCAAAAGGAAATTGGAATTTCTTTTCTACTTCAACTTTTGTGACGAATACGTTGTGGGATGTGATTATTTTCAGAATTTCGTCCAAAACAAACTACGAGCGACGTGTGGTCTATACGGGAAAGGCTCTGCCTGGCCTCGTCGGTTTTAAGAAGCGGAGATCAAAACTGGTGCGCTAGCTCGGCCCATCTCGAGAGAAAAACGCCGACTGTGTGCTTCGTGTCTGTTGCAGGGTTTCCGTGAGCAGAGCTATCCGGCCTTTCGGCGAAAAAAATCGGCCCAATGATTGGTTCGCACAGAAGGTACGTGGGCGACTCGCGGACGTTCAGCACACTCACCAGCGTTTGACTCTCGCAGAACTGTGCCCTGCAGTATTCCGAGCTCCTGGAAAAAGTCGAGTCACCTAAGTAAGTACCGTCTCGCAGCTACGTTGCTGTGTGGTAGTACCTAGCCGGCATACATTGAAGAACACGGCGGCCTCGTCGACAGATCCAGTTCGTCAGTAGTCAGTCAACTTGTTTGTCTTCTGCTCGCGCTTGGCAGTCCTGTCACATTACAGGAACGGCAACGCGGCATGAACGACAGTAGCAATATTGCCGCATTGTCACGGTTTTCAGCTACCAAACGAGAGCAGACTGTTGGATGACACATTCTTCACAGCGATGCAGTTTTGATGGGAGCTTCTGACCAGTCACCTTTTTCTCTAAGCAGTTACCCAACTATGGGCCTGGCTGATGCGCAGCTGAGATGATTTGATCTGTGCTTTCATCGTGTTCCTTTAAAAGTGATTGTGGAGAAGGTGGAGGCTTAAATAGCCGAACCGTCGTTAAAATTGCAATCGCCAGCAGTTTAAATTTTCACAATGGCTTAACTTTCGACGAAACCTTGCCACTCACAAATGGGGCTTAACAAACAACATGGCGGAGTATTTGCGTGTTTGCTGTGCAGTTTGAAAGGGTGTTATCCGGTTCTCTAAGAACAAATTGACAAAGTTGCTTGTCGGGTGACAACAACATGTTGCCCGATGGTTGCTTCCCAATGCAAGAGGGTCACCGTAAACACATGTCCAACTTGTTAAGGACAAAATTGAATTATTTCCTCGATGCAAAAGTGGCTTCACTCGCTCAAATGATTATCTTAAATGGCAACTCCGGTCAATATTTTCGAATTTTGGATTACGACTGTTTTCAGCTGAGTCGGTGCCCCTGAATTACAAGGTATGGCTTTTTTTGTCTTCCGATATTGTGTGCAGTTTTATAAATATGGCTCAAAGTTTGGTTTCGGGCATCTATGGCAAACCCGAAACTCTGCGAGAGAGGGATGGCAACTGTGATCATCAGCTGAACGGTGGTGCTGCGGTACACGTCGCCCAGTGTTGCTTGACTAAAAGCTAACCCGCTTGCCACCTGCTAAAGAGCAGCTGGTCACATCTTTAAATTTGGTTTTGGTTTTAGTGGAGTATGCAACTTCACTTTGACGTAATATTTCGCCTGTGATTATATTTTGTGCCATTGAAGCAATAATTTATTTTGATTTCGTTTTTGACCGGAGTTGTTCAGCGAATTTCTGAGCCGCCCCAATTAACTATGTATTCTGAATCCCCTGCTTTCACCCTTTCCGGTATGGTATTTAGTATTGCAAATATTGTGAAATCGGCAAATGAAATTGATGCAAAAACCGATATTCAAATAACCCAAATATTTGGCCAAAATAAATTTTTCGCAAAGTTATTCAATTTACAATATTGGTCCTCACCGTGTTTTTCAAGGTGAAAACCTCTACTGGCAGCAATGAAAAAGGGATGCCTGGGGAAGGCAGGGGTTTGCTCTTTTGGGCTGTAGACTTTGTTTCCAAGTGATTGCAAACAGTTTCATGGTGTCAAATGAATGCTTTGGAAGCTCGTTCCAGTCTCCGCGCTCCAGCACGGAACAAATGCTCGGCATAGTCAATTTTCAGACTGCCCGCTCGACCCCCAAGCCTGCCTTCCCCAAAGTCTTTTGACGTAAGCCACGAACAAGACCATCATCAGTTCTGGTTTTCTGAGCTTATTTTTCGTGAAATTCGAAGGGCATTTTTTCGGTTTATTTTTTATCACATATTTATTATTTGTCAGTTATCCCCATTAAATTCCCAATTCTCAGGAATTGAATGGTTACCGGAGTTTAAATTTTTAATATTCCCAATTCATGATAATTCAAAGTAACAAGAAATATAATCTGCTCATGAAAGCATCAGTAATATCATATCCGGTATGTGAACATGGGTGCAAAAACTCGCAATAGAAAAAAAAAAAAAAAAAGTGTGCAGTGAAAGGAGGAAGGAATTGTGTTTTGGGTGAATACCCTTTGTCAGATTTCATCTAAAACATTTTGTGTCCAGTTCGACCAATGGTTGAAAAGGGTCTCGGAAATTTATAGGTGTGGCGTGTGGCTGCAGATGCTCTGCACTTCTTGGGACGACCTTGCCATTGCCAGTTCTGAGAACAAAACGAGCCAACAACGTTTGCTTCACTAGATCCTTGAAATTGGCAAACTTCTGGGCACAGTCACTGAAAAGCTCTTGTTTTCTTCTCATCTTTATGCATTTCTGCCACGTTTACGGCTTCCCAACTGACTGGACGAACGTCCTCCTCGCAGGTGTTGCCACCCTTCCCTGAAATTTGTTGGCTCATAGCTTCCACTGTTTTCAAAACACTGCTCCCTGTAAGAAACCCAAGCAGTGGTCTAAACTCAAAACCAGAACAGTGGCTAGCACAATGCATAGGCTTCGATTGGCTTGTTGTGAGCCAGATGTATGGCAACATTAGCCCATTGGGTGGTTTGAGGTTAGAAAGGAACCGAGAATAAGACCACTGATAAAACTTGACTTTGGCTCTCCCGAGACCAGTAAAAGCTTTTTTGTTTTAGTTTTTGTCATTGTAATCTTTAATATTGGGAGTTTTTTTGGATTAATCTGAACGGGCCTTTTCCGCAATTGTTTGGTGAGATTTGTTGGCAAACCAGAAAGCGTTTTGGTGGCCTTCTAAATATCTTTATTCAGCTATGAAACCTGTATTGTTGTCGCAGACAAAGGTGCGACGAAATTGCAGTGTGTTGCAATTGAAATGCTGGGTAACTTCTGGCTACACATTGTTCCTGACTGCCGATACCTTGACGTATACACCACCAAAAATGGTTTACGCTGCTTCAACCATGCGTACACATAGGCCTTGGGATTTTTTCCGTTTTCTCGGAAAACCCGGAACCCTTGGCAACCTCGGGGCAGCCCGTTTCACTTTTCCTGACACTGCAGTTTGTTCAGAGTCCTTTGGCCTTGCGGTTGCAGCAATGCAGCATTTTTTTTTAAAGTTCCAGCATATTTAGAATTATTTTTAAATTGAGCGTGGTTTGCGAGCTCAGTAGTCAGCATACTTCACATCTGGTCTACGAAAATAGGCACAAGAGTGATCCGATGGAAGAAGCTTTGGTGCAGTCATTTTCACACCTTCCTTCTAAATAGTTTGGCTTGTTTTTGTGCGTTTCAGGTTTAAATCGTGTTTCAAAAGCTGAAACATGATGTCAAGCAAGATCTGTCTGGTTCCAAGCATTTTATACACAACCACAAGCATGCATGTTCAGCTTTTAATGTAAATTGTTTCAGCAGTCGAAAGCAAATTCTTTAACAGCGAAGCTGTTATGCGCTAGTATCTGGGAAAATATGTGTCCGCAGATGTTAACAGAAAACTCCCCATTGGTCGTGGCAAGTATGAATAAATAAAAATAAAAAGAAGGGGCAACCAGCGTGAGTCAACCTTCCTTGGAATTATTAGATAGTGAGGTACTGATCTCTTGTTATCATCTCTAGGTCCTTGAGTGCTTGAGGTGATCTGAGAAATTGTCCTAGGCGTTGTCCTCAAAGTCATCCTAAAAGTCATCCTTGAGGTCGTCTTAGATGTCATCCTTGAGGTCGTCCTAGACGTCAACCTCAAGGTCGTCCTAGAAGTCGTCCTTGAGGCCATTCTAGACGTCGTCCTCGAGTTCATCCTAGAATTCATTCTCTACAGCTTCGCTGGTCCTCCGTCTTCACATAACATGAAAGGGCTCTGCAATTTTTTTTTTTGACTAGGTTTGAAAGAGGGGTTAATGCAAAAGGCTGTCAAGCCTGCAGCGGCGCTGGTCCCTTACAGTTCAATATACAAAACAGTGTTCCATTGCACGTCACGACAAAACAGAACAAAACAAGATGCTCAGAAAGGTGCTCAAAAACCACAGTATTGCGAAGTACATAACAAGGTATGACTATACGATATATGTATGTAAAACACAGGAATCTGCACTGAAATTAAAAATAACATAGATTGTAAAACAAATGAGTTTATATGTAATCATAAGAGATATTTGTACACAATGTAAAAAGAGTTTACTGAAAGTGTATATTGCTGCCCACCAGCAATGCTCTGCTCTCTTTTTTAAATATTGTTTTGGCAACTGCTGCAAACTAGGCGCCAACAGCTGTGTTTAATGACAGTTGCCATTAATACTTTGGCCCATTCTGTTTTCATGATTTTATTTGCTTGACTGGTGCATCCCAGTTAAGAGATTTAAAGGATACTCTGGTCAAATTTCGATGTTGAGAAAACAATGCAGTCTTACATTGTATCATCTGAAAAGCCTACACATAAAATATTACGATGCAATTTCGCCTCAAAGTTTATTAATCCGGCGGCCAACGAAGTCAGAGAGGCTCTATGGTCACCAAAATCCGTCCAATCTAGCGAGCAGTGCAGTCAATGTTGCTGTGTGGACACAGCCAGCACTGCGCGGAATGTCAACAACTGGAAGAATTGTTTGTTTCTTACTTTTTGAGGCGCACAGCACGGGCGAGAGAAAAAGAGTGGGGCGCCGTCCACCGCTTTGGTTGATGTCATAGCCGACGTCTCCGTACCATGTGATGTCTAGTAGTTGACAAGCAAGACCAGTGTTGCCTGCTTCAGGCAAGGTTTTCGTTTCACTTTGTGATTTTCGTTTAAATGATGTTTGCAAGAAAACTATATAACTTTTTCGGAAAACGAATGATATAGGACCAGTTATTAATAGTTTTGGCATGATAATCACCCGTAGTCACCACGTGTGATGAAATGAATAATCGCCTGTTATTCACCACGTCGGCTGTGGTGGAAAACGTCATCGTGAATTCGTAATTTCTTGATTTCTAACATCCTTTATTTTTTAAATTATTTTCTTGAGAAAAAATTACCCGTGTATCTGGACCACACCCTCATTGCTGCGATTGTGTTCACCGGACAGATTTTACCAGTTTTGTTTCGCTATACCGTGGTATTTGTACTTGTGTTTTGTAGGATGGAAGGGAATATTGGGAGTGTTTGTGCTACCTAGCGTTGGAGATCTCTACATAAAGTAAACATGCGGACTGTTTTCAGTGGCATGGTGGCTGCAGACACGGTAAAAGTGATGCTCTTGCACCGAAGGCTTGAAATCACTCTATTGAGAAAAGAATGTGTTCCATATTATGGTGTGGGAAAGCCGCAGGGTGTTAGGGAATTTCGGGAGTGCTTGTGGTACTTGGCATTAGAGATCTCTACATTAAGTAAATATGTGGGCTGTTTTCAGTGGCATGGTGGCTGCTGGACATGGTAAGAGTGATGCTCTTGCATCGAAGGCTTGAAATCACTCTAACAAGGCAAGAGTGCGTCGCAAATTATGATGTTGGAAAGCCGCACACAGAAAGGAACGGGTTCTATAAACATGGCAGATGCGTAGAAACCGTAATACAGGAACGTGCCTATTGTTTACTTGTGAAGCACCGAAAAAACATTGTTGCAGCGGGCGACGTGAATGTCGTGGATTCTTCTTTTTGTCCGGGACGGAGTGATTGGCATAGGGATACATGCGGGATTAGAATGCAAGCTTGGTGTATGGGGAGCAGTGCGTTCTGGAAGCCACTTTGTGATGAAACGGCGTGGTTTCCACCACTGAGTAAGCTGCACTTCAGAATTCAAACTTCAGCCGTCCTGTTGGTTAAAGTCATGGCTGCCAGTTATCATCTTGGTTTGAAATTGCAGGAACACTTTTCCGTTCTTCGTAAACTTCAAAACAGCGTGTCAGAGCAAAACAATGCTCCCTAAGCTTTCTGCCACCATATATCTCGAGTTCGGGAAGCCCCATTTTTTAAACTAACTAGCCAATTGCACCCGCTCTACAGTAAGCATCAAAAGGGGAGCGCCCAGGAGACAGTTGAGTAGTGGAGCGCCGATCCTCTAAGCGTAGCATGTTCAGCGACTCTAGTTTCCAGCATAAGACTGGTGCATGGCATCTCTGTCCTTCCCGCCGCCCAGCGGCACTTGCCAAGCGCACTGTCGGAGAGAACGGTCGTTGCAGGCGCAAGCGAGGGGGCGACATGGACATCCCGGGGGCCCTGATTGTGCGCAAGCTGACGCTGGAGCGCATTGAGGAGCTCAAGGCGCTCATTGAGGAGGAGCAGCAGTGCCACAAGTGGGTAGTGGGGAGCCCCAGGCTGGGTCATGTTTTGGGCTCACGGGGCTCTCTCCCCGGCAGGCGCTTCAAGCGGGATGTGGAGCTCCTCCGGGCAGGCCAGCTGGATGACCGGTTGGACCAGCTCTGGAACCAGATCAAGGAGTAAGGCACTCCTGGGTGGACTGCAGTGGGGCACCAAGATGGCGGAGAATGCCTCCGGGAGGCCTACCTACCATAGATATTGTCGAAATGGAAAGGTCCCACACATTTCGGCCGCTCGAAACGGGGGGCAGAGATGCAGACATGGGTAGTCCCAGTGGGTCCGTATTGCTGGCGATGCTTTAGTAGTAGTAGACAAAAAACGGTATCACCTCTTGCAAGGTCTGTACCTGGTTGTTTTCTAGATTTATTTTGCATAAACGCGTCGGCGTCGTGTGTTGTACAAAAAAGAAAAGAAAAATGAAGTCGACAATTACTCTAACAACTCGACACGTGGCGGCAAAACGAACATGCCTCGCCTTTCATCTGCTTTCTTTCTCTTTTTTTTTTTTCTGTTGCTCATTTTTTTTCTTGGGACCACCAATGTGTTGGCGCTTCCGATTTGCCGCATTACTCCCGCATATTTACCCCCCTACTTCCTTACTGTCGGCTTTACAGGTAGAGCAATGCAAATATCAAATTGTTTACTGCAAATTGAGCATGGATAGTTAACCCCTTGACTACTCATATTTTTTCTTCAAGGGACAGTCAGCAAAACTTTATTTTAAATGGGCAATTTGCATCAAAATAAGACAAAAACATTTCCTTGACTTCAAGGTGTGGTATCTTGCTCTTAATCAGGACTTCTGATCTTCTCGTCATCTTCAGTAGTTCTTCACTGTGCGACAGCACTAAAAACATTTAGGAAGGTGGAGAGCCTCCTTGCACTGTCGGCATTCCCATGTTTCACTTCATTTCTTGTTGGCTGTGCATACTTTGCATGCCCGTGTCAAGTTATTCTCAGTGGGTGCGATGTGTTGTGGAAAGTGACCCCAAACGCTAAGTGTCCCTCTCTTCGTTCGCTCAGGCGCACCTCCGCAGCCCGAAGCCATGTTGTATTGGTGCAAACGCTTGCCCAGCGCACACTTTTTTTTTTCTTGGCTCAATGGAGCGCCCTCTCTCCTTCGAACAGCAACACAAATGAGCAAACAACACAAAGAAAACAACACAAAGCCACTGTGGGGAATCTTTTTTTAGATAGCATACTTACAAAAGGGGACAGTTTTATTTCCTGAGAAACGTGTGACATACTTGCATCGAGGAAGAAAGGCTCTAATAAGATGAGTTGGGCAAAACCTAATGTAATGTGGCAAGCAAAGCTGTGACTACATCATTTATTTAAATACAGCTTGAGGTTTTGTTTTACTGCATTTTTCTTTAAAATCGAGGATCGAACTCTAATTACAGCCAAGAAAGGCTGGCCTACAGTAGTGAACCAAATCTTGAAGACTATCGAGCCAACCGAGCCGTTTTTCCTAGCACGCCGGTGCACAGCAGTGAAGCCTGATGCAAAAAATCTTGAGCACTTGAAACAACGCATGTGTGCCACAAATCGAATAGAACAGCAAGCACAACGCGCAAAATATTTCAAGTTTTGACTTTTCGCATACCTTTGCTGAACCCTTCGACGGTCGTCGCCAAACATGTATGGCGGCGATTACATGTTTTAAAGTGCCCGCCTGAGCGTGAAACTGCGCACCGCGAAAGGTGTGTATTATGTCTGGTGAACTATAAACACTATACTAGCTCAATGATTCACTTTGCTAGGGCTATTTGTAGTTTTAAAACTAGACGCTCTGTGCATGTGATATGCGCGAGATGGTCGCTTTGCATGGCGGCTGCTCTGACAGTAGTGGCAATCAAAGCGCCAGCTCTTTGGATTCAGACTTGTAAGGCAGAATTGGATTCAAAGTATGAGAGCCTACCATCTGATAAAGAACCTCCGCAACTCCAGTTTGGAATCTGAAACCGCTGGAATGTCACGGAAGCGGATGTGCCAAAATGAAAGCGAATGGAGAGAGTGACAACTTTCGCCCTCAATATTTCCACTCGATGCTTCTAAAACTGAACAGCTTGCAAACATTGTATGTGCTCCCGCTAGATAATTAAGAAGAAAAAAAACGCGCATTGAGCCTTTTTTATACTATTGTGGAAAGGAAACCCAGTCTCTGGGAAACACCTTTTGGGAGAAAGAAACCCGACCGTCAAAGGGATAGAAGAAATTGCTGCAGACGTTGGGCCTAATCGAAACGGAAAAGCATGGCAACCGCTGTGGCATTGTTCCTCGCTGCTGTTCTTAAAATGACGGTTATGCGGTTTCTGGGTCCTTAAAGGTCGTGGAATCTGACTTGCAGGGAGGCTCAGGAGGAGACCCGAACGGCGCCCTGGACGGAGCCAGATGCGCCACTCTCTGTCGAGGTGAGTGGCACGCCCCTGAGCGTCGGCAAGTCACACTCGCGACGGGCCACTTGCTTTTGAATTGCACTCTCCAGGCTGTAGCAGGGAATCGTGAGGAAAGAAACGAGAGCTGCACCTCTATTTGCCTCCCGCAGTGTGTGCAATGGCCGCATTTCGAGACTGGTTCATACTTTTGCGTTCGACTTTGTTGAGTGTGTCGCAATCTCTTGTACCCGCTTACTGAACCTACCGGCACACTGGTACCGTTTATTAGGTAGTCCTAGAACACTTCTGAACTACTTATATATTTTTTTTACTTTTTTACATACAACTTTTTTTATTGTGAGCTCGAAATAATTCTGACAATGTTGTAAGCAACTATTTCCCATAGATAGTGCATAAAGTTGATCTTGCAAACACTGCAACACCTTCAGTCTGTGCCCTGTTGCGAGTAAAAAAAAATAAAAAAAAAAATAAGAAAACGGGTCAAGCTTGTTTTACAAAGCCCTCCACTCTTTCCACGTTAGCGGAGCAAATGCTGGGGAGGAGGTTACGCGAGGTTACACAATTTGTTTAGCGTAATCAAGAAGGCGCGATTTCGTTTTTGTCCACACAATGAGTGTGTATGTTCGGTAAGAAGAATGAAACAAAGTTACCGCCGTTTTGAGTCGAATTGCTATGTTTTAAACATTAAAAGTACTAGATACCGGATGTATGCAACCTGGGCAATGCCTGGGTACCCTGCTCGTATTCTGGGACGGCTGTTGCCCGGGTGCGGGCGGGTGCGTCTGCCCCGGGCGGGGTGTGCAGGGGCCGCTCGTGCGCAGGTGGACGAGGCCCCGCTTCGAGGCCGCTCCACCCCGGCTGTGTCGACGTCGCTGCTCACGTCGCTCCTGAAGTCGCCCTCGACGGTACGTTCAGCCACGGGCTGCACAAACGGCTTCCCAGAGATTGTCGGTCCTCGGAGGGCCGTTCCTCCCTGCCTCCTCTCTCTTGTCACTGAACGAAGACGGCCCGCAGGGAAGCCCGTTTGCAGAAACTGCATCAAGGGCCTCATAATGGCGAGGGTCCCGAAACGGAAATTTATCCGTTCAATTTTTCCGGCCTCGTGTATCCCTAGGCACGTTGTTCCCGAGGCACTTGTGTTTCAGGAACAACGTGGGATAAATTAGTCCGCTTTTGGACGGGCGTGTCACACTTGTGTTAGTCGGTTTGGGTGCAGTTTGCTGTTATACTGCATACGAAATGTTGAAGTGCACCGTTAAAAGGAAAACCTTTTTTTATTGTTTTAAAATGTCGTTGAGAATTCCTCGGCTCTTTTGTTGCCTTTCGAATAGGTTTGCGCACGGGCATCTGAGTGGATGCCGCGGACGTCTTGCTTGCAGGCGCCGCAGCAGAGCAGCCCGTGCTTCTTCAACCCGTCGGCTGCCCGTCAGCTGGCCTCCCTGTCGCCTCCGGCAGCCAGCCGCACTGAGGGGGGACGCTCACCGGCCACCACCTCAGGTGAGGCTTCTTCCCAGAAAGCTGCTTTCTCGGGCTTTCACCAGGGCCTAGGGGGACTCTTTAGGCACTGGTGAATGCGGGTATCTCTCCCGGCAGCTAAAAAAGCTGCAAGAGGGATTTTCTGGTCGCGTGACCGGCCTCCTGGGGTACAAGGTACCTATACACCAACTCGATTCTGTTACGTCATGCCGCAGTGGTGGCGCTTCAGGCGTACTTCGGCATGGGAGTGTGAGCGGAGGTCGCCATGGGGCAAGACGGACGTTTCTGTGTTGTTTTAGAAGAAACCAGACTAACGCCTGCCTTCTCGTCAAAACGCCACGACTGAGGCTGTGCCAAAAGAGCCAGGAAGGTGAAGATCAGTTTTTATGTGTTATCTGGCCGCTAAGTTCGCCCGAGAACGTGGATAGGTGCCGTGAAAAGGAGAAAAGGAAAAACCAGACGGCGTCAGACCACGATTGCTTGCGCAGGAAGCACTTTGGGTCAAATTCACTGATACTTGTGGTCATCAGATTTATTTGCTTTGTTTCAACATGAATGCGGGAAAACCGTCAAGTTGTCCAAACCACTGGCGGTTCGCCAGTGGTTCGGACAACTTGACGTTTAGTCCGTCTTCACTTTCAAACGGCTGTCTGATTATTCAAACTGTCGCCTCCTTTTTCAAATTCGTCTGCTTGTTCAAATTGTCGTCTGCTCGTTCAGCCAACAGAGACTCAGTGACCAAACATTGACCCGGTGATTGCGATAAGAAGTAAGTGCGGGCCTCAAAAGACTTGGTAAGTTTGAAGATCGGGGTAAGTAGGTTCGGTGTAAACAGAGAGATACAAGGAGATGTTGATCATTGTTTCTAGTGGCCATCACCAACTTGTTATGTCTGATTCACTTGGTCAGATCCTGCTTGCAGTTTTCAGTATTGACGTCGCGCATCACAGCTACCGTTCACGCTTTTGCAGCTCAAGTGTCATCACGACTGAAAATAGCAAGAAGAATCTCATCGTGTTAATAAGGCCTTAGCGTCCATTCTGGGACGTTCACGTGGAATGAAACTCCGCATGTCACATTCTTTACACAAAGATGGTGTAACGAGTCTCATTAATTTCGCTGATGTCACTAAAGTAGTCAGGCATTGCTCTGAAGACGTAGAATGAACAATTCCAGTGCGAAAAAGAGCATGGGGACTCGCACTGATGCCGACAACATACCATTCCAATGGTTTGTTGATGATGGACGCTGTGCCTCTTGCCCACACTCCATCGCGCTTACACGGAGCCGGTGGTATGCGGCTAGGGTCACTCCAGTTTGTAAATGCGAGTTGGTGTATGAAGAGAACTCTGCGCGGTCAACTATTTTCTGCTATGTTGTCAAGGCTAGCGTAGCTTCCACAATGCTCCAGCTCAGCACTGCTACGAGAGCATGTGGCTTCGTCTTGTCTCATTCGCACGCACTTTCATCTAAAGAAGACTCTGAACCAAGCGACGTGCTCGCACAAGATGTTTTGACTGCGTTAGAGCACTGTGGAAACTGCGCCAGCCTTGACTTTGCAGCACAAAACAATTGACACCTAGACAGGCAAATGGCGGCCGTAATTATGTCTTCGCTTCAATTATTAGATTTCAGTTCTTCACTCAGAAAAAGGGTGAAAAGGCTGAAAATATAAGGGAAAAAAAAGAACACATTTGTGTACTTTAGGAATTGCATGTGAAGTTAATTCCTGGGAAGGTCGTCTTAAGTGAGAACTAAAGAAAACAACAGACAAGGCAGACATCTTCTGAGCAGAATCGGCTGGAATGCTAGGTGCGTCCTGCCCTCTGCTTCGGTCATGTGACCAAAAAATCCCTCTTTCAGCTTTTTTAGCTGCCGGGAGAGAGAACTGCAGGGTGATTCATTTGAATTGAACATGCATGTTGGGGTGGATATTTTGATTGGCCTAAAAAAATATATATATATTTAGCCCCATTTCCACAATCAATTAAACTACTTTTTAAAACTTTTTTTAAAAAAATATTTTTCTTTACAAAAACTTTTTAAGTGAAGCAAGGTGAAATGCTACATTTAGGCTGCTTGATTTTTGTACCCACTCCTGTTGGTTGTAAATAGATAAAAACGAAAACACCAGCAGTAATTTTTCTTGTAAATGCACGACGCATGGCCTGTTTTTTCTTTAAATTAAACTGCTTTTGCATATTTGATGCCAGAAAAAAAACACAGAAATATACCTGTCGTGTTCAGAAATAGGTTGAATATGATCCACAATATCCACGAGTGACAATTGCACGTTTGTATTTTGAGCAAGATGGCTGTATTTTTCTTTATAAACGGCCCACCCCGGCCATCGTTGCGCTCAGAGAGCAGCCAGTGGTGAGCATGTAACATCTGGTGCAATCGTGACATAGATTGTCTTGGGACGAGCAAAGCTGCGACGAGGCTGACGTCAACAGGATGTCCTAGCCGTTCCAATCACCAAAGCGGCCGAAGCACGCCGACGATTGGGCCACCCCAAAGCTGCTTTTGTACAAATTTTGAGTGACGGGTTAATCTTCTATAATCTTGTAGAGGGACAATAGCGGCATCTGGGATGCACAAAAGAAAGCCTTGGGGAGAGGGGAATTCCTTCTTCCCCTCTTCTCTCGTGGAGGCTGGAGGCGAGACAGATATCGTCACTAGCTGTCAAGGTTCCTAGACGGGCATTACAAACGAGGCGTTAGCAATATAGAACAGGTGCTCTTTGCTAATCGTTTAATTTGTTTTAAAATTTCTTTCTGTGTCTTTTTTAACGAGAGATTGGTGTGTCCGATGTGATACTGGGGCTCCCTTGAACGCGAATAGACCAAGAAATATGCGCCTAAATTTTGTTGTATTATCCCTTTAACGCAACATTATTTTTTTTTTTCGGCTAATCGGTCATTGAGGCAACGTAGCATAAGCCACAATCAAAAGGAATTCTGTACAGTACACCGAGCACAGAATTGACATAGTTTGCTCTGTGCTGTTCTGTACATGTAGTTTTCACAAAAACAAACGAGGTCAATCGATTTAGCCTACAATCATTCTTGATACTGTGCCGACACCGTAACGATTGCTAACTGATTTGAGATGGATGCGATGGAAAAAAAGGAAGAACTGCCTGTTTGGGAGCCCCCTGACTCTTCTTTCTAAAGGAAACAAGGTGCAGTAACTGTTTGAAAACATAATCTTTCGGATAACCAGCCACACCAAAACAATAAAAAAAAAATTAAAAAAATGTTATAGCGAGGACTTAAAGGGATGCCGAGCTGAAATATGGATTCCCCAAAACATGCGGCAAAAGCGTGCAGCGGGATGCTACAAACACCAAAACATCACTCATACAGCAATATCTCGAACGGATGACCATATTTAAAAAAAAGAGGTGCATTTGGCAGGAATATTGACGTCGTATTTCTCCGAGAAGGAGAGGGAACGGCCTCGCGTCTTCTCCGCCTCGCGGCCTTGAGGGAGCGAAGCAAAGAGAGGAGGAAACTAGGTATCTTGACGGTCACGCGCCTCGTCGGCCTGGTTCAATCTCGACTTCTTTTTCCAAAAAATGGCCGTCCATTCGAGATATCGCCTTACTAGTAGTGTTGTAGGGATTGTAGTGTCCCGCCTACATCTCCAGCATTGTTTTTTTGAAATCCAAATTTCGGTTCACCATTCCCTTAACGGAATGCAGACATGATTTCTTCAGAGCACTATTCACGAGGTTTCGGACAATGCCAGACTTCAAATTTTTCAAATAGCTGCTGCTAAAAGGCTCGTCTGGCACTTGTTCCACTACGACAGTACCAGTTCCAGAACGTACGCTGGCGATTGATGTGGCCCAAGTGCTTGTTAGGGCTCAATGAGAAGCGAGTTTTTTGAAGCTCGCATGCCTGCCTTTACGTCCCCTTCCGGCGGGTCTTGCACCAAAAGCGCGCGTTTACCCGAAGCCAACTCCCTGTGTGAGCCTGTTCTGTGTGCGGTGCAGCACCCACCCTGTCGAAGCTGCTGGAGCTACCCCCAAGCACCCCAGGTGGCTGCCTGCCGTCACTGGCCTTCCTGAGTGGGCCTCACCGAGCCAGGTGAGCTTTTGGCGGTTTTCCCTTGAGATGGCTCCGCTTCTGACTCTGTGAGTCGCTGACCGGTCACTGTGCCAGCCTTGCCAGGAGTCACTGGCACAATGTGCGACTGACGTGTGCTTGCTACGACCCTCCTACATTCTGTTACATTTTTTTTTTTTTTTTTTTCGAAGGGGGGTTATTGGTATGAGTCGTCGACCCAAAGTTAATTTTTCTGTCTCTTTGAGCCAAATGAATTGCTTGGGCCCCCAATTTATTTCTAGGTCGACAGTGTTGCAAAAATATGTTAAACTTTCATTTATTGATTTGAATAATGTAATGTTGGATTTGAACCCCGTATCAGACGCTGGTACTTTTCTGTGTCGACAAGGAATGGCATTGCCTCTTGGTGAGCGTTCCACGGAACTCCCTGCTTGGCACTCGTGGTCACTGTTTCACGCTGCTGTTCGGTTTGGTTCTTTCGAAGAAGCCGACTAATTGTTAATAGTCTGGACTACAGCCATTTTCTATGTATTATACGCAACTGCTGCATTAATTAATGGCAGCGCATATTTCGATGCACCTTCCAAGTGTTGTAAAACAAGAATTCTAGACCACATAAATATACTGATACGCGTTGCAGCACCCGAGTTTCCGATTTCTTAAACTAGATTAGACATTTGAGTTAGGGTCCAAGTCAGATGTGTTGGTAGTGTGGTCATGTCCAGTTACTTTCCCAGCAAAACTATTTGCCAACTTCATCAGATCCAATAACAGACCAACTGTCTTTAAGACTACCTGTACAGGAAGTCCACATCCACTGGAGACTGGAGACCATCTTCCCAGTTTATAATCCAGTTAGAATTTTGAACATTATTTGCAGTTACACCTCAAGATTTTTTTTTCGGTAGTGACATTTCGTAATTACTGAAATAGTCATCATGTGAAACCACATGTGTAGACCCATCAAGATTATTTCAAAGTTCCATGCATGGAAAGTTTTTAAAACTATTACTGTAGGAGTGAAATTGGAACAGTGTTAAAAAAAATGTCCAGTGTTCATTCACAGTACAGTCAGAGCGATAGCTGCGACACATCACGGCAGAGTCGTTGGCTCAATTCGCTTTGTTCTTACGAGCATGCACCTTACAGTTTTCCTTACGACGAACATCGAGACGCGTCTTTCAGCGTCGCGCATCAAGCGCAATGCTAGCATGCGGCAACACCAAGACACCCGCGTCCGCCGCTTTGCGCGCCATACTCTCGTTGAGTTTCAACGAGTTTGCCGCTTGTGACTGCTCAGGGATCAGCGATGATGTAATACACAGGCCCTTCTGGGGGGTATTGAATGGATGGATACTGCTGAACCCGTCCAGTAGGGTGGCGCTTGCTTCACCTATCCAAAGCTTTTAAATTTCAGCAATTAAAGGGCAACTCTGCTCAATTCCGAGAAATGTAGGCTTACATATGATTCCATTTCACAAAGCACTACTAAACAGCTCTACGTCTTTGGATTCGCAAAATGTGGAATATTATTTGTGTAATCCTAATTTAAGCATCAGCTGATACCGAAACCGAAACTTCATTTGCATCAGGCAACATTGGTCTTGCGTCGTCGGAGTCATGGCCACGTCACGTCGAACCACGTGGTCTTGTGACGTTCGGGAGGGAAGGCGGGGGGGGGGGGGGGGCGCGAGTTACAGGACACTCGACGCGGGCAGGTCGCTTCGCATGGCGTGGGCGGTGATGGCCCGGGGGAGAGGGGGAAGGAGAGAAGACGAAAGAGGAGAAGGGGAGCGGAGAAACAGACCGAAGCGCACGGGGCAGCGCAAGCTAGCGCATCCGCGTTACGGTGATCACGTGGACGCCGTTCAGCCAACACTGGGAGAAGAAACTCATGATGTCATCGTTCAATTTCGCTCTGAGAAGTAAAAACAAACAAAACGTGAGAATGACGTAGTCATGCCTCTGACATAGTGGCTCAACGTTGGCCGCTTCAACTCCGTCGCATTGACTGCGCTGACGATTGCGCCTCACGTCGCACGCTAGAGTTGGCAGATTTCGGCGACTTGGCTCACTTGAAGGTTTGCTGGCCAGTTTATTAAAGGGGCCCTGCAAAGACTTTTTTACTGGTTTTTAATTTGCACCGAACCTGAGCGCACTGAACGTAGTAACTCAGTGAAACTTTTCTTTTCTCGAAATTCGCTTTATTTTAAAAGTTATAGGCAAATTAAAATGACAAAAACAAGCAAAAAATAACCTCCCTCATGACGTCCTTGGTTGCTTGAGTGGCCGTGAACTAGTGGAGGGGTAGTGGGCTCATCGCAAGCGCTCACGGCTGCCACACTCCGTGTCGAAGGCGCGAGAGGGCGCCACTAATGCATGTTCTGAATAGGCTGTATGCAGCGGGTAGCCAGAGCGGCTCTCGTTGCATTTGCTGCGCGATTAAACACTAATTCGGCATGACACTTCATTGGTCACAAACGACAGCAAACATGGGGTAAAGATCAGTTCAAAATGGGAACCACTTCGCGCTGCCATACCGCGAAACGGCCAAACCGCAAGACAAAGCTTCTCGCCGAAGGTACCGATGGCCTTCGGAACGCTCGGAGCCGGTCGGATCCTCCTGTCGATACGACCGCAGCGCCGCCGCGTACATCCGGGACCTTTCCGTGTCGGCGCCAGATCCCACTACTCCCTTCTAGTATGCGCCGCCTTTTCCACCGCTTGGTGGCGGGTAGGTCGACGGGTCATTTCTTGTTTCCGTACTTTATAAACTGCATTCGTTTCTTTTCTGAACTAAACTACTAAACAAAAACTACTTTTATAAATAATTGAAACAATTCGCGCCACTTATAGTTTTTTTTTCGACTAAAAAGAAGCTTTCAGTGGCTCTGACCAGTAGTAAGCCCAGGACCAAAGACGTCACATTTTGCGCGCTTTCGGTACCGCGGGTCGCCTTCGTCGGTGGAGGAGTTTTCCGCGTCGCCCGGTTAAAATATGATGCACTGATATTTAGTTACTCTCTCCGTGCCCGCTGGCTTGCCCGAACTTCAAGAGACGTGAAAACCGCAAAAAAGCTAGACGCTTAAATATGATTGCAGTGCCCCTTTAAATATATAGACGGAATTAGATTGTAATATTTGACATGGGGTCTTCCTATATGATACTGAAGAGGGCTACATAATATCAAAAATGAAGCGGAGTTGCCCTTTAACTACGATTAAATTTGGAATCAATTAAGAATGACGAATTTTCTATCGCGATGTCACAGCAACTCTGTTTAGCGGGCACTACTCGAAGCTTTTAATCACGTTTGTTCCACAAAAAAAAAAAATGTATAATAAAGTGGTTTGCCTATGCTGTGGCAGCTCTGTGCTGACGCGCCCGCTTCACACCAGCGGACCCAGGTTCGATTACCGAGAGCGGCAGGCAATCTTTATTCAAGCGGTTGACAGTATTGCGACGGACGCTTTACGCCCTATTACACCAACTATCACATCAACAATATGAAGAACTACAACTACAACGGACGTCATTTCCGGTGTTGGGAAGAGCCCATAACAGCTTGTGCTGTAAAAAAATGGAATCATCTGTTGCAAGATATCTGAGAATGAAATATATTTTGTATGTTTGGTGCTACAATCGTCATTAACACTTAAGAGTTTAAGAGTTTTGGCTGGTCGACAGCACCTTTGAAAGATGGGGACTCAAGCCCAAAAGTTCTTATGGGAGTTGAAGGGGAAATATTTAAATCATACCTGCGCTGATGCAATTGCTGCACGATTTGTGAAAGTCTGCGCTACATGGCTTTGCACCAACACCAACATTGCTCCAAAGTATAATTTCGCTTTTTTAGTAGGTTTGTACAAACTGTCAAAAATTAAATTATGGCTTTGAATAACATACTGCAGTTGAATCTCGCTGCAATGAAGTTGGTGAGACACACAAAAAAAGTTAGTTGTGGCGAGAACTTTGTAGTCGTGAAATCAGCATAAAATCAGCAATCATATACTTTATTAGTTTTTTCTGCCACATGCACAAGCTTTAATTCCAGAAATCACTGCACTTTTTTTTAAAGAGGCACAGCATGATGCGATTCTCACAGTTGGACAGCATTTGCATTGGGACGTCGTCGTCATGGGCTTCCACAAACATTCTGGTGATTTGGAAGGTGGTTGATCATTCATTCTTTCATGATAATTTGGAATGATCTGTCATTCATTCCTTCATGAACAATCACATGATGGCGACAAAGACATGCTGAAACTGCCTGCAATATCTGCCCTCTTTTTTAATGCGACAGCATTAAAAAGCTTGTGGCGTGCCGGCCTCGGTGGCGTGCCAGAAAAGCCGGTATGACATGAAAATTCTGATTGGTCGATAGGGTTATGACGTCACGGCCACATGACCTAGGCTTGTCTGTCTGGAGGAGCGTACAGTTTCCATTCATCGTGGAGGAGCGGAAAGTTTCCGTCCATCTCCGAGTCCACCCAGTGGCGCTGCGATCCTGCCGTCATCGTTCGCCTATATGGAGAATGCATACCCTGCCTCGGGACCGCCGCTAGGCCGCCGCCAGGAGAGAACATGTGTGCGATGGATGTGGTGCTGTCTTCCAGTGCGGGGTGCTCTTCTGAGTCGTCGTCTGCTACGGGTGCGGATGGTGCATCTAGGTCTGCTCCTGCTCAGTGACTGGGTCGGCTACGTAAGACTGAAGCCGAGAAGGCATGGACGAAGGTTAGGCGTGCAGAGGCGATGTGCCACAAGTAGGCCGAGGACTCAATAACACCACCGCGTTCCACTCTTAAAGGCAAAGTTTAAGCATCCTCTGAGTTTTTTTTACTTGCTGCCTCGGCAATAGGTGTTTTCTTTTCAAGAGAAAGTTTCTCTTGCACAGTGGTACCATGTCACATTTTCTAGCATTTGATGCAGAATCACATGCCGACTGGTACCGACGAATACTGACCGACATCCAAATGATGTTAACACGCCGTTGGGAAGTCATCTTGTACGGATTTGACTTGGCTTGGCTTGAGCTGAAAGCTGATGCAAATCAGCCTTTGTGGGGAGAAAGCTCTGCTACATTGTTATCGCCATCAGACAATGCTTCTGTTCTGTCTCTAGCCTCCGAGCAGCAGTTTGCATGGCACTTGTGCTCTCTTTGACTGTTAGGCAACATCGGAAGTCGCAATATCAAATGAAAAGATGATTTTGTGTTTTTTTTAGTTAATAAATTAGACGACCAAGTTTAGTTTTTCTTTATGAAAACTTATTTGAAGCGGCATTTAAAAAGATGTTCGTTGTGGAGAGACTTTTTATTTATTTTTACCCTCAATTTCCCATTTTACAATAAATGGGAAATTGAGGGTACTCCGGTTGTTGCGGAAATTTTATTGAAGCGGCGTTTGCTATAGTGGGGTTGGACTGCATTCGATTTGGTCTTCGTATTGAACACCATCAGTTTTGGGGGTATGTTTTCTCGCTATGTGCCCAAGCCAGAGGAACAAGATGGAGCAAGAACTTTCAAACCAAGAACCTATCTTTGATTTTATATGCACAGACAGACAATGAAGCAGTTGGCATGTGACTGTCCATGGCGAGTGCTCGACCAAAATGAATTGAGGCCACTTATGGTGATGGCTTTTCGTAGCCGGGGCCCTGCCACTTTGTTGGTTGCTGTTCACGCACATGTTGGGGGCGGCCACTGTACTGTGAAGGTTTTGGGGTACTAACACAGTAAGTACTTGGAAATTTCACAGTATGTCTGACCGTTTGTGGTCTTTTCGGAGCAGGTTAGTCAGCTCTGTTGAGTGCGCTTCTCACCGCGCACTCGTGCACTGCAGAGACGCGACACCCGTGTACGCAATCCTCAGTGTTTCCACTCCTGCACCAAATGCGTCAATTTGTGCGAGAGGAAATTTCCTGCGCCATCCTGATAAGAATCTGCCATATTGCATCAAACTGCATGAAATTGTGTGGCTGGCCAAATTAGGCGGCAACTTGTGCCACCTGTCCTAGCCACATGCAGCCTGAGCCGCGGCAAAGTGAAGGACACCTAGCGGCTGTGCTGTCAACCAGGGCAGGTGCTTCTCTCTGAGGCAAATGCAAGCCTTTCCGAGAACATGACTAAGCTGGCAGGCTTAAACGAAAAGCTGCAAAACCCATCGCAAGCCTTTGATAGGTTATTTGTGTTCAAAATAAACAATGCACAGTAAGCTGCATCAACACTTCTGTCAACTTTTTTTTATATCAGGAAGATCTGTTTAGTAATCCCTCACATTGGGTTTGTATGAAAGATGCATTTTTTGTAGTTAAGCCTGTGGAAACCAACATTACAAAGTAACTTATACTGTCTACAGCAAAAAATAAAAAATATTTTCTCTTACAATGTTTGAAGAAACGAAAGTGATAGCTGTAGCATGGTCGCGCAGCACGGGTGGAATAATGCCGTCACGTTCCTGAGGACGGAGGTGCGGCGTGCCTAATTCTCATAACCGTTGTAGTCGGCGTCATGAATGCTACTCATGGCCGCCACCAGTGATTCGTGGAGTAAGTGGGTAAGCGTGTGGAAGTTTCTAAAACTATCCAACATTACGCTTAGGAATGTGATACTGCAAACGTAAAATTTCGCATAATGCGAGTAATGTTTGAAAACAAGTCTTTCAAGCAGACAACACAAAGAATCTCCCTTCGTTGTGCCATTCTTGGCGGTATGCCATGGCTGCCCTCTTTGCTTTCTTAGCACGGCACTGCCAACAAAAATTCCCGACTTCCCTCTCCTCGCGCCAAGAGGGGAGAGAAGAAGTTTATTTTTTCCTTCTTCGCGCCTGCGGCGACGACGGCCCACGAAATCGAAATCTCTGCAAAGTGTTGCCCATAAAGTGATTGCTTTAAAAACTGATTTCCGAATAGCCTGCTTGGTTTAATGCCGAGAGTTTCCCTTCACATCTGCATTATCATGTGCCTGCCACACATGCCGTAAGGTGTAACTAATGTTTATTCCATTCATCTACAATTACATCTAGGGTTAGCTCCCTACTTTTGCACAAAAGTGCTCTTGCACGCTTTTAGCAAGTGCAGTCTGGTGACGTTTTTGTCTACATATAAATGACCCACTGCTAAGGTGCGGCTTCTCAGCGCGGGTGAAGTACAAATGGGAAGTTCTTTGAAGAAAAAGCACAATGGAGTGTGCAAGTATTTTCTAGCACTCCGGCGTTAGTTTTTCATGTGCCTCAATCCCCAAGATGCCGACGTGCACATTCTTTTAGTTTTTGTCTCAATTAATCACACGATTCATTTCGGTCATATCACCTAGTCTGACATTCTTACAACAATTTTTAGGAAGCCGTGTGAACAGGGTTCTCCCCAGGAATTTTTTAGGGGTCGACACAACCACCATGCGAGTGGCGAGGGGGCTAGTTTGCAATGTGGCACGATCAGGCTTGCCGGCAGAACACACTTTGCGTCTCTGTGAGTAGCGCCACGCCGCGGTAATAAATCAGAAACCAAAATGCCTTGGAAACAAAAAAACAAGAAAAAAAAATTGGGAGGGAAAGGTGGGGAGCGAGCGAAGAGGCGAAGTTAAAGCAAGCCACGGCGCGAGCAAGCATTGAGCAGTGAAAGAAAAGTTATCTCTGCTTTCCCTGGCAATAGGGCCCACCTAGAATAAGTCTCTTTTTGGCAATAAAGTTTTTCCTCCTCCTCCTTCTGCTCTCTGCCACTCATAAGGTTGCCACCTTCCCCCCCCAAAAAAAAACCGGCCATTCCGAAAAAAAAAAAGGGAAGGGGGTGGGAGGGGGGGGTTGTGGGATATAACTAAAAGCAGAGCTGTGACTAAAAAGAAAGACGTCGTGTTGACAGACTTTAATTGATTCACGGATTAATTTTATGTTGATACGAGCTTCCAAACATAAATTTAATTAACATAGATCTATTAGTACCGAGCATCTGCAAATAAACCAAACCCTATTTTTTTGCACCGCAAAAATGAACAAAATTAAGGAGAACTCAAACTCCGTCAGGATGTAGCCCTAACCGTTCTAGCAAGATGCCAAAGTTTCAGCACCAACCATTATTTTATTCAAAGTTATAGGTGATTTTCTGGAATTTTCAATAAAACAATGGGGCCTGTTTTCGCCGATTTTCGGTTTCCGGCGCCATATAGCTCCATGTATTCGAGACCTCCGTCGGCCGCCATTTTCCATTAAATTTCGGAAAATCGCTTATAACTTTTAAGTAAGATAAGTTTGGCATCTTGCTCGAACAGCTGGGGCTACGTTCTGACAGAATTTGAGCTCTCCACAATGTCTAGTTAATTTTTGCAGTGCGAAAAACAGGGTTTGGTTTTTTCGCGGACACCCGGTCCATCATATGCAAGTACACGGATACACAACATTGAGCTTAATACCCTACACAGATGGATATTATTCAGCCAAAATTGAGGTGCCAAAACAAATATCGCACTTCTACGCACCAGGTGCAGCAGTTGGAGAGCAGATTATTGAGTTTCACATAAAAATGGCTGCAAATTAGGTAACGCTTAGAGTAACAAGATGCTCAGCATGCAGATTTCGAGCTAAATTTATTATTTTCAGAAATTGCTGGTTCTGGAGGTTTTGGTAGTGAACACGGGCACCGGCATGAGCTCGCAAATGGCCACTCGGGAATTTGTGTAACGCGAGCATGTTCGCATACATTTCGAATCATGAATTACAAAAGGACTGTGTCCTCAGATTCAGATCTAGTGACGTCTTGCTCGCCATTCTCTGATCTCCTTCGGTAAATCGCAGACTCTTTACGTGTAAACACACGACTTCTACGAAAATTATGTCCTCTATTTACAAAATAAAATTAAAAATAGAAAATGGATATGTATATATGCCCGATAATGTTGATGATCAAAAAAATATTGTTGATGGTCTAAATATAAATATATATTTAAAGTATAACTTATATGCTCCCACAAAAAAAAAAAAGTGCTTGGATAGTTCAGAAAAACCGGCAAATAACGGCCGGTTTTAGATACTGGCCGGCAACCAGCCTTTTCTCCAAAAAACCGGCCGTACGGTCAAAAACCGGGCAGGTGGCAACCCTAGCCACTCACCACCCTGTGGAGAGAACTGCTGTGTGTTTGTCGCGTCTGTTTACTTCGTGTTTCTCCGCGGCCAAGCACCCGCCCCCTCCCCCATCGCCCTCCCCGCACTGCCGGTGGCGCTTCGCAGCTCCGCTCTCCTTGTTTGAAAGAATGCCGGCAGTCGGCGATGAGATAACATGCGATAACGTCTGCAGTCATGTGCACAGGCGAAATCGCATCGTCATCCTGTGGCATAATTGAGCTGTGGGCGGTCAGTCGGAGCGGTGGGTGGCAAAGTTACTGCAGCCCACGGTGGGGAGAGCCCTGCGTGTGAACAGTTTTTTTTTGTTTTTTTTCTTATAGACATTTTACTCTTCTTTATGAGCAGCCTATTCGAAAACTATTCAAAAATTATTCGGTGCCACCGCTCTTCGATTTCTATTTGATTTGTTTTAAAAAATGTATGCACACCTCTCGAATGTACCAAACAGTGTTTGCACTGGCATTGCTGCAGCAAGGAAGCAGCCAACTTACTGGCTGCTCCTGTGGCGACCACACTTGGGCTCGAGCCACCGGTCAGCACGGGACCGGAGGAGCCGCCACCCTTCTACGAGCCCCCGGCGGAGCCCCCTGCCGAACCCCCAGCCCAGTTCCCAGCCGAGCTTCCAGCCATGCTCCCAAGCGAGTCGCCGGTTGACACCCCGACCGAGCCTCCAGCCGGGCCCCTCCCGGTTCAAAGCCCGGTTGAGACCCCGTCCGAGCCTGCAGCCAAGCCTCGAGTCGAGCCGCCGGTTGAGCTCCCGGCTGACCTTGCGGCCGAGCCCCCGGCCGAGCCTCCAGCCAAACCCCAAGTCGAGTCGCCGGCCAAGCGTTTGGCTGAACCTCCAGCGGAACCCCCGATCGAGCTCCCAGCTGAGCCCCCGGCCGAACTCTCAGCTGCAACGCCACCCTTTCCCACACTCGAACAATTGGTCAAGCCCCCGGTCGAACCTCCATCCAAGTCTCTAGCCGAGTCTCCGGCCGAGTCTCCGGCCGATTCGCTGGCCGAATCTTTAGTGGAGTCCGTTGTCGAGTCTGTGGCCGAGTCCCCCGCAGAGTCCCCTCCCGCATCCCCAGTTGCATCCTCCGCCGCGTCTCCAGTCCCGTCCCCGGCAGTGTCTCCGGCCGCGTCTCCGGCTGCGTCTCCGGCTGCATCTCCGGCAGCATCTCCGGCTGAGTCCCCGGCCGAGTCCCCAGCTGAGTCGCCGGCCGGGTCGCCGGCCGGGTCCGCGGCTGAGTCCTCCGCTGAATCCCCCGCCGATTCCCCCGCGGAGTCCCCCACTGAATCCTCCGGCGAGCCTCCAACCGCTTCTTCGACCGTGTCTGTGGGCCTGTCTCTACCCGAATCCCCGGCAAAGCCCTCGGCCAAGCTGACCGAGCTTCCGGTCAAACTTCCGGTCGAGGTTCCTGTCGAGCTGCCGGCCAAGCTTCTGGCTGACCTTCCAGCCGACCTTCCGGCTGACCCTCCGGTTGAGCTCCCGGTTGAACCTCCGACTTCACTTGTGACCGAACTTCCGGCCGAACATTTGGCTGCGCTTCCAGAAGAACCACCGACGGAGCCCACGGCCCAGCCCGAGGTGGAGGCCCCTGGCGAGGCGGAGGCCGACCAGTCGGCCGAAATCGTGGGCCCCGTCGAGGCCCCGATGTCGCCGCAGGAGAGCAGATCCCCCGAGGAGCCCATGGGCTCCAAGGAAGAGGACCAGGTGCCATCCTCTGCAGAAGGTGGGTCTGCCGGGCTTTTTGGGCGGGCAAATCTTTTTTTATGGAGAGCGGGTCCCTGAAATTCATAGAAGGCAATGTGCACGCTGTTTCGAGAAACTTCAGAGCACGGTAGGAACGAACTGCTCGAGAGGTCCGGCGCACCGCTGTAATTAAATGAAGACCGTCCTTTGTAGTGAACGTCACATTATGGCCGCGTATGCAATCGGCAGATGCCAGCGTTTCTACAGGGTGAGTCAAAGGGATCGATGGCTGTTTGAAGGGACGGCATAAATCGGATTTTAAAGGTATCTAGCTAAAATTTTGCACTGAGCTAACAGGTGAATGTGCATTAAGGGTATAAAAATTTTACGGAACAAACTTACTTGAGTAAAAAACTTGAAATCTCTACCTATGGCGGCCATGTGCTAGCTAAAGGTGATTGGCGCAACAGTCGACAGATGACAGCAGTGCTCTCCACATCCACAGGTCGGCAGTGAATGCAAAGAGTACCGCATTTTTCAGCTTCGGTGATGACCCCACTTTTGTCGGTGGCTTATTTAGGATGTTTCCCTCCTCGTTCAGGCGCCTCATTCAGCCCACAGTGCCGCCGAAACTCTGCATGAAACCTTTGGCGGACCTCTTTCGTTCAGAGAGCAACCTTCACTTGCTCGTTGGGAGCTAAGTACACCATGAGATGACTTGCACCCAAAAACAGCACGGACGAAAGTTGCAGAGAAGAAAAGAGACGCGGTAACAATCGGCGAGTACAAAGCAGACGATGACATGTAGCCGAAAATAATTGCAGAGGAAAAAAAAAACAAGATAACACATCTGTTTTGTTCTTGTTTATCTTCGTTTATGTTTTATTGGTAGAATAAAATAATCATGCACTGACAATTTGTGCAGAAAAAGAGTGCAATGCGTCTGGCTCAGAAACGTTGTCTGCTGTTGCCGAGGTCGAGCGAAGCGCTTGTCGTGGCCGCCATCTGTCGGCTGCTGCGCCAATCAGACGCCTTTAATAAGCAGACGGCCGCCGTAGGTAGAGACTTCAAGTTTTTCATTTCTTACCTTTTTCCTCAAGTAAGTTTGTTCAGTGAAATTTTTATAACCTTAATGCACATTCTTCGGCCACCTCTGCGTAAAATCTTAGTTTGATACGTTCAGGAACCAATTTATGCGGTCCCTTCAAACAGCCATCCGTCCCTTTGACTCATCCTGTAGATCAACTGAGATGTGGAACTCCCACGAAGAGGCGAACGCCCCTCTCCCCCGCAAGGTCGCCTCCTCTCACTGAAATGCCATCTAGAGGCTCTGCTTAAAAACGAACAGCCATCTCCATAACAATGGCACTTAGAATGCCAAGAGGTGAACCTTTAGGAGGTACTGCACGTGGAAGCGGTGGCTGTTCTGCAATGCAGTTAATGTAGTAATGTTGGCAGATGCTTTGCGGTGGTTCCTTCTGTGGTCACATTGTATCCTCGTCTGTGTATATTTCGCAATAGTCACCAAAATAACTTGAACGAACAGCATGGCAGCTTCCCTATAAAACAACATGTTGGATACACTATGAGTATTCACCATTATCTCGAGCCCTTAGTATGCATCTGTGACAAAACGACTGGGTGCTCGGTGTTCCATATTTTTTACTAGTTTTAATTTCAGCGCAAAAGGAGACCGGTACCGTATTTATTCGAATTTAAGGCGACCACAGATATAGGTCAATGCCTTTATATAAAATTCGTCGAGAATTAAAAAAAAAAAAAAAATTGAATATACCATATTTGCACAAATATAACTCGATTTTTTTATTACGTGTTTGAAAAGTTAAAACGCACCATTTCTCTGGCTCGATGCAGGAGATCGGGTGGGAAAAGAAGTGGGGGTGTGGGAGGGAATTTATTAGCTATCGGGCCACTTCAAGGGGTAAATAGAAAACCATAAAAACCTTTTTTGTCGCTTTTGTGTTTGTACAGGGTGTCACAAAAGAAAATTTACACGGTCTATCTTACCGCAAAAATAAACTAGGCATCGCCGAACGCTCATTCTCCGCCCGAAGGTAGCGCTAGAGTTCACAACCAGATGCCAAAGTTTCAGCCCGATCCGATAATTTAATCAAAAGTTATAACTGATTTTCTGAAAATTTCAATGGGAAGATGGCGGCCGACGGAGTTTTCGGACCGTCACCACATGGCACCAGAAACCGAAAGTGGGCAAAAATGGGCTCCATTTTCCCATTGAAATTTTCAGAAAATCACTTATAACTTTTGATTAAGTTATCGGATCGGGCTGAAACTTTGGCGTCTGGTTGTGACCTCTAGTTCTACCTCTGGGTGGAGAATGAGCGTTCGGCGATGCCTAGTTTATTTTTGCGGTAAAAAAGACCATGTAAATTTTCTTTTCCCTGTACAACGCACGCCATACGGGAATGGCGGCACTGGCCAATTCAAAGCGAGCAAGTCGAGTCCAGTCAAGACCACCGACCGCGTTTACGCAATCGTGCTGCACGAGGCGTTTGTTTATGCTGAGGGACCAGGGCGTGTCGAGCCAGTCGAGCAGTCTTTTTTTTCTGACTACGCATTCTTTTTTTTTTTTTTTTTTTTTTTAGTTTACATTTTAGAGTGGTCAGGTGTTTGTGTGTTGGTACTTCTGCTCCGTGCCTTGCTTTGCTTGTGGGCTGCCGAGGAGCTCACGCCGAAGAAAAAGGAACTACCAGACAAGCGGCGCCGTGCTGCTGCATATTTGCGAAGTCACCAAGTGGATTGAAAACGGAAGGAGCAGTGGAAATGAGTGCAGTCAAAACATAAACTGATATGTTTCCTATTTCCATTGCCTTTTCACTTCTGTTATGCCCCCGAGTATTATTAGTATTATATATGAGGGAGCGGATTGGAAGTTCGTCTGCTTTTGCAGGGGTCGTGGTGACGTCAGAACGCCGAGCTCCACTCTCCTTCAATCAGAGCTCGGCGTTCAAACGTCACCACGACCCCTACAAGAGAAACACGAACTCGCGCCCCGCATGAACGTGCAAAACGGTAAATCAACTTTTTTTTCCTTTTAAGGGCAGGGAAGTTTGGGCAAAAGAAAACAACAAACCTTTATTTACAGCGCTCTCAGCTAAATCACAGCGCGATGCCAAAAACTTATTCATCATCAGAACTTCTGTGCATGTCAAACATGTCATCGTCGTCGGAAGCGACATACTCACGAATTCGCAACTTTACCTCTCTGGCACCGTTGCAAAATGACGATAAGAAATGAAAGAAGGTGAAGACGGGCGAAGCTACGAAAGACCAAATAGAAAGACGCGAGCAACGCCGCGAGTCACCGTGAGAAACGCGTGAGCTGCCTTAAGCAACAAGAAGCGAAACTAACCTCCGTACTTTCTTTCGGTGCGCGTCCGCGAGGGAGGGGGCAAGGTGTATGGCGCATCGCGAAAGTACCTCCTGATCGCGTCCCTCCCCTTCCCTGCTTGCGTAACGAGGGGCATGCTTGAGCGGCTGCTCATGTTTCGGTTGTTTTCGTGCACCAAAGGCTCTCTGAAACAAGCGGCGTGGCCGGGAGGCACTCACTTGATCGAATGGCGTTTTAGCGAACGCCCGCGTTTCACCGAATGACACTTTAGCGAATAGTCGGACGCCGCGAAGCGGCGTTTGCGGGTGGGCCAAATGGGTTCACATTTTTTTAATGAGCCGCCGCAGACTGTCGCCGCGAAGCGGCGTAAAGCGCAGCGCGGCGGATGGGTTAACGCGCGTCCCCGTTATTCGCTAAAACGTCGATTCGCTCAAATGTCGCTGCTCGCTAAAATGTCATTCGCTCATGTAATATAAACCCCTAAAAAAAAAAAAAAAGAGGTCTAAATATATTCTAATAAATGCGGTAGTACTTGGACACACTTCGGGTGCCTTCTGGTCTTGTCGAGGCTGAAAGCGGTGCTCTAGAATGCACACACCCATCCATGGACGCACGTGGGTCGAAGGGGGCCTTAGCCGAGTCCTTGTGCAGCGGAGCGGCTAGCAGAGGAGATGTGCGAGACGCCCAGCTCGCCCGGGTCGCCCCCGAGCGAGGACGACCTGAAGGAGGCCAAGCTGAGCTGTGACTCGGTGCCCAACAGCCCAGCTTCAATGCTGCACAGGTGAGCAGCACGCCCTTTGGGAAGCCACATGTTAGTCCACTCTGAGTGCTGCCCGAGAATTTTCACTAATTATGAGGCGTACCAACGTAGAGGAACGTAGCCGCCAGCTGCATGTTTTGATGCTAGTGCTGCCTGTCAGTGCTACGATGGCTCGGAGCGAGAAGTTGGTCCACGGCTGGTTCTGAACCGCATATATTTAAGTTGAGCCTACGACAGAACACCGCACGAATTCCCACTCAAATGAATGAGTGTTACGAAAATGATGAAAAATGGCATAAATGAATGCGCAGTGACGACCCAGAAAGCGTGCGAGACTACAAGGTGTGGAAGAAGGCCATCATGCTGGTGTGGCGGGCGGCAGCCAACCACAAGTAAGTGCCCGGGATGCCAGACAACCGGTGTCTGCCGCAGCTGAGCCTCTCCCGCCTCGCAGGTATGCCAACGTCTTCCTGAGCCCCGTGACGGACGAGATGGCCCCTGGCTACCACAGCATCGTTTACCGGTGGGTGCACTGCCAATTGTGCCGTCGCTCGCTTGTTCGGAGCGTAGAGAGCGGCCAACGGCACTGCGGGCTGGCATTGCATTTGTGACCGGCCCGCGAGCCCTTTTCTCTGGCAGGGCACCGGAAGAAAGGAGTGTCGGGTTGTCGGTTGCGACTTTCAGTTGCAGCAACGGTGGCACCGAGACATAAGTGGAAAAAACCTAGTTTGGCCTTGGTGTTTCTCGACGCCATACATTGGGGCTGCCGAATATTTTTGAGTTCGTACACTTTCCGTACCGCTCGTTAAATCGAGTACCGGCAACCTGTCTGCCAAACGTTGTGGGCATCTGGCAGTTTTGCAAATGTTCCTCGCAGTATCGTTACCGTTTGTGGAAAGGCCGCAGTGGTCGAGACAGCACCAGGGTGCTGACCATTAACACGCACGGCAGAGCAACTGCCGCAGCATCCGCACAGGGACACAGAAGATACCCTTATAGAGCGAGAGTGCCTTTCATTATCAGGGTGGAGAAATCGTGAAAATAATGCGATTCTGACATATACATTAAATATCTTAAAACGGCCGAGTCATGTCAGCCATTTCCAGAAAAATTTAGTTTCAGCCTTTTGTAGAACCTTTCACTGCATTTTAAAATTTGATTGCAAATCATATGCATATATTTTCTAATATGAATATTCTACATTTAATATGAATTTAGCATGAATACTTCAGTAAAACATGGCTGCTAATCTTGAAAGAATGTGTATCTACAGGAACAGTTTTATTACATGAAAAACTTAAAGGGGCGGTGCAACGATTTTATGATTAAAAGATTTTGCATCTCGTCATTTTTACGTTGTTTATCGTGTCCCGGAGGATAGAGAAAACGCCTCCTTCATTAAAAATGTTGCGATTCCGCTGCATAATCGCAAAGCAAAAGTCTAGCTTTTTCCCCCACCTGCAGCCCCAAGTGGCAGCCGAAGGAACTATGGCAAAAAGATTACGTGACCTCGTTCGGCTCTAAGCTGTAGCATAACGCCCGCTGATGTACGCAGAGAGAGGGAGAGGAAGCGTCCTCCGAGATAGCACACTGGAACCTACACGTCACTCCGAATGACGTCAGTAGTAGGGGGACCAGGTGTGACCCTGAAGGCTGGGAGTGAGTTGAGGGGTGCCCGAAATGCCAATGTTTATCTTTTTTTTACGCAACAACTAGGACACACAGGCAAAATCGGTTTTCTGTTTTTTTACGTCAGAAGTGTCAGAGGGCAACTTCCAGAAATTTTTGACCGAAGTCCGGAAATCGTTGTGCCCCCCTTTAATTGAAATATTCAGATTTTGTTCGTGAATGAGTCGAGCATGACGGATAATAACCGTAAATGATAATCGCACGTTTGTATCTTGAACGACTGGCTATATTTTTTGTTCCAAACGGCGCACTCAAGCAAGCGCTCGCAGAGAAGCGAACGGAGAGCGCGATGCGTCACGGGATATCCAGTGCAAACAAAAACAGAAAGGAAAGGTATCCCGCATTCGTGACATAGAAAGACTGGCGTGGTTATGAGCTTTGCTGTTGGTGGCGTTGTCAGCGTTGTGGTTGCATCAATAGCATCAATGCATTACAACCGAGCCGTTCTAAGTACCCGTGGGGCGACGAGCGTGTGGCTGGCCCATGGAGCACGTAGCTTCCAGAACACTGTCAGCTTAGGGCTGAACGGGGTGGGAAAAGCAACTTTTGTCTGAGTTTTGAGCGACAGGCTAATCTTCTAGGGGGACAGTGGCTGTGTCCGGCTACACAAACGAGGGTCTGAGAAAAAGGGGAGTCCCTCCTTTCTGTCTTCTTAAAGTTTTTGGTACAATGCGCGATTTGTGAGTTGAGGAGGAAAGCTAAAAAGGAAAATGTTGAAATTACAAAGAGCGGCGCTGCTCCGATAGAACTTGCTACGTCATGACTACGTTGCAAGTTCCCCGTTGCTAGATTACCTCCCAAATAGGCTCCGCATGCATCCACCAGGTGCACATTGAAAGATTGTTTAATTAGCTTTAAAATTAGTTTGCTTGTGCCTTTTAACAAAAGACTGGAATTTTTGAGGTTATGCTGCAACATGCAACATATTAAAGCTAAAAAATTGGCGCTGGAATTTCGTTTCCGTGTCCCTTTAAGAAAAAAGGCCCTGGTAAGGTGAACTTGGATAAAACATAGTAACATAGCCAGCAAAGCAATGACTTTTTTATTCTATTATAGTGTAAGGTTTTATTTTGTGTCACTGTCTTTAAAAATCCAGGGTCAAATTATAATTATAACCAAAGGAGGCCAACCTGCCAACCTCTAATAGTCAGCAAAATTTCTGAGACTATTGAGCGAACAGGGGTGCTCCGACATGTCGGCTGTTTCTCCTAGCAGTGCGATACAAGGCAGTGGAGCTCGACAGCTGAGCACCGATGCAAAGCAGTGAAGCTTGATGCTGCAGAGTGCAGGAGCGAAGCTTGTTGCGAGAAAATGAAGAATTTTTGAGGCATTATTTATCATTTTTGAATATTCGAAAAACAGTAAAAGTGTGCTGCAAATTGAATCAAAAGCAAACACTCTGCAAATTATTCAAAGTTTCTACATTGGCACACCTTTACTAGTAGCACTAAAACAGGGTGTTTCTGAGTGCTTTTGTATTCATTTGTATGAATAAAAACCCATGAATGGTGTATATTGAAACTTTTTACAAAGGTCTCTTTAAGTGATGCATGTATTGTACTCAAATTTTGATAGTGTGGGTTCTAAAAAAAAAAGTTAAGCCTAGAAAATCCTGTTTTTTCTAATGCACATGGAGGAAAATGGTGAAGACCGTCTGGTTCCTGCTGCTCGCAGATGGTGCGACACATGCTTAGATCTTCCGGATTGGCTTCTGGGTATCTCAAAGAACACAATCTTCCTTTAGGTTGTGCCATCAACGGGTTTTTTTTTTTTAGGCTTAAATTTTTTTTTCTAGAACTCATGACATTTGAGCATGATAAATGCACCACCTAACATCATCTTTGTGAAAAGTTGCATAGCACTCGGGTCATTGGTTTATTTATACAAATTTTTTTTACACCTATATAGCGCTTGGAAACGCACCATAGATTTGCATTAAAGGGCAACTCCGCTTATTTTTGATATTTAGAAAACTATGTAGCCCTCTTCAGTATCATATAGAAAGACCCCATGTCAAATATTGCAATCTAATTCCGTTTATATATTTAATAAACTGGCCAGCAAACCTTCAAGCGAGCCAAGTCGCCGAAATCTGCCAAATCTTGCGTGCGGCGCGAGGCGCAATCGTCAGCGCAGTCAATGCCACGGAGTTGGAGCAGTTGACATTGAGCCACTACGTCAGAGGCATGTCAACGTCATTCTCACATTTTGTTTGTTTTTACTTCTGAGAGCGAAATTGAACGATGACGTCATGAGTTTCTCCTCCCGGTGTTGGCTGAACGGCGTTCACGTGATCACCGTAACGTGGATGCGCTAGTTTGCGCTGCCCTGCGCTCTTATCGGTCTCTTTCTCCGCTCCCCTTCTCTTTCGTCTTCTCCCCTTCCTCCTCTCCTCCGGGCCATCACCGTCCACGCCAAGCGAAGCGACCTGCCCGCGGCTGCCGCGGCGCGTATCCTGTTTCTCGCTCGTTCCCGAACGTCACAAGACCACGTGGTTCAACGTGACGTGCCACGACTCTGACGACCCGAGACCAATGTTGCCTGACGCAACCGAAGTTTCGGTTTCGGTATCAGCTGATGTTTAAATTAGGATTACACAAATAATATTCCACATTTCGCGAATCCGAAGACTCAGAGCTGTTTAGCAGTGCTTTGTGAATTGGAATCATATGTAAGCCTAAATTTTTCGGAATTGAGCGAAGTTGCCCTTTAATAGCTTTTGCATTAAATGCCGACATACACTTTGTGGTTTCAACTTTTCCTTACTCCCTTCTCTCTCATATTCTCTCCACTTTTCAACTTGCCTCAGAACGGCTCTCCTCCCAGTTTAGGAGAGGAAGTCGCTAAGTAGATTATCTTCCCTGCAGAAAACTAAGGGTTTACGTCGGGCTTTAATCTGCAGTGATAAAAAGAACACTAGAATGAAATCTTAGTAGTGTTGCAGAATAATTGGAGGTGTAAGAATATGAAATTCTTAATTGCGTTTTGATTTTGGATATGAAAATTTGACTGCAAATCAAATTTGAATATTTTCCAATATGAATATTTTACATTTGATTTGAATTGGTCATGGATACTTTAAAGGGATACTACAACGAAATTTCGGCGCTTACTTTTTGGTCTATACATGTTCAAAGGAGCAGTATCATATCGGACACACCAATATCTCGTTAAAAAAAGGCAAAAAGGTATTTTAGAACAAATTAAACAATTAGCACAGAGCACCTGGTGGATGTCGCTAAAGCCTTCTTGTAATGTCCGTCTAGGAACTTGGACAGGTAGTGACGATAACTGTCTCACTTAAAACTATACATGCTTTGAACCTGAGGTCATCCTGATAGCCCTAAGGCCAGCACTATAGAAGAGGGGAGGGAGGAACTCCCCCATCAACAGGACTGTCTTTTGTGTGTCCCAGACGTCGGTATTCTCCCTCTACAAAATTATAGAAGGTTAACCCGTCTTTCAAAATTCACGAAAGAGCAGCTTTCTGGTTAGTTGCGGTGGTGGCCCGATCGCTGGCATGCTTCGACCGCTTCGGTGGCTGAAACCGCCGGGGGCATCTTGACGACATCAGCCTCACCGCAGCTTTGCTCATCCCGAGACAAACCACGTCATGATTGCACCGGATGTGACGTGCTGTCCGCTGGCTACTCTCCGAGCGCTTGCCAGAGTGGGCCATTTATAAGGAAAAATACAGCCATCAGGCTCAAAATGCAAACGTGCGATTGTCTTTTACGGATACTGTGGATCATATTCAACCTATTTCTGAACACGACAGGAATATTTCAAATTTCATTGAAGTATCCCTTGGGGATACTTGAACGAAATTTGAAA